CCCCCCCCCCCCCTCTTCAGCTTCACCTGCATGGCTAGAGGTGGCGAATAAGTGGCATGATGCTTCACTCATCTGTGCTGCATGATGAACGCTGAGGCGTGATAATCTCGGGGTTTTTAGAGTTTGTGTCGTGCTGGAGATCGGAGGTCGGGATGGGAATCGTATGGTTTGGGAGGGGGATGGGTTATACAGGGTGGATGGATGCATTTGCTTATGAGGGACACTTTATTCTACACTGGCTGACGGTTTGTTGATGCAACCCTTTCAGTGTGTTGGGGATCACTGTATAGTACCGGTTGAAGATGCGGTACATCTCACATGCATAAAGCAACGAACGGTTAGTACTCTGGGGTACCCCAACGTCTCCGAGCTAAACATGCCTCGTTCGTTGGTGGAATCATCAGCAATCACCTCATCTCTCCCAAGCCATTCTAGACTCCAAATGGACCTCATGATCCGTCAGATCATCCACCAACTACATCACTTCTTTCTTCACATGAATGGTCGAATCCTTTGATCAACAGGGGAATAGTTTCCATTGCGCTTATTCTTGTTACATCATACAAGCCATCAAACCAAAAACGCTAACCCTTTTCCCTTCCATGCCATTCTCGTGGCTGGCCCAAAACATGACCTCGTCTATCTATATGCTTCTTTTACATAAAGCATAGTCTTACTTCCATATGTCCCTTTTTTGGTCAATTCCTTCCAACTCCATCATGCAATACACTTATACGCCCAGGCTATGCAGTTTGAGAGCACGTCGTGAATCAAGAAAGTAAAAATAACAACCGTGTGAAAAACAGAAAATGGGGGTATACAGCAAAAACAATCATCCACCACCAAATAATTAGAAAGAACAATAAACTTTGTCATCGAGAGCTGCGTGAATCATTTCTCGGAGTGAAAATTCGTATGTACGTGAAAGGGCGGATGAATCAAGGGGTCTTAGGTCGCTTCCAGTAGTATTGCTGGTGAATGAGTTAGTTTCGAGGTCTTTGTGAATTAGGTGTAGGGGATTACAAACCTTGTGCTGCTTGCGACAAGCTCGGAGGCTGGGCTTGCGAAGCCCATCAGTAACAGCCAGGCGGCGAGACTGATCGTCGTCGTGCTCAGGGACGTAGTAGTACTCGCTCTCGAGAGGCTTGCCAGCGGCGTCCTTGCCCGAGCGCTTGATGATGCCAATGCAGGGAGTGCTCTCGATGACATCGCGAAGGTCATCCTTGGTGATGTCTCGCTTCTCCTCGGTGGGAAGGTGAGCCATGATGGTGGACAGAGGGGTTGAAGACAGACGCGAGAAGGCGAGCTGGTTGATGACATGGTTGGCAACAGCAGGGTTGGTCTCAAAGGTCATCTTGGCCTCAGGAGTAGGAGTGGGAGAAGTGATGCGAGGAGGCGAAGAGAGAGGAGACTCAGCCCGGGTCTCCTGCTTGCGAGGAGACTGGGGAGGGGCAGGGATATGGCGAGGAGCAAAAAGATCAGAAGCGACAGAGTTGTGAAGAGGGTTGACAGCTCGCTTGGCGCCCTTGAAGATCTTGGGAGACTTTGTGCTTATCGAAGCCAACCGGCAAGAAATGTCGGCGCCAAAGGGTCCGAAGGAGTGGATGATGGGGTCATTCTCCTCATTAGGGTTGTGCTCCTCGATATCATCACTGACTTCACTGCTGAAGCTGGCAGTCAGCTCGCTGCACATGCTAACATTGATGTTGGTAGGGTCAAGCTTGTGCTCTGGCAGGCGAGGCTCAACATCATCCTCGTAGATTTCGATGTCACGCTGTCCGGGCAGCAGGGACTGGAGACGACGAGAGCTAGACAGGCTAGCAGGCGTGGGGCTCTCAGGAGATGCAATACGAGAAGCACGACGAGGAGGGGAAGATTGCATAATAGCCTGAGCACGAGACTGGCAGGGAGGAGAGTCCCAAAGGGCCTCAGCAAGATGGTCATGAGCCCGCTTAGGCCATTGGACCAAAACACGCGAGTTCTGCACGTCAATTATGATCTCGGAACCCTCGGTCTCACTGGTGAAACTATCGCCCTTGAAAAGCTCCCAAGTGCGGCCCTGGCTGTGCAGCTTGAGTCCGTTCCAGCCATTGCAGATAATCTCAATCTTGCTGGGCTCAAGAGGACTGGCAGCAGCAACGAAGCGAGCCTTGACATGGACACGGGAAACAAGGCGGTCGGCCGAAATCTGGTAGTGGGACGAGTTGGAGGATCGACCCATAACAAGAGTCTCGCCGTTTTCCGACAGTTCAACGGCGGGGACGGCAGCGAGCGGGGCTCGCTCGGAAGCGCTTGCGGCCCGTTGGGGCGGGGAACTCGACAAGATACCCGTGCTCGACGTGGGAACGGGAGTAGGATACTTGAGGTGAGCACGAGAACGTCCTGTGCCCGAGCCCGAGCCGAGATTCTGTCGCTTCACGGGTCGTGGCAGGTTTGGTGGTGACGAAGAGAGCGGCTCAAAGGGCGGGAGCAGAGACGGAGCGGAACGCTTGGATCCGGCGATGGAGCAGGACTTCATAGTTGGAAGTGTAGGCGAGGCGGAAATGCCCTTTCGTGGTGATGAACCGAGAGAGTCCATTTTTTATCGAGTTGAAATGTTTCGTATCGTGGTTTGTAGATCGAAGACTTGAGGATCGGACTGAATCGCGTCCAGAAGCGAAGGGCACGAGATCTTAACACGCGTAAATGACTGTGTCGAATTCGGGATCAAGAGTCAATCTTGATCTTTTCCTCCTTCCTTTTCCTTCCCTATTCCTTCTCAACTCTTGCCAACGAGGGCGTGGTTCGCGGTGGAAGATCGAGTCTAGGTGGAACGATGACGACACGAAAGGCGGTCTGGTTGATCAGTAGAGTAGACTCGGTTAAAACATGAGTAGTTAGGTAAAAGGATAGAATAGATATGAGGATGAGAGGCCCAAAGACGAGACCAGGTGCAACTTTTTCGAGGAAAAGAAGTTTTGTAGGAGAGAGTCAGAAAGTGAGTGAGAGGTGTCTCGTGTGCGTGGTCCGGTTCGCTTTGGTGGTGGGAGGTATTTAAGAGGTGACCCGCTCCACCGGCACGCGGGAACGCGGCGTAGGTACTCTGCGCGCATCCGTGATTTTTGGCGTTGGCGTTTTTGTGCACTGCATTAGAGTTTTGCTGCAGCGGACTTGCGCTGGAGGCTAGGGGACTAAGCATAATTTATAGGGCAGTTGTGCAAGGATTTATAGGGGCACTTTACGCGACTCAGGGCCGCGTTGAGTGGGTGGGCCACTTTGTAGCGTATCGATAAGGATGACGTTCGCTGAACGCGCAGAGTTATAGTGGCTGCGTTGAGGCTTGAGTGTTCTGAACCGGGGATATCCTTGGCATGTCTCAAATTCAGTGCATTAATAGGGAGTTTCTTTTTCTTCCTTTTCTCCTAAGACATGATGTTTTAATTACATTCATCACATACCAATTGCCGGTAGTCAAACATTGATTGACCTGGCTGCTCTTTCTGCAGTAAAGTCTTGAGGTTCAAGCGGGACCACTTCATCTTTGCAGTGCCAACCTCCCGTCTCCTCTCGTCTCGTTCAACCTCCAATTTCTGCCAGTCACGTCTCCACCAAAAAGAATCCTGGGCTCGCCGTTTGAAACTGGAACCGCGTCTCGTCACTTCCAGACCAATCCTTTAGCCAAAAAGGTACAAAACTGTCTGGCTGGGCTTATTTGTTTTAATTTCCATTCGTTCTTGTGCAATTAAACCTGCAGGCTAGGAATTCGCCGTTAGGGCTTGCATGGAGTATTCCGTCTTGCACTGACATTGGGCTGTTCGTTGGATCGGTGTCATGATGCATCTCCATTCTGATAGTGGATCAATTGATGCCATTCTTGACTCGATTTTACTCGATAGAGCGGTATAAGAAGTCAATGATCCAATTGGCACTCTTTCAGGTCCTGCTCCTGAGGTTGCCATAGTAATCACCGTAGTGATCGGTGCGATTGAGTTCTCTGGAATGCCTTCGCCCTTCGATGTGTTCAGTTCCACGCTACTCCTACTCGTGACGCAATCAACCTACCAAGAAGCGACTATTGCAGTGCAATTAATCGCGTTCCTCTCCCGCTTCCAGACTCGTAGAATGTCATCTAATCTGCCCCACGTTACAGATCTAGGCACGGTCAGACCTGGGTAGGAGGTCCATGCCTCAGGGTGTCATAAGAATTGGCCCTTGACAGCACAAGAGACGAAATGATTTGATCACCTTATGCCAGCTTAGGCTATCATTTAGGCTACATTATTTCTGTAGCCTAAGTCTTGAAGGACATTTCTTCTGACACCCACCTGCCATGCAGCAATTTCACCATGGCTACATGGGTGTATTAGATACCCTACAACACCACCAATTGATGATGGATTCGTATGTTTACAGTCAGACTTGCACTTATATCAAGTATAAAAGAGTGGTTTCTGTCTAAAAATCAAGTTTCAGCATAATTTCTACTACTTTTTAAGTATAAAGTACGGGTTATCTGGACTGATTGACCATGATGTCGGAAGTTCACGATAGCTTCAAAATATTGACCAAGGGATAATATCTCCACGACATGCCAGCAAGCAAAAAGCACTTCATAAACATTCTCCTTCCTCCCACGACGCAAATCGACTGTAATTGACCCACGACCTTTGGTCTATTGCTTTGCACTGTCTTCAACGGGCTCACCGGGTGTGCATTCTGAGCACTCCGACGAATCGACCTTTTTCTCGTCAAATACGGGGGTCTGCTTGCATGCCACACCTGTATTTCTTTTGTAAACGTCGCATTCTTCAACCCAGAATTCTGTGTCGATGCGGTAGCCGCACTTCTTGCACTTGGTAACTTTATAATTGTGGAAGCACATTGTGCTGTCGTGGGTGTTCGATCGGGGTATCAAGGTTGGTAGGTCTCTGCGCTCGTTGAGACTGGTTAGTAGGTTCAGAAAAAGCATTTGGACAGCGAGAACATAGGCATATATAGATGTTTGTCGGATACAGCTTCACTGATGATTTGTGTTACAGTGTTTTCTGTGATTCACTATTTAATATGTAACGTTCACAAAACACTATGCCATCCTGTCATGTTTCTGAATCTGAGAGTAGTTGACTGCAGATACAAGTAGGATCTTTACTCACAAAGATCCTCTATCCCTCGCATCTCCTCTGATTCTATACTCTCAAGTTCTGTCTTGTCGGACTTCTTCTTAGCTTGACATTTGGGGCACTGCGACGAGCTGACCTGTTTCGTGTTAGGTATGGTTGTGCTCTTGCAGTCTTTGTTCTTCCTATACAACTCGCAGTATTCATCTTCAGTCTCCACGTTGATAAGTTTGTCGCACTTCCTGCACTTGTAGCTAGTGGTATAGTGGAAACACATTTTTTCTGTCAAGGCGTTAGTGACGATTGTTGACTGTTCTTGATCGGGATGCTGGGACAGGTTCAGGCTCTTTAAGATGCTGGATTCGGGCTGGGAAAGCTATCGAACAGGGAGAGGGCAAGTGTTTATATAATTGTTCCTTGGATGCAGCTTCACTGCTAAGTTCTCCTGGGGGCTTCTTGGGGTTCATTGACTAGATGTTTGCCATGTCATGAGTCAGCATCATGTGTCTTCTGTATCTCTGAACTGGAGAGGAGTCTATCGTCGATGCGGATGAAATCTTTGTTATTCGCAGCCCCTATTCTGATCCTCTATGCGAATCCTTTATTCTGAAGCGCTGTCTCATATACACTTGCTGAGACTAACACGCCCAAGTCAGCTCTGATGCAGTCCAAAGATCATTGTCTTCATGTCTCTATCCAGCCAAGCCCCCGGCCAGATCATTCGTGAATTTAGTTCAACTCAGGATCCGAGACATCAGCAAAGACAGGTGTCTTCATCATGTGGTCCTTGTACAGATCCTCGGGAGTAGGACACTCCAGTCCCTGCTCGGCGCATACAACAATCGCCTTCCGCGCATTAACCACCATCATAGCCTTGTTATATTCCATGACATTCACAACCTCAAACTCGTTGTACGTCTCCACAAGGTCTGCCTTTGCCTTGGAAACAGTCATGCCGCGGGACTTCTTGATGTAGACCTTCTTCAGAGCCTTTCCGTCGGCATCGCACCACAAGAAGCCAGTGGTGTCTTCGTCGCGCTTGATCATCAGGTACGCCTTGGCGCCCTTCTTACGGTTGTTCGAAATGACGCTGCCGGTGTGAACGGGGATGTCTCCCATGAGACGGCCGACGTGAAGGGAGGCTTGGGCGAAGGTGTGAGGGTTCAGGGTGGGCAATATGATGGGGTCGCTGAAAGTCCAGTCGCGGTAGACATGCTCGATGAAGTCCCGGAAACGCGCTTTGAAGTCCTCGTCACTCCGGATCGGCCGAGGAGAGGGCATATTGATTCTGCTTTGGGTCAGTAACTGCGTGACTGTAACGTAGCAAGGGCGTCAGGTTGTCAGAAGAACTAGCCGCCCTGAGAATAAGAGACAAAATAAAGTAGCCTAAGTTCTTCTCTAAGCTTGCAGAAGGTAAACAAGGTATTTCGTCTCTCATACTCTTCGGGCTAATTCTTCTAACTACCTGACGGCAGGGAGAGAAACTCACGAGTAGAGCAGAGAACTCTTGCCAAATATTCAGGAGATAGATCAGAAAGATACTGACCTCTTGTGAAGTTGGATTGCGTTGAAGGAAAGTGAAGAACTAAGTGAGAGGTTCTGGACGATTGCTTTTATTTACAGATACAAGCTGTCAAACACTGCCTAAAAAGCAGACAATACAACAGCATTTCGCAGTTACAAACACCCAGAGACCCACCAAACACATTGTCGGAGAGGGCAATGCATTTCGAATATTGCCCTGGCATTTGTGCTAGGTAAACAATGATCCTTGATCTGCACTCGCTGGTCGTTTGCCCTTGGGAGACTCTGACAATGCAATCGCAACTAGTGAGTAGGATGAGAAATGTTGCCTGCAAAGAACAAGAAGATCACTTGAAGTCCAGCAATCAGTATCTCGCACGAGGAACTGACTGGCATATTTAACAAAGTCTACAGATTGCGAAATTAGATGAGGAACAGTAGGAGCAACGGCTACTAGCAACGAATGATGTCCAGATATCGAAGTCACAGAGGAGAAATAGACAGATGTTCTTAATGGCAATCATAATTTTACTATTTAATATATACAAATAATTATTTATCACATAACTCATGCATCATAAAGGCACAATTAAGCCTCAACAAGAGTGACCTTGGTCTCCTCCTTCAAGTCCCTGCTGCTGAATCCAACACGGATGGTGAACTCGCCCTCAGGAATAACCCACTGCTGAGAAACAATGTCCCAGTAGCTGAGATCACGGCGCATAAGCTCAAAGCTGACGTTCTTGCTCTCACCAGCCTCGAGGAAGACCTTCTCAAAACCACGGAGCTGCTTGGGAGGAGTACCCTTGGGGGCACTCTCGGGGAAGGTGACGTAGAGCTGAGGAACGGTGGCACCGTCGACCTTGCCGCTGTTGGCAACGGAGACGGTAACGTTGTAGATGCTCTCCCAGAGGGCGGGGTTACCACCGGGCTGGACGGGGAGGGCCTCGGGCATGGCGGTGATGTTATCGGCGAGAGGCTCAGCGGAGATGTCGGAGAGCTCGAAGGTGGAGTAAGACAGACCGAAACCGAACTCGTAGCGAACAGAGATGTTCTTGGCGTCGAAGTAGCGGTAGTCGATCTCGAGCTTCTCATCGAACCAAGACTGCCAGTCCTCGGAGCCCGTGGTGTTGATAGCAGTGGTAGGAGGGGCGTTGTAGTCGGTACCGTTGAAGGCGATGGTGTAAGGAAGACGACCGGAGGGGTTAACCTCACCGTAGAGGAGGTCGACAAGAGAGTTACCGGACTCCTGACCAGGGAAGTGGGCAGCGAGGATAGCGGTAACGTTGGGGTGGTCGGCCCAAGGAAGGGTGTTGATACCGGAAGAGTGAGTGACAACGATGGTGTTGTTGCAAGACTTGGCGACAGACATGACAACATCGTCACCATCCCAGTCAACGCTGAGGTGCTCACGGTCAGCAGCCTCCTCAGCCCAGGTCTTGAGGAAGACAAGGCAGACATCGGGGACAGCGGGGATCCAGAGGTCAGTAACGTTGGAAGTAGCAATGAGGGTGTTGTTCAACCACTGCTGGACGAGAGAACCGTCCTTCTTAGCACGGGCGTTGATGGCAGTAAGAGGAGAGACGAGGTAAGTGAGACGACCAGTTCCGGAACCACCACCAGCGACAAGAGTACCGAACTCGTAGTCCTTCTGGTTGAGGAAACCCTCAGTGATATCACCGGCATCGTTACCGAAGACAGCGATGGACTTGGGCTTCTTAAGAGGAAGTGCGTTGTTCTCGTTCTTGAGGAGGACGGTGGACTCGGCACCGTGCTTGCGGATCAGCTCACCGTGGTCACCACGGACATCACGGCTGCGCTCACCAGTGAAGTTGAACTCACGGAGCCAGGTCTTGCGGGGAGAGAAGGTGTTAAGGTCAGCGCTGGACTCGTCAACAGAAGGGTAATCCTCCTTGTCTTGGCCGAGCCAGAAGTAAGGAGCCATGATGCGCATGATCATGTCGTCGACACGGTCCTCCTCGAGGGTACCGTTGTTGACAGCCTGGGTCAGGTTGCCACCGAAGAAAGAGCCAGACTTCCAGTCCATGCCGTAGGAGCCAATACCACCGGGCATGTCCATGTCGAGACCGCTGTTGATGGCAGCAACACCGGCGTGGGTGGCACCCCAATCGGACATAACATAGCCCTGGAAACCGAGCTCATCGCGCAGGATACCGTTGAGGACCTTGGAGTTCTGGCAAGCGTAAGAGCCGTTGAGTCGCTGGTAAGCGCACATCATACTGGCAGCCTTAGCATGGGCGGCGTTGGCGAAAGGCCAGAGGTAAAGCTCGTGCATGGTTCGGTCGTCCATGTTGGAGGAGAGAGCCTCCTCGTCGACCTCACCGACGTAACCGTCCTTCTTGAAGGTAGGGTTTCGCATGGCCTCCTGCTCGTTACCGATGAAGTGCTTGGCAGTAGCCTGAACACCAGCATCTTGGTGACCGTTGATGGTCTCCTCCATAGCGACACCGGTCAGGTAAGGATCGGGAGAGAAACCCTCCCAGTTACGGCCGGAGTAGGCAGATCGTCCGAGAGGACCGGCGACGGGGCCGAGAAGAATGTGAGCACCCTTGGCCTTGAACTCCTGACCCATTGCGAGACCGCGCTGGTAGAGAAGCTCCTTGTCCCAAGAGGAGGCAGCGGAAACACCAGCGGGGAAGACACTGGCGTAGTCGGCGACTCGAATGGAGAGAGGGCCGTCATGGAGACAGAGACCCTTGAAGCCGAGACGAGGAATGGCAACGATATTTCCGACACAAGGACCGGGTGTACCAGTGACCATGTCGGCCTTCTCCTCGAGAGTCAACTTGGCGACGAACTCCTTGGCCTTTTCGAAGCCCTGTTCCCATCCCTTACCATCAGCGTAGGCTGTATGATGTTAGTGAATGGCTTCAACTTGTGGAAGTTGCTGTACATACTGGAAGGGTAAGCAGGCGAGTGGCCATACTGTCCGAGGATGGTGGTGTTCTTGGGCTGAACCCAGCTGAAAGCCTCTTCACTGCGATCACCAGCATCGTAGTTTTGAGCATTAACACTCGCGGCCAAAAGGCCGGAGACCAGCACAGATTTAAGGCTAGCCATTGTTGGAGAGGGAGATGAGAGTGATGATGATGATCTTCTATTTTGGAGGTAGGCTATCCATTGAACTTATATATCCCACTGTCCGGCAATTACAGTACAACGTAGTACACAGGCAGGACCATCCTTCGGCGCAAAATTATCACCCCAACAAACAACTGCGTCATTGGGCAAGTTAGTGTTAGCTTGATCGGTCCATGTGAGCTAGTCCAAGTCAAAATCCAACTGAAGGTACAGTCGAGAAGAGGAGCTTTGTGCGGGGAGTGCAAGTGCGATGCGGAGTAGAAGGGTCGTCTTGTGATGGCATTCCCAGTTTACCCTTACCATCGGGGAACTTTACCTGATCGTTTTACCGTGGCTTAACCGTTGTTCTCGCTCCTGTATCCAATGAGACAGTAATTGATGGTGTCATGACTTGCTCAAAAGAAGAGAGTCCCCAGCTTTGTCTGCTAACTTAGTCTGGTGATGTAACCCATAAAAGCGAAAGAAGCCCGGGGCAGAGGCATCCCCCACAAGTTCGGGACCACAGATGTTAATAATACGGCCGTTATGCGACCGAGGAACCGAAGATTAACCAGACATTAACATGAGCTTTTTTCTTCTCTTGTTCCTCATCGATTCCGGATCTAACCTGTTGTCGTGAGTTCAACCCCAATGCCGGTTTAGTGTCTCCATTGACAAGTCTGGGGTTTGTCTCTTCTCCGCAATTTGCATTCGGCCCTGTTGTGGACTGGGATGCGGAGAAAAAAACCGACAGGACTTATTAAATGACGATCGGAATATTACAACCCAACCTCACCCGATATATACGCCAGAGATACTTGGAAAACAGCTGTTGTTCCCACCGGGACCTTGGTTCCGCCCCTGTAGCCCGTCAAAAGTTTTCTCCCCCGCGAAATCACGTTGTGAATCGGAGAGCACGGCCTTTCTCATCGTCCCAGTGCGGTGGCCTGGTGACACCTAGTAATGTTACATTTACAGAGGTATGCTTGCTGGGATGAAATTGGATTATGTCAGTGAATTGACCGCTTTGACTGATGCTGTCTGAGATGTTCAACGGTCAACCGTTTTATTTCCCTTTGTCATGGTATCGTATGGACATCCACAGACCCAAAGTCAGGCCGTTAGGCACATGAATAAAGTTTTAACTTCCAATTAGAGATACTCGTATGGTTTTGACCCAATTAGAGTAAATCTGTGACCGCATTTGCTAGGTGCCGCTTAGAATTGCCGTCTTGGCCCAAGTAGGCATCGTACATAACGTTATGCTGTGATTGATCTCTCAATATTCCATCTTTTTTCACCGGTCAAAGCTCGGCGCTCGTATGGTCGAGATGCATGACTTTGTTCCATTAACGGCTCATATGGGTTGCAGGAAGACGGCCTCGGATATAGACCAACATCCGAAGATTTCCAAGATGTGTGTCGCGTGGCTGTTCACCGGGATGTGGGTTACATTGAGAGTCCGGGTTGACCGTTCGTCCTTGACTCGGATGGGTATTGCCCCCCCACACTTTTTGACTCGGCAATTGACGGTTGGCCATGATGAGATTTAGGCTTCCATTTGGATGTGCGGAGTTTCCTTTAACAGTAATTGGATTCTGATAAAATTGTTAGTGCATACTTCGATAATGAATGATGAAGAGATTATGAGTTCAATTGACATTTCAGGCTGATGTACAGTATTTGGCACGCATATGCCATTGACATGTAAAACATCGATCGATGCCGTTTGACTCAAAGTAGAATGCTTACGCTAAGATCTCGTCGGGCTGGCAAGCGCTTACTATTCTCCGATCATATTGCTTAGTCGCAACCAGTTACATAGTAATTTCACATGAGATGTATCAATTGAGAATAAAAAAGTGACTCTATTTAAAACGAATGACTTGTTGTAGGTAACGACTGACTCTACCCAAGCAAAATGCCAAGTAAAAGACTCAAAACATTCTGCTCCAGGGTATCTTCCGCTCAACTAACCTCCACTAATTCTTTTCCATGACGTCCTAGCTCCGGCTCTGGTTTTCCAAGAACTCGCTAGCCCCAAGCTCCCGCCTCGGCGAACCAAAAACGAGGCTGGGCAACCTTTACCCCAGCATGCACTAACGTGAACCTTACTCAGCAAGGCCATCCCTGGAAGGATTGCACTTCCTGCATTCAAGGTAACTAACATACTCGGTATTTTCTTCCAAGTCTTCCACATGCTCTTCTTGAAACAAATTGTCTAAAAGACAGAAAGACGTAATGGAGCTGTATGTCACCAGACGGCGACATTGCTCGCAGATCATAGCGGTGCTCGACAACTGACACATTTTGATGAGTTTGTGGTGAAGTGGTTGGATACTGACTGTTTGTGTCTTGTTGTAAAGCGTTGTGTGTCTGATGAGTGGATGGTAAGATGGGAATGATATTGAATGAATTGAGACGATGGAGGAGGCCAATTTATACTGCGGCAAGTGTCGGTTTGGCAATACAAACAAAGAGACTTGCGAACATAGATTTAGGGGGACAATTATTGAGTACATCTGAATAATGGAGAGTAAACGGCGTTGTTTTGCTCAGGGGCCTTTGTTCGAGCTGGAAAACTTGAACAAGAGTCAAAGCCTGAGGGACAACGACTTGTTCGCCTGTTGAATGTATTGAATATTCAGCTCGAACAACCAGCGTCCTGAACCTCTTCCATGACATGAATTAAATCCATTGAACATGGAGGGAAGAACATGTAGAAATCGACGTAGAATGAATTGCTCTGCCAGACATAACAAAGGCTGAGAACTATCGATCATCTTTTGATATGCACATTTTGTTGGTTTTGAAATTGGCGGAATCATAGGTAAAGCCCTTAGAATCAGAAAGGAGTGATAGAATGACAGACAGATTGTAGAACACATATACTCCTGCCTTGAGTGTTGCTACAAATCTATTCATCATATCACTGACATGTTTGTCCATCAGTCTGTCAATAAAAGGGTTGTGAATCAAATCCGACCTTTGTTAACAGCACAAGAGATGGAATGAGGAACAGACAAGAAAAAGACAATTCAACATCCACAGCATCTCTATGGGTGAATAAATCAGTCAGATGGGGAATACATGAGCTGCTATGAAGGTAATCAAGCCAGGACAGGGATCCATGTTCTTGATATTAACAAGGTTGTTTCACTATAGTGTAATATTTATCGATTGTGACCAAACTGTAGCTTCATTGATACTCTATATCTTGATAAGCTTTCTCTAAACTACTTACATTTCCTATCCTGGGAGTAGACTGCTCAAGACCTGCTTGAGCTTCCCTCAGAGTCCTACTCACCAAGATGTCTCCATCAGTCAGACATCGAACTTACCAACCCATAAATCTTTCAGTAACACCCTTGCCTCCCACAATTACTGCAGCCTTTAACAAACTGACCTTCTGAAAGGTTCGTAGGCTTACAATTGCCAGTTCCGTGATGCTCACAGAGTTCTGTGTACATTTTGGAATAGAGGATGCAGCCGCAGCTGGTGCAGATTCGCTGCCAATAGGTAAAGGTACACATGCTGATGGTTGTGGTGATGTTTTTGGATTGGATAGAGACTGAAGATGCAATAGGAGAGTAGAGTATGGTAAATGGTTGACGAAAGTTTTGTGGCTATGGAGGTAGAAATGGGTGTATATATAGCTAGGGGTAAAGAGTGTGCGGAGAGAACCGTGGTGTTACCTGGACAGGGGAACATGTCCCGAGTTCGTAGATATGTTAATTGTTAGTGAGTACAGTAGTTTGAACAACAAGAAGGGTACTGGAACAATGCGCCAGGGAAAAGAGTAGCCGATGTGCAGAGAATTAGTGTTCATAATGCTTTCTGTGCACGATTCTCGAGGTGTTTGGTGAAGACGTCGTGGGAGTCATAATGGGGAAAAGGTGTGCTGCATGGTGATACAAAAGCCATGACTTCCAAACGATGCAAAACCTGTGTACGAGACTAATTCAACATCCAAACAATCTTTCGAGCTCCGACATCCTTGTTCCATCACTCCGTACCCATACATGACTCTTCCGCCGTGGCCTTAGACTCTGCTTCAGCAGCCTCCCTTTTGGCAAGCTCTTTCTTCAATCTCGAAACCAATTCATCAATCTTAGCAATCTTGACCTCGTCAGGAGCACATACTTTGGAACCCCTATGTCACCATCAGCATTTATCCCCGCCAAACACGATAAAAATCTTACGAGGGCTGCCGAACTCCTGTAGGCTTCATCACAGCTTCCCGACTCTGACGCTGAGTAATCGTCGGGATAAGAAAAAGCTCTCCGCAACGAAACTGAGGGTCGCAGCCGTCCATGGGTGCGAGGTCAGGTGGACCGATGAAGGGGACAGGGCTGTCGGATGGGAAGGAGGAGCATCGGGTGCAGAGGGTGGGTTCGCATTTGACGATGTCGAGTTGATCGAGATGGCCGCAGGGTTTGTCGTCTTCTTTCTGTTTGCAGGTGGTTTCTTGGGGGTCTTCGACGAAGATGTAGTTGGAGCAGCGATTGCAGACGAACTTTCGGGTTTTGCGCTCGCACATTTCGATGAGCTTCGGTGGGTATATGAGAGACTGCGAGGGCCCTTTCTTGGGAAAAAAGCTGGTTAGTCAAGATACAGTAATCTGGAGAGAAGGAGTTCGGTACCAGGTAGACGTCAATTCCAAGGATAAGCAAGAATGTAAACAAACCGAGATGTTGCTGGTGGAGTCCCTAGCAGACTGTTTGTAATTCAAAACACTGGTGAGAGTTCTTTTCATAACCGGCGCGTTGGAGAGACCGACGCGGTAGTTCACAGTTGACACTGCCGTGGCAGTCGAGGAGCCTTCTTGGAATTTGAAAACGATTGCACTACTAGCTCGCTCCTTCACTTCATGACAAGCAATGCCTAGAAGGAGAATGACGTTGCAAATAACCACAACACAAAAGAACAAGGCTCAGTGATGGTGATTTATTTGTCTCTTCTATAGAATCTAACTGGTACCTAGGTAGCTAACGGTATCTCAACTCCCCCTCGGGGACCAGATAAGGATATGGCCAAGGCCTGAAAGGAACATCAGGGACCATCTCGGGTGGGTCGTATTTACAATCTTCGCACCACTCTTTGTCGTTCCAAGTAGTATGAGAGTATTCATATCCGCAAGAAAAGAATTCCCTACTGCGAGTCGCTTTTGCCCAATCGCAACGACAGCCGTGTGGCTCAAAGCGGGATCTGTTGCCACAGTTGGCACACATAAACTGAATTATTATATTGTAACACATCTTGGAGACTAGATTGGTCTGCTAGGTTTAGCAGATGCCGAGGTTTACTTTCTGGTATAAAATTGGTGTTTGCAGCAGTGTTGATGAAGAGTTGGAGAATTCGAATTCTGTTCAATTATGGCCAGGCAACAAGAAACAAGCACAATCATTCAGAACAAATATGGATTCTCGCCGTGAAAATGCCGACATGTAATTGAATTACTGATATTCACTCGTATTATAGCAGAGATGGACGCCAATCAAGAATCTAACAACAAATTTCACCACAACTGCGTCTCTTTGCTGGGAGATCACTTATCATCACATTGCGCAAACATTTGCTGAAACTCAGAGAGAACAATGAATACGTTTAATATAGCTACTTATTCTAGGTACTAACCCATCAACTCAATAGTAGCCTCTTTGATAACCATAAGGATAGTGAATACCTAGAGGGTCCGGCGGAGGAGGCGGCGGCTCTGAGCAATTCTCACAAATCTCGTCTTTGTTCCAAATTGTGTGCCCATTATTCCTTCCACAAGAGAAAGGCCTTTGGCTTGGGGTTTGTTTGGAATTGTAACATGGGCATTCATGCTTTTCGTAGCCCGTTCTGCGTTGGCACACAGCGCACATATACTGGATCATGATACGGTAGCACATTTTGAAATTGCTTGTTTTCGAGAGATTAGGTACACCTAGTATCTAATGTATGGTGTTTAAATAGGCGAGGTTTTCGACCGTGATGTGAGCATAGCTGTGCTTCTCGAATTGTTCTGGTGTGATGCAGGAACATGCCTCGGACCCTGAATTGGTGCCTCCCTGATGAATGTTCGTCACTGTTCTAAATAAAGAATCAGACGTAGTGAACAGGCTCAGAGAGGCCATGATCACTGCTGGGATAAGAAATAACAGGATAACGAAATGAAAAAGAAATGAGAAAGAAATGTATTGGTACTTTTGATAACAACCTCTTAAACGCCCATGGCACATCTGATCCCCCGAAATAGAGACGAATATCTTACCACAACATAGAACCCCATGAAATTTTCCCTTCTCATTCGATAATAAAGAACGGCAGATAAATACAGTCATGTTTGCTGAACCCTAATCCATCGAAGCGAGCTTCGATCATTGAGGTGCCCGGAGTCGCCCTTCTTGTACATCCACTGATGGAAGCAAGCGCATCTTTGGTCCGCTCCACCAGCGGCTCAATCAGGCGTAAAGCGCAAGAAAGCGCTGCTGTACTCGGACAATAAATCATCGGTAATCCGCTCGCCGATAGTCTTCATGATAGAAGATGCGATGGAGACGGTAGCCGATGAGGATGTCTGGAATAGGATCGCTAATTCGACCGAAGCTATCTTGGGTATACGATCTCAATAACCATAGGCCGAGGTTCCGCGCATTCGTTACAAAGCTTCTTATCATTCCAATGCGTTATCGGAAACTCTTTTCCACAAGACGCATATCTTTGACTGTATGTTCTGCTCGCTATGTTGCACTTTAGGCCATGTTTCTCGAAGTCGTATCTGTCGCCGCATTCGGCACACATGTAATGAATGGTGAGGTCGTGGCACATTGTTTCTGTTCTGTCCGGGTTAATCCGTTTGGTATGGCGAAATTCGACGTGGGTTTGAGAAAGTTAGTATGATGAGAGGCAGAGAAAGAAAGGAGGATGAAAGATGCCCTTTTTATAATGGAAGCTATGCAGTGAATGGGATATGGCAGATTGTAGATGGTGGATGGCAGCTGGGCTTGATGGCACATATTCAGACCTCAATTCGGTCTATATTATCTGCCTGGCATTGGAATAATAGGTCGTGGGTGAGGTACGGTCCTCATTGAGTCTGACAAACTGCGTTTCAGAGACGTCGCGATCATCTTCAGCTATGAAGCAGAATCGTTGTGATAAAGGAAGATTTCATATATATTCGTCCCGTGCTGGTCTTCGATCCGTTGACAACAATGTTCGTGATGCATGTGGTAAATTCCAATATTTCAAGCCTCGCTGCCCAACCCTCCACAAAGATTAACCTTGCTCCATTTCCTCTCATCCGGCGGACATTGCTGACAATACTCTGAAGCGATGGCAACTTCGCCATCATAGGTGTAACCACACGATCCCATGGACTTGGATTCCGTCTCTAATGCCTCCTCACAAATTTCCCATTCGTAAGCCTTTCTGATGCAGGTTCTGCAATCGATGCAGTAGAAATGCGTGTATTGCTCGGTGCACATGGTGCTGTTTTGGTGTAAATGTTGTGTAACGATGTTAGTGTAGCTTGTGTTTGTGATAATGTGTCAAAGAATCAAGTGAAAGAGGCTTTGAGGTTGAAAACGCCTCTTTTGTTGAAGGTTATATAGTGCATCAGGCAATGAGGCTCAGCGTTGGATTGAGGGCGAACAATCAGGCATCCAGCCAAGTAACAGGGGTCTGTTCAGCTCTATGGAATAAGCTAATCAACAATCTTACCAAAGATCCAAAAAGAGGCCTCCCCAATAATATTCACGCACGTTATAGCTGCGTCGAATCCATCGTTTGCTGTTGGTGGTGTAGCCGAATGCTACCCCAATGAAGGTATCGTCAGAAGGATCAAATGGGTGACCAGATACTACCCAGATTGAAATACTCTGGAGCTATGTCTCTTTTCGGTATGTATACCTATCTGAGTTAATCCCTTGTATCAATTGGCAATAACTTAGGTCTTCATAGACGATTCAGAGTTTTCTATCAAATTGGCAACATAGGACGGGATGATGGATCAGAGACGAATATGAAATTTGGCAGACATGGCTACGTATTACAAAAGCGATTCACTTGCCCTCGAGCTGATGTCGAAACATACCGCAGCTTTCAGTGAATTTTTCAATATCCAATCCGTTGTATCACTAAGACAAACACATGATATGTGAGTATATAAACCCAGTCAATCTGTTAGTGAGCTTGAATCCACCCTCACCACAACATCAAAATTAAATACTATATCTGAGACAAAAACCATCATGTGTGTTGAAATGACAACCAAAACGGTCTGCTCGACCTGCAACAAGCTCATCAAGACGAACTTCAGAGTCAGCAGATGCTTTGGGTGCAACGCCCCGAACCCAAAGGACTGCAAAATTGGTTTCTCCAAACGCAGCGGTGAGATTAAACAGGAATGTGCAGATTGCAAGAAGAAGCGAGAAGATGATGATGCCAGGAAGAAGCGGTTAAGAAAGTGACCGGAGCATGTATGAACTAGTGAATACCTAGGAGAGCAAAGAGATAAAGTGAACAAAGATACAAGGTGAACAGTTCTATGTATACTCCACTGGGTCTTTGTCTCGGTGAATGCTATTTGTTCATATCCTAGGAATAATGAATGTATTTATGATAATTATAAGAATCTTTCTCGATCTACTTCAAAATTCCCTTCTTTTGACCATCGCCATACTCTTACACCACGATATCCACGCATTATATCTCAGATCTATTCATATCAACAGAAGATACTATACACCACGAAGTACTCAAAGAAAGCACCATGTGTTGGCAGACAACCGTCACGACTCGTTGCAAGTCCTGCGACGCATTTCTAGGCCAGACCAAATTTGTTGACAAATGCCCGAGTGCAGAGGGCGCAAGATGTCTTCGTGGCTTTAAGCAACTCGTGCAAGATCCGAAGGGCGAATGCAATGATTGTAAAGTAATCAGAGAGTGCCAGGAAGCACAGAAGAAGAAGAACGCCAAGCTTGAGGAACGACGAAATAAACTTCTTGGAAGGATTGATAATGAGGAATAAGGGGATGCGGAGGACCTTTGTAAGGAATATGTCGATTTGGATTGTTACTGGATGATAATACCTTGAAGAATGATAGGATATTGTAATGCAGCGATAGGTTCTTGGAGCAGAGATCTTGTGGAAGCGCGGTGCTCCTACATAGACCATAGATATAGGCAAGAACAAATAAACTACTGTCAGAGAGTCGCACTGACGTGAAGTGATGGGAACTTGTGAGTTTTATATTTTGGCGACATTGACAGTGCTCACCAGATATCCTTATTTGTGGCAGTGATGGATTGATGAATTGATCCTAGAAGCTCTGGCACAGCTCGCGACTCAGAATTTACGTCTGACAACATTTAGGATAAGGAACAAGATCTGTTTACCGACAACATCCACCTCTGAAGACGCATCTTCAACAAGAATTTGTTCACAGATTCATCCAAAGGTATTGCCCACGACTCCACCTTCCATCTATTCCTTCCCTGTATCAACCACCACCCAAGTTCGCCTGACCGATCTTAGTCTCTGAAAAGAGAAGGAGCTACAGCTACAATCACCCTCATCGCGGATGCAATGCCATTTCTCCCAAAGGTCGCCCGAAGCACCTCAGAGTAAAGACTTCTGTGATCCAAGAACATCATCTGCAGTATTGTTCCTCGCACAGCAGTTATAAGCGTATGTCACCACCCGTCACATCGCCAGCAATCATCCAACACTCCCTACTGTTACTAATACAAAACCACAGGTCAAACAATCGTCCACCATCATGTGCGAACACCGTATCATCTGGCGCTACTGCCCTCACTGCCGCAAACAAGCCGGCCCTCCCCTCCGCCAAAACGTCAACTGCGACAAAGTCACCATCTGGAAACTCGGTCAATGTAGACTTGGCCTCTGCGACCGAGACATCATAGAGCAAGTCGAGTGCTCTGATTGCGAGACCAAACGAATCACCGAACGGGACGACATGCGACGACGTTTGTGGGAGAAAGCTTGGCCTGCGCCTGTTCAGTTGTCCGAGGGTGTCAAGGCACCCGTGATGATGGATGCTGCGCAGCAGACTGAGGAGCCGTGGCCTGTTATTGACAAGGTTGGGAAAATTGAGGACAAAGGCTCGGATGTGGTGATCGTTCAGCCTGAGGTCATGTACGATGCCGATGATGAGCGTGATGGAGAAGGCCTTTTCATCGCTAGCAAGAAGCGCAAGACGAAGCAGAAGAGTGATTGAGGTCTTGGACCGGAGACATAAGGCTCAATATGTGTAGCCCATTTTGGCATTGATGTTTTGGCCATACGAGACTGCGGATGTGGATCATGTAAGGAAGAGATGATCGATTAGCTGGGTTGCGAAAAGAGGCAATCGATCTGTATCCTCGAGTAGCTAGGGAACAGCGCAAGGTAATTTAGACCCGACCACAGAAATGAAGAGCGTGATTATTTGTCGTCGCATCTCCCAACTCGTTACACCAATTCACAGAGTCCGCTCTCGTGCTGTATCATGACCTCTATCTGCCAGCCTTTCAGAGCGTGGAAGTAGACATTCACTGTCGAAAAGGTCACATTCGGCAGAGCAGTAATGTCAACTCGACCTATAAATAGATCAGAGTGTCTCCAAAGGTCAACATGCCATAAACACCATACTAAATAGACCAACGCCTTATCCCCACGATCGAAAGGATCATCAGCAAAGATGTGTGGTAGCGAAACAACCTTCATCGAATGCGCTTGCGGCAAAACCTGGAATCGCGAAGTAAATATGCACTATTGCTGGGATGCATCGGAGGACTCGGGTTCCTGCAAAGAAGGACTCAATTATAGTGAACGCTCCCAGCCTGGCGAGTGCGAAGAATGTCGCAAGGTTCGTGAAGAAAAGGAGCTTGAGGACAAGAAGGAGGGGACTGGAGTGCCCCCCAAGAGGAGGAAGAGTGTGACATCTAAGGAGGACGTGGAAGAGATACCGTCTGATGATTCAGGGTGCCATGCTTGAGGCATTGTAGCGTATCTAGATATCGAGTGAGTACGAATGTGAGTCCAATGCAGGGTGGGTAGTACTCAGAGAGAAGGCTGTGATTGAGTTCGTGTCTAGTTGTGAGTCAGTACGGAAGCCTTGCGTTTGCTATTTCGTGATCCCTGATCGTTTGCTAGACGTATGGCTTTGGTGGCAGAACGTTGCGTACCACAGTCTGTCTTTATATATAGATAGCTGAAAGGAACTCCAGATTGTGGCATCCCGTTTCTTTTGCAGAAACGTAAAAGTATATAACCACGAAAACACCTCGCACTGCACATTTATATATAGAGCCCTCCACACCCAAAGCGCCGCTCGCACGGAAATAGAAGAGATGTGCCGAGAAGCAACATCCTACAACGAATGCGTCTGTGAGAAGACGTGGGATAAAGAGGTGAGGCCGACCTGCGTAGGTGAAGCAGAGCATGGGTTCGGCCTTTATTCTAGCGGAGTGATGGCCGTCGAAGTCTCCATCCCCAAGACGTGTGAGTATTGTAGAAAGGCTTGAGAAGAAGAAGAGGAAGGATGGTCTTGGGAGCTCTGGCGGTGATGGGGAAGCATGGTCAATTCGGTAGTTGTCGAGGAAATACCTTTTGAGGACATACCGTCTCATTATTCTGGGTGTTCAACTTGAGACTTTGGAGTAGAGATTCTACAAATATGGGTGAGGGATTCTTTACTAGCATGGTAGGCTATGAGCTGGCAGCCCCGTCGATACAATGAGATGGTTTGAGTATTCAACTAGGACGCTAGTGGCAGTTCGTCTGGTGGTATCTAATGCTTAATAGCCTCAGCCAATAAAGGGATAGACTAAATCCTGTTAAATTGAATGGCAGTCCCGTTTACAAAATTATCAAGTAACTACCGTCTTAAGTGCGTTAAGAGATGGGAATAGCTGCTGATGCCAGTGGTGATGCATCAAGCTCCAGGGCGGACATTGTTTAAATTACCACCCGGGTCTTCCGAGAACTCACTAAGGTTCGTGTTTCCCAGCCACTCGTGATCCGCAAGTGACCAATACGCCGGCACGTTTATTGACGCGAATAAGCTATTCCAGTCGGGTGACTCAATGGTGGCATCCACCGACTGCGCCTGATTCAGGCCCGTAGAGATGTGTTGCTCATACTCATGTCGAAGTTGGCTAAAGACCGACGTCACGGCAGTGGCGTTAGGCCAGTACTCGGCCAGCGAGTCACCGTGAGAAATTAGCTGCGACAGGCGTTGCGAAAGGCTCACTGCCGTTATAAAAGACTGAGATATCACAGCCACTCTGAGATCCTGCACCAACTGAATTCCTGCAGCGGTGACCGCGCCTAGAGTGCTGAAGTGGCAACGCCTGATCTCGCCCAGCTTGACGATCCGATCCAGCGAGGAAAGAATGGTCTCAGCTGCCATACTGCAGACATCTCTACCGCCGAGATTCGTGTGCCCTTCGATCCTGCGGTTTAGATGCATGGTGACGAGGTTGTAGTGAATTCGTAAATGGTTTGTACAAAAGTCGTCACTCTGAGCATCAAGAGCACAATTAGACCGCAACGCCCATACTGCGAGCTTGCTATTGATGCTAGCAATGTCAAACTTGCGCTTAGGGACAGGGGAGTTGAGCTCAAGCACATCCAAGATGATGATAGCAAGCTCAGCCATACAGAGGTGATGGCGGAGAAGCATGTTTCGGGATTCCTTTTCCGAGGCTCCTTGAGCAAGTTCTGTATCTTGCTCATCAATGAAATCGTCTTCTCGAAGCATTTCCTGGTCAAAGTCGTGGGCTTGTATAGAGCTGGGACGTCCTGTTTCGAGGGCACAGAAAGACTCAGCGATGAAGATGGACCACCATAAACGCTTGTTAATGATTCGGTCGACAACAGGTAGGTGCTTGTTAGCTCTATGGAGTCCTAGACCGAGGGCTATACGCATTGCGATACCGTTCCAGTACCAGGGACCACTAGCGACTGTATCTCCGTCGCTAACGTGCCACGTGAACAAAACTGCAGCCTGTGCTAGCTGGAGACGGGCTGTTTCGTGTCGCAGATGGAACAGCATGCTGGCCCGCCTGAATAAAACATTTTTGACCACTAATCTGTCTTTGGCGACCAGTGGATGCGTGCAAACATGCGCGCCAGCTAGAAGTACGGCTTGGAAGAGTAAGAGTGGCGGTTTGTTTTGAAGCTTTCCGTCTGGTTTGAGAAATACCGACATTGGTATGATGGGGTAGAGTGGGTGGATATGTTTAAAATAGGCAAGGAGTAAAGCATCTCTAACTTCCTGGGCTGGGAACATGCTAAGGTCTTGAGCTGGATCTTGTGAGGGATGCAGACTCACAAACGGGCTCGGTTTCCATGGTTTTAGAGGTCGAATGGGAGGAAAAGGATAGTGTAGAGGCGGTTGATACGATGCCCCAGACTGACCGACTGAGTTGTCTCCAAAACAAACCCCATGATTGGGAAACAGAGAAGGGTCACTGGGACGATAGGTTCCTCCAGAGTCACCAGTGCCAGTCGAAGTAGGCTGAACAGGGTCCTCAAAGCGGAAGCCCGAAGAAGACATCCATGCATCAACGCCGGCACCAACTTGGAGACCTCCTGGAAAACCTGATGGCAGAGGCGACTGAGACTGTTGACAGCCCAAGGTGCGATGGAAATGACGCAGACTGAGTAAATGGGCCATGTTTGAAGCGTTGGTGCCGATGTAAGCAATCCGAAAGTTATCGCTGGTCTGGAAAATCTGCCACCATTCTGTATCGACATGGTCGTTGAAGAAGCGGGCCAGTGCAGTCCTCGCAAGTTGGTCAGAGCCATCAGATGCTGGCTCCTCTACTAAATTGTTAGAAGAACCAGCGCCCACGTCCTCCGATATATCCATGTCCGCGCTGATACTGGGCTCCTGCGCCTGGTCCTGGTCCTGCTGGGTGTCATGATCTGACTCGGACTCTGAAGCTGAAGCTGGACTATTGTTCCCTGAGTCTGAAGGTGCTTGCGCTGGCGATGAGAGGTTTGCTATTTGTTGATAATTCTTCCTTGGCCTGTGCTGTCGTCCACGTTTAGGAGGGGCCCAATCGTTTTGGGACCTGATATCATAAAGCAGGCTCAGCATGCAGCGAGAAGAGAAAATCGTGAGGTGCTCTCTTCAACTTACACGCATTTGAAACCGCCCTTTGCACAAACTGAACATGTACCATTTTGCGATAGAGTAATGTCGCAACGAACTTTTCTGTGGCGACATACGACGCATGCCTTGCGCTGTTGCCGTCGTCGCTCCATGTAAAAAGAAAATTGAGCGAAATGAAGGCTTAGGTTAGTAGGTAGTAGGTAGGTATGGAGAGATGAAGCCCAGCCCTTGAGTTCCTTGTCGGGGTCGATCTAAGTTGGACAGTCGGAACGTTGCGGCGGGGTTAAGTTCTCTTATAGGTAGGTACACTCTCCAGTTGGCTTACCAGCCACAGACGCTAGAGAGTGGCCAATCACATGACATAGACTAGATGCAAGGCCCCTAAACCTTATCAAGTGGCACTGTAACGATAGGTTGTCCACTATCTAATCTACGCCTTAATCGCCAGTAATGGCTGTCCGCTATGCACACTCTCACTAGGTACTGTCCAAACCCTCTCTATCGTATTGCCAACAAAACGTGAGTCCGCCTTGACGTGAACTTCCATCTTCATAGCTTCAAGAATAACAAGACTCTGCCCAGCTTTCACGACATCACCATCCTTGACTAATACCTTCCATACATTAGCATTGATGGGAGACTCAACAATCTCCATGTTCGGATCTGTATACACCGTATTAGCAAGCTTGATTGAAGTTCCGTTAGGTTGGACATCCTGCATACCTTGTAACAGCACTTCGGTTCCATCCTTCTGCGCATCCGTTGTCTGCTTACTCTCGTGCCACTTCTCGACCAGTTCCTTCTCAAGAGCGACTGTCGCTGCGCGATGAGGTGCGCGATACTCCTTGAGCCGCTGGATGTCATCCGATGCTTCTTGAAGAAGCTTGTTGTGTGCTGCAAGGTCAAAGATCGCATTCTCAATGTCAAACTCATATACCCCACGCTTGAAGTCTCTCAACTTGGCATCATACTCATCTTCCGTAACCTCATAAAACGAGATCATGTCTAGTGGACGGAAGAGCCATGGCTCAGTCTTACTGAAGCCATGCTTGGAAGTGAACAAATCGAGACATGGCATCGTCATCGCAACAGGCATGTATCCACCTGGACCATCGACAGGGTATATAGAGAAAGAGCTTCCTCCCATGGTCAGACATCCTTCCGGGGTGAATGTGCGACTTGGATTCATCTTAGGCGAGTTGAGACGAAGACGAGGATCGATCGGAATCAGGACTGGCAAAGCCATGACGAATCCAACCGCGAAAATGATTGACTCTGCCTTGAGGATCGTCTTCTTGAGCTCCTCGGGAGTTAATCCGTTATGGTCAGCCACGAACTTGACGGGATCAGGAAGATATGCCGCGATGGAACGCTGGGTGAGCATGTATCTCTCGACACAGTCGGTTAACTTGGCATGCGAGAACGCGACTGGCAGTTTGAAACGTCGGACGGGAATCTTGACGTCTCCAACCCCATCTAGAAGCTCCTCCGCTTTCACAAGTCTTGCTAGCATGATATCTCTCGATTCTTTTAATGAGTCGTAAAAGACAGCTAGAGAGCTGGCACAGCTGACCATATTGACGATAGCAGATTGCTGACCTTGACCTTGAGACTGCTCGAGTGTAGCCTTTAGCTGTGATGCCCGACAGGTCATGTTGAGGTCGAAAACACCCTCGCCGTACTCGACAAGTATATAGCTATCAGCTCCTCCCCTGTAAGAGACTTTAGGTCGTCCAGAGTGAGGGCTAATGACCTTGAGAAGATCAGCTGGTTCGTTGGAGGCCTGCTCCGATACAACTGAATCGTGCAGTGGTGTTACCCCAGTCCAAGACTCTCCCTTGATACAGGAAGACAATTGTTGGATGAAGTTCTGGTTCCCTCTGTTGAGATCAACAGCTGTATCGATGCTCACACGTTGAAACCTGACCTTGTCACCAGAGCGCAGCTGTCCAAGCTTCCACATATCGGCTTTAGTGACTGTCAGGTTGCAGATGAATCCACCAAGATCTGGGCAGTCGACAGGCAGGATAACTGGCTCGTCGCCAGTGAAATTAAGCCCACCAATAGGATACCCGTATTCAACGACGTTGCTTGGATGAGCTCCGCCTTCGCCTCCGTTTGCTCTCGCAAACTCCGGACGCGGACCCAAAAGTCGAATACCGCCCCGTGCAGCATTGTGACTGACTTCCCAAGATGTACTGTATAGTGTTTCGATGTACTCGGGTGTGAGATAGCCTGTTTCGTAGGGCCCACTCATGACTCGAAGTGTCCAGTCCTCCGTGTATGTTGGCCGAAGATGAACGGGTATCGATACATCTTGGAATACAGGCAGCTTACTTGAGTCGAATATTCGTAGGAAGTCTCCTGTGCGTAAAGGACGCCCTTGGTACCCGCCCACATTGGCAAGTGGGTTCGTGGCTTTGCTATTGTACCACTTAGCCACATTGGTAAACCCTCCATACACAGAGAGATAGGCTCGGCAATGGGAGGACAGTCTGCCGATGGTAAGCCTCTGCCCGGACTTGATATGTAATCGAGTCCATTGAGAAACCGTAGCGCCATCAACCTGTACTGGAACAGGAGGGCCGCAAATGGCCACAATGGCATCGCCCAAGAAGACCATGTCGGGCCCGTCGAGGGTAATTTCGAGGCCTTCAATACCAACGTCGTTTCCAACAAGAAGATTAGCGATCTGAAATGCCATGGGGTCCATAGGACCGCAATGACCGAATCCATGACCTACCGATGGCCGGCCTGGATAGTCTTGGACTAGGGTATAGGCACCACCAGAGCGGATATCTATGGCTGCGGGAACAAAGTTGAAAGTTTCCAGGAACTTTGTGATTGTGTTTCCTTTCCGATATGTCTCGTCTTGAAGTATGGCAACAAGAAACTCGACGTTGACCGGAGGACCGCAAATGTTGCTTTTGCTCAGAGCTTCCTCCAGGCCAGCGACTGCACCCTCCCTTGTAGAGGCATGATGCATAACCTTTGCCAGAAGCGGGTCATAATCTGGGCTGATAGTCATACCAGCCCGAATCCATGTATCGACTCGTGTTCCTTCGGACTCATGCCAACAGACTTCTTGCAGCATACCCGGGCTTGGTTCGTAGTCCTTGGCCGGGTTTTCAGCGTATACCCGCGCCTCGATAGCATGACCCTTGGGCTCCAGGCATCTCGTTTGTAGTGTTGAGAGCTCTTCGGGAGTCAAGCCTCCTGATCCACCAATTTCTCGATCTGCCTGCCTGTACATCAACTCGACGAGATCTACCTCGTAGCAGAGTTCTGTGATGCCATGCTCGACCTGCAGTCGAGTGTTCATTTCTAGAAAGAAGAAATCTCCAGTCGCGTCGTCGACCAGGTACTCAACAGTACCTGCAGAGCCGTAGTTGATGCTCTCTGCTAGGCGGACAGCGCAGCTCGTCAAATCCTGGCGAAGCTTGGGGTGTGTCATGACGAATGGGCTGGGACATTCCTCAATGACCTTTTGGTGCCTGCGCTGAATTGAACACTCTCGCTCTCCTACGCTGATGGCTTTTCCTTTTCCGTTGCCAAAAACCTGGACTTCAATGTGATGACTGTCGGGGTAATAGCGTTCCAGAAAGACACCGGCATTCTTGAACAGCGAGGCGCCCCTGGACTTTACCGTCTTGAAGTTAGTTCGGACCTCAGACTCGTCTGCGCAGATAAGCAAACCCATACCGCCTCCGCCAGCCGTTGCCTTGAGCATAACGGGATAGCCCAGGGATGAGGCTGTAGCAGCGGCATCATCCTCGCTTTCGAGTAGCTCCTGGGAGCCTGGGACGACGGGCACACCAGCCTTGACAGCAAGCGTCCTGGCTGTATGCTTGAGGCCAAAAGAGTCGATGGCTTCTGGAGAAGGACCTATGAAGACCATGCCCGCTTCAGCAACCGATCTAGCAAAGGCTGTGTTTTCGGAGAGGAAGCCATAGCCAGGGATGATAGCTTGACTGCCATACTTCTTGGCGATTGCAATTATTTGATCACTAGAGTCCAAGGTCAGAGGGGCTTATTTGAACGAAGGCGATAGTCCACCAAGTACTCACCCGTCCAAGTACGCAGATTTAGCTGGGCCAGACAACTCGACTGCCTCAGATGCAGCACGGACATGGAGTGAAGCACTATCTTGAGGCGTGTATATGGCAATAGTACGAATCCCTAGCTTACTTTTTTACGCAAACGTTTGTCAGTAAAGAATGATATTACGAGTGACTGAATGATAGACGAACTTACCTTGCAGCTTTGATAAGTCTGCATGCAATTTCCCCACGGTTGGAAATAAGGACGGTGTGGAGGTGCTCCATAACTTCCATAGTGGAGGTGACGTAAATCCAGTGGACAAATACAGTGGACAGCCGCCTAGGTAGAGTGGGGAAGGTTATCGGGGTTATAGGTGTTTGCTAATGGATGGTCGCGCTCGTTGGGTAGGGTAGGTGCTGATAAGTATTCGCTCTGAGATACAAGCAGCCCGGTAATGTTATATCTATATCTTTTCACCATTGATAACAATGTAACCCCCTCAACTTGGATTGAAAGACGCACTTTACCTTATCCCCTCTCCCATATCTAGCGGATAACGCCGTAAACCTAGGTAGGTACTTAGATACGAGCATCAGTACGTACCGCGCTAACGGCCCCGAGGATTCTTTGGTTTCGGAACCGTCGAATTCAGGTATCATTATAGGGCGTCTTAGTTCAAGCTAGCATGGAAGTGGAGGTAGGTAACATCCTAGCCGAGTATTTTCGGCTCCGAAATACGCTCGATACTCAAGAGTGAGGTTATCTCAATGCTTCAGATCGAAAACCTCTCATGATACAGATACTCACATCGTTGACGAGCCCCATCTTGCCTATACTGAAACAATATATCGAAAACTTTCGACAATGACTACTCCACGACAAAAGGCTTATATCAATGTTGATTTGGGAGAAGGCTATGGCAACTATGTATGTGGCCCAGATGAGGAGTTGCTCCCACATATCGACTTCGCAAATGTTGCTTGTGGATTTCAGTAAGTCAAGCCTCAGCTCAAATGAACTCGATCAATGCTAATCGGATCCTCAGTGCTGGCGATCCCTTGATTCTGTCCAAAACAGTAGAGTTGTGCAACAAGGCAAATGTCAAAGTCGGCGCCCATCCTGGCCTTCCAGACATCCAAGGCTTTGGAAGAAGAGAAATAACCATGACACCCGAAGAGCACACAGCAAACATCATCTACCAAGTCGGCGCTCTACAGGGCTTCCTCAACCTGCACGGAATGAAGCTGAATCACGTCAAGCCCCACGGCATACTCTACGGAATGATGATTCGCAACATGGACGTTGCCCGCGCCGTTTGGGCTGGCGTACCCGCTGGCGTTGCTGTCTTTGGTCTCGCTGGCACAAACATGGAGACTGCGGCGCGAGAAGCTGGTCTGGAGTTCTGGGCCGAGTATTTTGCTGATGTAAAGTACACCAAGGAAGGAATGCTCTTCATAGATAGAAAGAAGACACCTTGGGATCCCCAGGTTGTGAGAGAGCGTGTTCGGTCACAATTCTTTGAGAGCAAGGTTGTTGCTGAGACCGGGGAGTTGATTGACCTGCCTATCAAGGGGAATCCTACGACTATATGTTGTCACTCGGATTCGCCAGGTTGTGTGGAAATAGTCAAGATTACCCGGGAGGTGGCAGATGAATACAACAGCAAGTATGGGTTTGCTTGAAGGCCTGATGATCCTTACTTTACTTATGTAGACATAGCAGTCAAAACGAGATCTATTCACTACGAGCGATAGTCAGCATTGATAGTGATGAACTCATGCGAAAGATCGCAGGTCCAGTGTTTTGCTTCCTTTCGGCCTGTTCCCAACTGGACCAAGATCTCAATATCTTGATGCCGCAAAATCTCAGCAGCTCTACCCTCATCCACAACCTGCGGCTCACCATTGACCAGCAACTCCAGAATGTCCTCTCCATCCTTGGATGCAAGGCTGACACTCGTCTTGCTCGAGTCGATATCAGCGCCTGTGCCTGTGGAATCGTGCGCTCCAATCGTCGATGACCCGGGCTCGCTGAGCAGGGAGTATCCGACGGCGCAGAGGATTCGTCCCCAGTTCGCATCCATGCTGTAGAGTGCTGTCTTGACCAGGGGCGACCGGGCGATGGTGCTAGCGATTTTGCGTGCACTTTGTTCGCTCGCAGACTCTGATACTGTAATAGTAACGAACTTGGTAGCGCCCTCTCCATCTCTGACGACGAGCTGGGCAAGCTCGGTACTGATATCTGTCAATACTCCCCGAAATGCCTTGTAATCTGGCGACTCGTCCGAGTCTATTTGTGGCCCGCCAGCAGCACCGTTAGCCAGTAAGGCCACGGTGTCGTTTGTCGATGTATCGCCATCGATGGTGATGCTGTTAAATGACTTGTCCACCGTCCCTTTCAGTAATCCTGGGAGCAAATTGCTAGCGATCGGCGCATCTGTGACGATGACGCCAAGTAGGGTAGCCATGTTAGGATGAATCATGCCAGCGCCTTTGGTTAATCCGGTTATCGAGTATTTGACCGAGGGTGACGAAGGCAGCGAAAAGGTCTTTGATAGGAGCTTGGGGAATGTATCAGTCGTGCAGATGGCTGCTGCACACTCCAGCCAATGTTGGTGTGTAGAACCAAGGGCCTGGTATCCAAGGGGAATCTTGTCAATGATCTTAGGAAGAGGCAGCCTAGCAAGGAGATTGATGTTAGTCATCTACTCATCGTCCTGATAAACCTTGGAGGAAAAAGTTCAATCACCTTTGTCCTATCACTCCAGTACTCATAACAATAGTACCTTGTTCAACACCAAGAACTCGATCGGCCTCATCAGCCATAGCCTCGACATCTTCAAGACCGCCTTTCCCTGTCACGGCATTTGCGCAACCCGAGTTGATAAGTACAGAATGAAATCCGATACCGCCTTTCCGCTGTAGCAAGGAGCGACTAAAGGTAACAGGAGCAGCTTGGAACTTGTTCTTGGTGAAGACTGCGGCCGCTGCACAAGGACGATCCGACACAATAAAGGCCAGGTCTGACTTGGTTGTGTTGCTGGGCTTTATGCCGACAAAGGTTCCCGAGACTTTGAAGCCTTGGGGGTAATAGCCATCTGAGGGAACGTATTTGAGCTTGTCTTCGGGAATCCAGCTTGTACTGTAAGAGCGAGCAAAGTAGACTCGGTGGCCGGACCTGGGGAAACGAACAAATGTCCTCATATTGCGGTGTTGGAGAAGCACTGGGGAAGATGGTAAAAGGGGAGTCGTAGTATTTATATGAATTTACTACAGTCTTGAACTTCTATATATACACCTCAGTTCTTATTACATTCACTCCCAATATGTCCTACAGCTTTGCGATACCAAAACCATCTCTCCTTTCAACTCCGATCATGTCCCTCGAAATGTCTCTAACAGATTTCGCTCCCGCCAAAGCCATGGTACGCGAGAGTTCCCTCTCTAAGATATGCAAAACCGTCTCAACACCACACTGTCCATTATACGCCAAACCCCACAGCGCTGATCTTCCGATGAAGCACAGATCCGCACCGAGAGCTATAGCCTTGAAAATATCGCTGCCGCGATGGATGCCTCCATCGAACATGACAGGCAGTTTACCGTCAACCGAGGCCACGATCTCTGGCAGCACTTCAAGAGTCGATGGGACTCCGTCGAGCTGTCGTCCTCCGTGATTCGAAACAATGATTCCATCGACACCCGCTTCAACTGCTTTCGCTGCATCCTCTCCTACCATGATTCCCTTGAGGATGATTTTCATGGTGGTCTGTGAGCGCAGCCATGGTATCGTTTCCTCCCAGGTCAGACTCGCATCGACTATCAGGTCGCCGTGCTCTTCCATAACCTGCTTCGCCTCCTTTGCCGTTCTCGCATTGAGCAACAATCGTCCTTTAGAGACACCTCCGGCCTTGACGCTGTCCTGGTTCGCCATACGTAGACCAGGTGGAAGCGTGAGTGGTGTTTTCCGCTCATGGTATCTGTTTCCAAGCACCACCGTGTCAACGGTGAGAACCAAAGCTTCATAGCCAGCCTTCTCCGCTCGTTGAATCAGACGTGCTGTGGCTTCTCGAGATCTCAGAAAGTACAACTGGAACCACGGGTTTGGGTAAGTCACCTCTCGTGGAGGCAAGGCACTCATGACATCCTCAAGAGAGGTCGTCGCATTGGAAGAAAGGATGAAATTGGTTCCTAGAGCATGGCTAGCTCTAGTTAGAGCCACTTCGCCACCTTCTCCCACGAGCTTTTGATAGGCACTTGGAGCTATAGCTATGGGAAAGTCATAGGTCTTCCCAAAAATTGTCGTGCGTGTGTCTACATTGCTAACATCACGCAGGACTTGTGGACGAAGTAGGATTCTTTGGCCAAGAAGTGGTCAGTTTCAGCGCGTCTGTTTGTAATAGCACAACACAAACATACCTGTCGTATATGGAAACGTTTCTCTCCAATGTCTGTTGCTCGTCCGCGCCAGTGGTGTAGTACTCCCAAACAGCCGAGCTCAGTTTAGACTTTGCGATGTCCTGTACATCCTTGACGCAGACAGGATCAGGTGGGTGACTTTGGCGCATTGTGACTGGCTAAAGAGGGAGATCGATAGTGTGCGGTTAAAGCATCCTGATAAAGAGCTTACATAGCTCGCTATAATACTAAAGAAAAGTGGCTTTATTTCCTTTGAGCCTTGTTATTGAGGTCTACTGCCGCTGAGTGAATGCGAAGATGCTCTATGCTAGCGTTCCGCTGCATTGACGGGTCCGATGCGGACCGGTAGGTCCGTTGATACATGGTTCTAGACTGCGCCATAGTCCAGCTTAGGCTCGGGCTCCAATTTAAGTTTCGGACCCGTGTAGAGGGGCTTCATATTTGGTACTAGACTGATATGGTCAAGATCGGACCTGGCTGTAAGTTGAGTCAACAGCTTTCGGAACCGATAAGATTATCATCATGGGCTGCTTGGTCATGAGATAAGTTCTGTAGATGGATATACGAATGGGTTGTTCCAATTTGATACAAGGAAGTGTTTAATTACTCTCATGTCTCGTAACTGTTTATCGAATCTCCAAGACCAAGACTGCAGAGCACATCCGGAATGGCGCCACCACAGGTAATTACAGCTACCGGTGATAGAGTATACATGGATAATATTAATTGGAAAAAGCTTCGAGACCCGTCTTTGCTCAAGTCTGGAGTATGTTACGTGGATGGATCTTGGATTACAGCTCAATCTGGCAATGTATTTGATGTTCACGGTACGTTCGTTCCCTTCCAGAGCAGGAAACAATACAACGGTCAAGCATCTAACACACACAATGCGATAGATCCTGCCAACGATACAAAGATCGCCCAATGTCCAGACTTTGATCAAGAAGATACAACAATTGCCATTAACGCAGCCTACGCGGCGCTGCCAGAGTACAGTCGGCTTTCTGGTAGACAGCGATCTAAACTTCTGCGCAAGTGGTACGATCTCGTTATTGCAAATAGCCATGATCTTGGGGTACTTATTACTTGGGAGAACGGAAAACCAATTGCTGAAGGTAATGGGGAAGTGCAGTTTGCTGCCTCTTTGATCGAATGGTTCAGCGAAGAAGCACCGAGGATCTACGGCGATTCCATTCCCTCTTCATGTGGAAAGAAGCATATTGTTACTTACAGAGAGCCCATTGGGGTTTGCGCGCTGGTCACTCCGTAAGTAAATATGTATGGATCGTGGAGAAGTTCTAACATGCTATGCAACAGATGGAACTTTCCTGCGGCCATGGTAACGAGAAAGGCCGGAGCCGCACTCGCAGCAGGATGTACAGTCGTCTGCAAGGTAGCAGCTGAAACACCTTTCACAGCGCTCGCTTTGGCCGAGCTTGCCAATAGAGCTGGGTTTCCCAAGGGAGTCTTTAACGTCATCACCGCATCCACTGAGAATACCCCAGCAGTCGGAAAGATCCTCACTACTCACCCCATCATCAAGAAGGTCTCCTTCACCGGCTCAACTCGAGTGGGAAAGCTTCTTGCAGAGCAAAGCGCCTCCACGTTGAAGAAACTCTCCCTTGAATTAGGCGGCAATGCGCCATTCATTGTTTTTGACAGCGCCGACTTGGACGCTGCTATTGCTGGTGCTGTAGTCTGCAAATTTCGTGGATCGGGTCAGACGTGCGTCTGCGCAAACCGTTTCTTCATCCACGCCAAAGTCTACGACAAGTTTGTGAGTCGGCTGACTGAGATAATGCAATCGACCTTCAAGGTTGGCAGTGGCTTTGACAAGGGAACAACACACGGCCCCCTCATCCACCAAGGTTCCGTATCTCGCTTGGATGAATGGATCTCAGAGGCCAAGTTTAAAGGTGCTTCTATCACTGGAGGTGGTAAGATGGATGGTCCAGGATCATTCTATCAACCAACACTCATCACCGGAGCGACGCCAGACATGCGTATCGCACAGGAAGAGCTCTTTGGACCTGTCGCTGTTATCTTTTCCTTTGAGTCAGAGAACGATCTGGTGGAAAGGGTCAACTCGGTCAGTGTAGGCTTGGCGGGTTATATCTGGTCAACAGACAGTCGCTGCATACAACGAGTGTCGGAAAGACTGGAACTGGGCATGATTGGAGTGAACACACCCATCGTTGCTGATGCAGCGAGTCCGTTTGGTGGCATCAAGGAATCGGGATACGGGCTGGAGGGGTCCAAGTATGGCGTACAGGAGTATACCGTATTGAAGACGATGACTTATAGTAAATCTGACTAGAGGGAAGTTTCGAATCAAGTCAGTTCGGCTAGAAATAAATTAGTTGTACACTTCCATACTGTTGTTCCCTCAAATAAAAGTCACAGACAAGGCACAGAGACATCTACAAGCGTCGCTCATCTATACTACACAGCCTTGGCCCATCCTGGCGGTGGTTGACCTCTAAAATCAGGGACGGAGGGAGGTAGAGAGAAGCTCAGGGTGGGTAGTGAAAGTCACAACACAAGTTATATTCAACACACACAAGGTAGAACTCACAACAGTATTCCGGGACTAACGAAGGGGGTTTCGATCAGATTTTGGCAACATCCTCAATTGATAATATATATACAAACGTCTATTTGGGTACGACTCCGATTTCCATAACAACAACACTGCCTAGGAATCCATCTCCATCGTAGGCAACTCCTTGAGTGCCTCTGCGATGATCGAAATGCCCTTTCGTAGATCGGCCTCTGAAATGACCAGAGGAGGTGCAAATCGAATGATGACTCGCTGAGTGGGCTTCGTCTGTGAATCAACATGTTAGCTAGATTAAGTAAAGAATAGAACAAAGGTATCCATACCAGTAGACCCTTTCGGCCTAGAAGAATACACAAATCCCTTGCTGTCCTACCACCCGCAGCCTCTTCATCGATCACAACAGCATTAAGCAAGCCTTTACCACGGATTGTTTTGAGGATGGGTGAGTTAATTGCCGCCAGACCCTCACGGAAAATACGGCCAAGCTTCTCAGCCTTGTTCACCAGATCCTCCTCTTCCATGACTTCAAGTGCACGAATCGACACAGCACAGCCGAGCGGGTTGCCACCGTACGTTGAGCCATGAGTGCCTGGTTCCATGACAGACATAATTTCTGTGCTTGTCAAGACACAGCTCATGGGGTAAAGTCCTCCTGATAAGGCCTTGCCCAACGTCACCATATCGGGCTTGATATTGGCCCACTCCGAGCAAAGCATGCGGCCTGTTCGTCCGATGCCGGCTTGGATTTCGTCGCAGATGAACAGGACGTTATGTTGCTTGCAGAGGGCAGCCACTTGTGAAAGGTAGTCCTCATCGGGAACTATGATGCCCGCCTCGCCTTGGATAGGCTCACAAATAAAGGCTGCAGCCTTGGAACCGTACTTTTCCAGGACAGCTTCCAAATCGGCGATATTGCTGTAGCGGATTGGCATTCCCGTGTCTGGGTTGTACGAGGTAACGTTGGGGAGAAGAGGTCCGTAATTATCGCTCGAGTTAGGGTCGGTTGAGAGGGTGATTGGAATCGTCTGTCGCAAACCATTAGCTTTGGATCTTAGCGATCACCTTGAAAGTGGCACTTACAGAACGCCCATGAAAATTACCCTGTGCACCGAAAACCCACGCCTCATCCTTCTGTACCTTCTTTGTCTTATAAGCCCACTTACGAGCAATCTTGACCGCTGTCTCGACAGCCTCAGCGCCCGTACACATAGGAAGGACTTTCTCATAGCCAAAGGTATCAGTGACCTTCTCAGCCCACTTGGGCAGGACATCGCTGTAAAAGGCTCGAGAGCATATGGTGAGACGAGAAGCCTGTTCTGCCAAGGTCTTGACTAGAGCAGGATGACAATGTCCCTGGTTGACGACGCTGTAGGCGGACAGAAAGTCGAGATACTGTCGACCTTCGGGATCCCAAACATGGGCACCTTCTGCGCGGGCGAAGACAGTGGGAATGGGTGCGTAGATGTCGGCTATTCGTTCGCTTTCTAGCTTGATTGCACTGCTGGTTGATGAAGCATGGAAGCGTGACTTGGAGGTAGGAGAAGATGCAAGCAACTCTTCAGCGTGAGGTGCCATTTTGGGTAGAGTATAGTAAGGCAATAAGAAGTTGAACTGTAGTGGCAGATTTTTGATGTCTTGTTGAGAAGGGAATCTACCTACAACATAACTTTTGGGGGGTTCTGTTTATAGTCGTATGGGTGGCCAAACGAGACCACCAGCTGTAAATACACCGCATCTCCATCGAAAAAGAATCTCTTTCGCAGTATAACAGTGCCTAACTTGACATTTGAAGCGATGCATAACCAACCGGCGTTGGTTGGAAACGGCCAAATTCTTTTCGGTTCCGAAAGTACAGCGTAGCGTGGATAGGTAGTATCCATAGTGGTGTTGCGCTAATCTCCACAGCCCGCTCAACGCCTATCAAAGACGGGTCCGAAATCTTAACCCCCTCTAGACATCAAAGTCAAAGATATGGACAACGGCTCCGAAATCTTCATCCAATGGCTTTCCATCATTCACCTCGGTGAGTTACTATCTCAGGCCTAATCCCAACGTATGTTAGTGCCTAGGGATACGGCTCTCAAGATAAGCGATCCCCATGGGGTACGTTAGCCTACCTAGAATCGAGTGAGAGTCTAGATGCACGCAATCTACTGCACATGGATGGTATCTTAGCCTGTGTAGTGTCAATCACACCAAGTTATCTTGTCTAAGCCAGGACTTGGTATAATATATTACAGTTGGTCCGGGATGTTTTGTTTTATATAATTTGAGGACTTCCCAGTACCTTACCGTCATCCTTTCTACCCATCCATATCCGACTGTTAACAACATGGCCATCAATCAAGAGATGTTTTCTTCGGGCTCGGGTCCGGATGAGAAGAAGATAGGGTCGAATCAAGAGGATATCTTGTCCAACCACTCAACCGCGCATGAAGGCATTGCTGAGGTCTTCAGAGAAGGCCAGGATGTTAACTTTCGTACGGTCGGTTGGATATGGGCCTCGATCATCTTCCTCAAGAGTATGTCTCCCGTCCTCCTCTCCAGCAGGTCACTACTGACAATTTACCCCAAGTTATGTTTGCAACTGGAGTTCTATCCATTCCAGTAGCACTAGCTGCTCTCGGTGCATTCCCTGGCGCTGTCAATGTTGTCGGCTGGTGTGCTGTCAACACTTATGCTGCTGTCCTGATGGGAGACTTCCGTAACCGCCATTCAGGCTGCCACTCCGTCGCCGACATGGCCCAAGTCGTGGGCGGAAAGGTGCTACGTGAGGTTGTCGGAGGACTCTTCATCATCACCTGGGTCATCGTCGCAGGATCCGGTATGGTTGGTGCAGCGACAGCTCTGAATGCTGTTTCAACACATGCCCTTTGCACCAACTGGTTCCTTCTCATTGTCACGCTCGTCATCATAGGATTGGCCAGTATCCGCACTTTTGAGAATCTTGGGTGGTTGACTTGGATTGGTTTCGCAGCTACATTCGTAGCTGTCTTTATCGTCGTGTGAGTATGAGCACTCCTAGTGTACGGAAGATATCTAACCTTTCTAGTGTCGGCGTCACCAAGTTGGATCGTCCAGTAGCAGCGCCTCAGGAAGGGCCTTACGAACTCGGATACGTCGTCATCGCATCACCGACCTTTATCCAAGGAATCAACGCAGTGACGGCCATCTTTGTCTCCAGCGCCGGCTCTACTGCTTTCCTCCCCGTCATCTCCGAGATGAGAGACCCGAAACAATACAAGAAGTCTCTTTATGTGTGCATGACTATCGTCACCGCCTCGTATCTGACATTCTCCATGGTTGTATACCGCTGGTGCGGCACTTGGGTTGCATCCCCTTCCCTCAGCTCAGCAGGTCCACTACTGAAGAAGATCTCATACGGGATTGCATTCATCGGTTTGTTGGTGACTGGTGCACTGTATGTGCATATCGCAGCCAAGTATCTGTTTGTGCGCATCCTGCGAGACTCTTCCCACCTCCAGAGCAATACCTGGGTTCACTGGTCCATCTGGTTCGGCTGCACTGTCGGGCTCGGCGCGACTGCATTCGCCATCGCTGGAGGAGTGCCTATCTTCAATTTCCTGCTCAGTTTGGCTGCTTCTCTCGGGTTCGCTCCTCTAACAATCGTTCTCCCCTCGTATTTGTACATATACGACTATGCTGGCTACCGTCGGGGAACTGCTTTCCAGCAAGTTAAGTACTGGTTTCACTGGCTTCTTTTTCTTCTTGGCTGTTTTGTATCCGTCGGGGGGCTTTATGCCGTTATCTCTGCTATTCGCGAAGCATATGCTATGAAGACCATTGGTTCAGCATTTAGCTGTGCTGACAACAGCGGATCTGTATAAATGACAAGTGAAGGAATCGGGAGTGTTGTGTGCCAGAGTTTTTGTATTACAGTTTCGTCAAGATATTTTACTTTGAAGGGGGAGGCTTTGGTATCGATTAAATTAATGTAGCAGTCTTGAACCAAATATCGTTGCCCATCCACGTCAATGCAACCTACTGATGACGAGTGTCTTTTGTCAGCCCCTATCTGACTGGCTATGAGGAAATTATATAGCGGTTATAGCAGGGAGGGTACTTGTAACCCGCCGTGGTCCTGTTCCAGATTACTAGCAGCCCCACGTTAGGGCCCATTTAGGATGGATAAAACGTAAAATACAACCACTATAAGACTCGTCTTTTGTCAGCAACGGTTTATTCACTCAGTCACACCTTCGGACATATCCTTTTCCGGAAAGTTCATCCTAGCTTTCCCATTTTGCATTACGTAGAACATTGTTGGGTTAAGTAGCCTGGTTACAGGACCTGGAGTTAGTCTCCTGCTTGGACTATAGGGTAAGGAAACCGACCAAGTCATGATCGCGCCACTGTCCCTGGCCTGGCTGAAAGCTGCAATGAGCAATAAACACCCCTACTGCCTAATAAGCAAACAGAAAATGAATACTATGTACCTACCTACGCCGGGAAAATGCACTTCTATCCCATCTCTAACACCAACCCTCCAAATGTGGGTTCTGGCAGCGACGCCAAAGATTGGTATATCTTTATGGCCCCCAATCTGTCTTTCAGCCCTGGGAAAAGGATCGCGCTGCACCCACGGAGCCCTGCAAGATAGCCCTCAGCCCTGTAGAATAATCCATGCAGACCAGTCAACTGATGAAACGCCAGCCAGCATTGTCGACGACCAGCCGGCTCCCTCCATGTAAGCATCAGACTTATTAAATGACTCAACCTCGTCCTCGCAGTGAGCCATTCTGAGGGAGAAGCAAAAGTCCAAGCATGACTTCCACTAACAAAGAATGCTCTGTAGAGCGCAGGGACTGCATTCAAGTTCACGATCATTGCCCCGAGCAGCCCTATGTGGAGCTCGAAGTCCCGCAGGATGCAAAGAGAGTTACCGCAGTTACCTTTGGAGGAATATCTAGAGATCAAGGCAAGAACATCAACCTGCTTTCTAGAGCGAAGGACTAACTGCTTCAAGGCTGGGCGGATAACGCAGATGTGTCCTACACATGGTTCGACACCACCGTTATACGCCCAGAGAGTCGCGGTGATCTTCGCACGATTCTCGTTCACAACAACCGTCTAACCGAGCAAGAGCCAGAAGAATGGTCAGAAAGATGGGGAGTCTGGCTCGGACCCAGGAAACGGCTTTGGGTTGAAGCGCTGCGACCTGGGGACATCATACAGCTCATCCCAAGAGCTATGTATATGGCTTGGACAAACATCGTCGATGGAGGTAGCATCAGGATTGAGTACGAAGCGGCAGAGGTGCTCGAAGATCTTCATGCTCTTACCATCTCCTCCAATACCTCTCATTACTCCCAAATCTTGGACATCGAGCGTCAGGATATTCGACTATTGAACGTCAAACCAGGAGCCTTCGACGACCCGATCAGCGCTTCCTTCAGTACAGTCAGTCTCAAAGACGCTGAGGTGATGGGCATTGGGTTCCATGCTTTGTCATACTGTTGGGGTGATTTTAGCGAACGCGAAGAGGTCATACTGTCTCCGAACCAAGGTAAAGCTGATGACGGAGTGCCATTTAGTATTGGAAAGTCTGCCGCCCAGGCTCTTCGTCGTCTACGATCGGAAAAGACAACACTAGTGATCTGGGTCGATGCTGTGTGTATTAATCAGGATGACCTTGAAGAAAGAGCGCAACAAGTAACCTTGATGGCCCAGATCTACTCACTAGCCGCGATTGTACACATATGGCTGGGTGAAGATAACCCGGGCGTTGAAGCATGTCTCAAGCTTGTTCGCGATATCTGCAACTATAACAGCGAAGAATGCCAAGGTGCCGAAGCGTGCTCATGCCTCTGGACCAAGCATTCATCACCATTGGAAGAGATCAAAGAGTTTGCAAAAGAAGTCAAAAGGTCAGGCCGGAAAGTCTCTTTCAAAGGGATGATTGAAGTCTTTGAGATTCATCTGAAGACATGGTCGCGGGCGATCATCGACATGGCGGGCTGGTATGGAAACACACAGCTTTCATTCCTCATGAGTTCACTTTACGAGAACCCTTGGTTTTCTCGCGTATGGGTGATTCAAGAAGCACTGTCTGCCAGGTTTCCCTTGGTTCACTGCTCAGCGGAGAAAGTTCCATGGGAGGAGGTCGTCAAAGTAAGCAATTGGCTCCAACAACCCGACTACGCGACCCAAAACCCACATGTCGCCTCCCAGCAACATTCAATGGCTCCTATCTGGAAGACGTTGAAGCCCAAGGGAAGAACGACGGAGGTTCCAAATACACCCGTTGAGGTGCAGAATACAGACGAGCTATCGGGTATTCTGGAAGTCTTCCTTTCTGGTCTTGATCTAAAGGCTACAGATTCGAGAGACAAGCTGTTTGCATTGCTTACCTTTGCAGACGAGACGCACGATGTTTCACAGCTAGACGATTTGATGCGACCCAATTATGACAAGCCGAGGGAACGTGTCTTTGCGGACTTCACACGTTGGTGGATCCGTGAGCATAATTCTCTGGAGATTCTGTCTTGCATCCACTGTCAGCCAACACGAACTTGGGTCAAAACTGTCGGTCAAGTTACTGAAAGGTTACCAGCAAGTCGACCTACCTGGTCTGTCGACAGCAAGGGAAGCTCGAAATGGACACGAGCGAACCTGAGCGCGCTCTTTAACTTCAAAGCAAGTGGCGTCACAAAGCCAGACCTCAAACTTCTCGAGACGGATGACCCTCTGGTCCTTCGACTGTCAGGACTTCGCATTACCGAGATCAAGAAGATTAGCTGTGTACCCATCGAGCACATGTATCCTTACCAGAACGCATCTCAAAACCAAAAGGAGATATGTCAAGTTCTGCATCAAATCATTGATCCATGTGGCCTTACACCATTTTGGGCTCGAAGAAATACGGCAGGCGACATTCTACAAAAGAGTATTCAAGAATGCAACATGAAATACGGGGATCATATGAACTCCCACTGGGCCTATGCCGACCGGCCCGCCCTGCAAGTCCTCCAACCCAACGCCAAAGCTGAGGTGAACTACTACGAGACCAAGAAGTTGCCAAGTTGTATTGAGCCTTGTTTCTTTGTTACGACTTCTGGCTTGTTTGGATTGTGCCCTTGGATGGCTAAAGAAGGGGACGTCATTGTACTGCTTGATGGGGGGAACGTGCCATATCTACTGAGGCCGGCTGACAAGAAGGACGAGAAATTGAGATATGAGCTTGTAGGGGAGTGCTTTGTTAGCGGGATCATGCATGGCGAGATTTTGGATGCACTTCTGGACAATACGGATCATAAGCAGATTTTTAGTCTTGTTTGAGACTTCTTATTTTGAAAAGGAAATATCGATGATGAAGCATCGCCCCCTTATGGAGGGTAGCTCAGGCTCTCCTTAGGTTGGGCTGAGGTGATGCTCACCCTTAGCTCAGGCGACCTGCCTAAGCAACTAGGATTTCCTTCCTGCGTAAGCTTAGGGTGCTCGGAACCATCACCGTCTTACTCTACTCCTATACGCGTAGTGAAATTAGACCGAATTCCCTGATAGGCTTTACCCGGATGCTCATAATGATGCACAGAGTGAATGTGGTCGTGGGCAGTAAACGGAATGTCCACGAACCGAGATGGATGCAGCCCGACGCGACTTGTGGCCTACGCGAGAACAAGAGAGAACAAGGTCAAGCTTGTGATGCGAGAACTAGCATTGCGAGGGAAGAGAGTTTCAGACCTCAAAGTACTAAACAGATGAAGCGCTGCATAATCTTCCAAGAATTTTGGCAATATTTAACTGCCTTCAAGTGAAATTTTCAACCACTATAGTAATCCCCTGATATCTCCATGCATGTCCAATTCTTGGAGCCTGAAATCTGCCACGACTCATGCATAAGGTACTTGCTGTAGATATCACAACTACGCAATATTGACCGAGAAAGACTAGCATCTGTTCTCTCGAATCATATGCCGATATGTACTATCAGGGTTGAAGCTTGTTGGAGTTTAGGCATTGATTAGGCTTCAGTGACGACAAATTGAGTGAGAAATAGGACTTTATGGTCCCAGCATTGCATAGCTGCGTTAAGTCATGAAACAGGTTGCGATTGCTTGTTTTGCAGTTTTCAAAAGGCAGTAAAAGTCATCAAGGTAATCATCCAATGTTATCATGCCCTTTTCGGTTTCCCTGTTCAACATGCAATGGCGCATTCCGGAATCCGTATGCGTCAATCTCGCATCGACATCTGTCAGCAGGCATGTGAATAGCAATCAAAACTCGTAATTTCAAGCTGCGTCGTGCTCAAACGCTTGGCGACGTGGCGCATTTTCTCACGGGTGACAAACACGGCATATTCATTTGGATCATCTGAGCAAAACACGTTTGTGCTTTTGTCGACCAGGTGATTAGACGTCAGTTCAGCTTCGCAGTTGTGGCATTCACGATGACCATTAATCAAGCCAGGTACACATCTGTCAGACCGCTATACGCTTTTGCGCAACCTGCTTTGCTATTGTTGCAGAACCTATTTCAAGCCCCGTTGCAACGTGCGTTCAACCTCTATTAATTGATCAGAAGTACCCATGCTTGGGCTCTAGACTTCCACAATTGTGGAAGGGGCCATTTTTCTAATTGGCTAGTTTTAAAACATGGTGGCATTACCCGCTTAGTCGCATGCCAGTCAATCCTCTACTATTGGTTGGTGGTCGTCCTACCTTGTGCAGCCTATTATTGTATGGACACAGCTGTGCTGTGTCTTGGGAATCTCGTTCCGAGATAAGGCTGGCTGGAAAATACCTACTCATTTATAGGTCCAGCTGGAGAATTGATTTATTCATGCGCCGACCATGACTATGTCAATTCTTGCTGTTTCTGTAAAGCGGCTCAAGGGCTTCTTCAAAATGTTTCTTTGCGGTTGTTGCCCTTCATCTATGCCAATTCGGCAACCAAAGCCCTCTTCTCAGAACCAGAGCACTGTGCTGACACAGTCAACCGTCAGGAAATTACCGGAAACCCTGGATTCTCGGCACCTTGACCGTTCCTCAACCCTCTTAGGAGCTACCAGAGGAGTCAAACGGACCAGAACTGACCAATGCCGATCTTATGTTGGTAGTCAACCCGATGCACTATTACATGGCTGTGTCACACCCCTAACCCCGAAATATGGGGCCAAATATGAATCACCATCTTCAAGTGATCAGTCTGAAGGTGAAAGCATCGACCTTTGGGAACAACGCCAGTTCCCGACTGATGTGCTTGAGGATCAGAGACACAAGATAAAGACACAAGCACTCAAGCGCTTTAAGAAGTGGAGAGCAGAAACAAAATACGTTGCACCGCGGGAGGATAGACTGCCCCCTCGAAAAAGAGGCAAAAGATCATCTACTCGGTCAATTTACACACAGTCAGAAGATGAAGTTGATATCAGCGATGAGGAGCTGGTAGTGGTTTCTCAACCCGCTCGCACAAAGTTGTTCCTTCATCTTGCTTGCCCCTTTCAGATCTTCGCGCCAGAGGAATATCAAAAGTGTCTGCTCAAGGATGATCTACAATCTATTGAGGAACTAAATGAACACCTCTTTCGATGCCATTCACGCCCAATTCATTGTTTGATCTGCTACAAGACCTTCGACACGCTGATCCAACGTGATGACCACGTATTGAGCGAAACGTGCCAGAAGCGCGATGTAGGTCCTGAATACGGTCTCGATGAGAGCCAGAAGTCAAATCTGATTCGAGGAGACTCTTGGCACCTCGGTGAAAGGAGACGTTGGTATCGTCATTGGTCTGTCATTTTCCCTGGATCAAAGAACCCGCCTTCTCCGTATCTGGATCGAGGCCTGGGATTGAGTATCTCCATGATGCGGGATTTCTGGGAGTCACATGGGTCTCAATGTGTCTCTGATTGTCTTGAGCAAGAGGAGTTGACAGATGACCAGGGCGAGAGTGTTCAGCGTGTTTTGTATGAGCTGACACTCGAGGATTTACTGGGTGAGATGATACAAGAGGACGATGATCTTGTCTATCTGAACGAAGAGTAGGTCGGCATCTACTCGGGGTCTGCTAGTGACCTATTTAAGGATTTTGAAGGTCAGTCATCAAGTCGTACAGTTGTCTGCTAGTGACACATTTGGTGATAAAGACGCCCGCAATGCGTAGTTAATAAAACAACACTTTTGATCATACGAACTGTCGTAGGTCGACATAGAGAGCTCTATCAAGGAGGCTCATACTAGCCTATTTGTTTCGCAGTAAGCCTGAAATGTATTAACATGCCTTCTTGAAACCCACCATGCATCATGGACTCTTGAGACTTGTCCACAGGATATTCTTATACTGTTGTTTTCCACCTTCCCAGTCTCTTGCGAACCCAGATTTGAATCAGCCGAGCAGCTCAAGAGACTTACTGACATCTAACTGTTGAGTTGGAGAAGGCTCGTACAAGACCCTTTTGCTGATAGTGCTATCACCAAAGGCAGCGGCAAAGCAACTGTCGTTCTTACGCCCCATCTTACAAAAGCTGTTGTGATCGTTTCGTGGCTTGAGATTGAGAAGAGGGAAGGTTTGGTCTTTTGCTTCTAGTAATGGAGAGAGGGCCTAGGTGACATTCTTCTATAACCCAATAAATAAGTTGGCTTGCTAGTCGAGTGATCTTGCAGGAGGGTAACCCAATTTGTCGCCTAAGGCTCCGAAAGGGAAGTTGGGAATGGCTTCAATTTGGCCAATCGAAGAGGAAGGACCCTATGGGTCCAAGGGCACTGATGGCCGAAGGAAATAACTGACTGACCAGTGGCTGAAGAGAATCTTGCTAACGTGAAACATGCAGCACTCATCATAGAGATAGAAAACTGAAAGGCACTTCGAATCACCATGCTCATCAAATTGGCCTTCAACAGTAGATTTGGGTAATAAGACATGTTTTCTCATGAGAACTAAACCAAAGTTCAATCTAAACTCCAAACACCAATCTATCCTACGCTCGCTGTAGCTCTAAAGAAAAAGCAGACCGTTCTAGCCATTAAAACTCCCCAATATCATTTTTCCCATGCGACCATATGAGCATCAACTCATGAGGCATCAGTTATGCATTGCCAATTAATCATCAAACCATTACATGAGATCATAAACAATACCTCTGATTAGTCTTGACAACCATTATTGCTCCACCATGGAAAGCCATCGCTCGAGCCATTGTTCGTGGGGAAACCAATGGCTTCAAGAGAAGGAAAGCCAGACAAATCAGCGCCACTTTGGTTGGGCGCAGAGAATCCAGTACCATCGAAGTCGCCGTCATCGACGTCATAAAGGGAAGAGTTGTTTATGGCTTGAGACGCCGGCGAGGTCTCTGATGCTGCAGGTCCAGGCGCTGAGCGAAAAGGCACAGGAGGGCCTGTTTCAATATTCGCCGCCGGAGGTGACATCTGAGTGCTATGTTGAGAGGGCAGAGCGAAGGCTGGGGTATTAACAAAAGGAGCACCATAGTAAGGTTCCTGTGTCTGGGTATCGGTTTGGGGGGCTAGCGGGGTAACGGTTTGGGGAACGACACGAGGAGTGGGGGCAGACGGTGCGGGGGCAGAAGGGTTTTGGTACAGTTGATGTGATGGTGGATGGGCTTGGGGAGCGGCGAAAAAGGCAGAGGGGTCAAAGACAGTGGGAGCGACAGCACCATTGAATGGCTGCTGTGATATCTGCTGCGGGAACATTTGCCGTTCGGGCATCTGCCTCTGTGGGACCTCCAAACGGGTATCTGTGCTTGTCTGTGGTTCGGCCCCAGAAGACCCTGGGTAAAGTCCATTCAAGACATGGTTTACGGTCGCATCAATCACGTCTTCACTGAGAAAGAAGTGGGAAAGGCAATCTTGGAGAGCTCGGCGGATGATCTCTTCGCCCTGCGAGCGAGGAGCAAGTGTCTCAACTTCAACCTCCGGTAGAACAGTCGCTGTCTCAACCACAGCCTCTTGACCAGGAAGAGCAAAGTATGGTGATTTCGGGGGAGGTTTGTTTGGCAAACAAGCTTTCCACATAGCGTACCACTTAGGAATGTCGCCAGTTGCTTTGTTTCGCGCCTCAACCAGTCGCTCAAACTCTGCAGGTAGCAGCATCCCGGTCTGTTCGCTCGTCGCTGGCTGAGGTGTTTGACATGGCAAATGCTGTCGGAGATTGGCCTCAGCGGTAGTGCCAAAAAATTCCATGCGACATTTTGGGCAGTAGAAAGCGACTGCTTCCTCTGCTTTAGCATTGCCTACGAGTTCAACGTTGTCTGTAGGTTCAGCGTTGGCGTTGGTAGTCTTCTGCTTGACGTCTCGTAGCAGATGGCGTCGCCCAATGTGTTGGGAGACATCGCAGAGGCGTGTCAGTCGGACACTACTACAGCAATCGTAGCGTACCGGATCGAACTTGTGGAAGGGACATGCGAAAAACTGGGGGCCACTGTGCGGGGGTGGGACCGGGTACCTGTGGCCGTCCGGTGGTTGCTTTCCACCACTTCCTCCGCCGTTTGCCCCGCCGTTTTTCTTCCCGCCTCCGCCTCCGCCTCCGCCTCCGGTATTTCGGGATCCTCGACCTTGTTTCTGTTTCTTCTCTTCACGGCTTCCTTGATCGGGGTTGTCTGTATGGCGTTTCTGGCTGCATCCATGGGTTTTGTGGCCATCATTGCTGTCCAGGTCCAACTCCAATTTGATCCTCTGTGCAATTCTGTTGATGGACCTCCAAATAGCTGGTTCGGAGTCGACTGTCACCACTTGGTGATCCTCATCAATTATAGGGTAGCCGGTGTCGCTGTAAACAACCCCGCCATGACTAGAGTTGTCGCTGCTGTCCGACGGAGTCGAGGAGCTTCTTTTTGAGGCTAGATGAGTCTCCGAGTTATGCGAGGACTTTTGGTTGAAGAGATGCAATAGCCGTTTGGGTAACCTTCTGTGCGAGGCCGCTGATGCAAGGGATTCCCGGTGGGGGGGTTTGTGGCGGCGGAACTTTGCATAAAATGCGGTATACATGATACAATGAGCGATTGGTTTCAAGGAGAATGAGAGTGACTTAAAAGTTCAATATGTTCTTTGTATGTGAAACTGGAGATAAACAGAAGATAAAATGCGTATGTTGACTGGATGGGGGCAAAGGCTTTGTTAACAAGACGAATTGAATGGCTCCCTCCCGAAGCTCTAGAAGGAAAACATGACAATGCGAAAGCTGGCTTTCGAGTACTTATTAACAAGGCAATGTCTGCCTGCTACACAATTGAGTAATTGCGACAAGGCTGTTTTGTCGGTTGTAAAATAAATCAGGCTCTGCAGTACACGTTCGCGCAGTTCGCCCGCGCGGGTGGTGTGGGATTCACCCAGGAGTTTACAGACATTTCCATGACTTGACACGGAAGCGATAATTAAGCTGATCACTAGTATTTTGAAGGTTCCTGAAATTTGCTAAGAAAAAGTGCTATTGTGATGCACGCGTTGATACATCAGCAATAACCTTACAAACAAATGTCGGGCATAAGCATTGAAGCAACGGCGAGAACATGAGATCCATTGTTGGACTCCATTGAGAGGCCCGTTGGGCGCTTCCCCTACACAAATGTGTAGGCCTTTTACGCATTTGTGGAAAAGGCCTAAACATTTGTGGAAGCTGAAGACGCCCCGGAGACTTTTAGCCCCATCCCCATTAACCTCATTCGCTGGGTTTCCCCCATGGGAGAGTCGTAGGACCAACCAGCAGCTCTATAGGCCGCCACTTCCAGTCTCTGTTTCAGTCAAACCTCTGGGCGTCTGCGTTGGTTCGCAATGGTGTAGTTCAGTCAAGTCCAGCATGGCTGTGCTCTTTATCTACTTTGCTCAAATGTGCGGACTACGATTCCACGGTCGTGAACAGTACTGTGGCTAGCCACAATTGTGAAGCGATGGACGCAATCGTGGAAGATGAAGCGTCAATAATATTATATATTTCGCCTTCATGGTCCTGAGATGCAGTGAATTGCACAACCAGAGATCTATCTACACCACATCCTATATCACAATGTCTGATTCAATTGAAAGTTCAAAGAGGTTGGTTCATTGTCCGTAATTCAAAGGCTGTACGCTAAAATTATTGTACCTACAGCTTTTCAGCCCAATTGCACACGAGTCAGCCATACAATGACCGTGTGCAAGACTGGCTGTTGGACCCAGGTCTTGACCTTCAGGGCAGACTGCTGACGGGCGGCAGCACAGCACAGCCACAGAGTCCTACACCATCCAAACAGAAGCCAACAAAATCAACACCTAAGGCACATATTTAGGGACATTGGGAGTCGCATGAACTTGGAGCTGTCATGATGTCATCTGTTTTACAATGTACTTTATCGCAGTAGATAATTAAAACCAAGTATTGATGTTCCAAAGTAACAAATAGTAGGGTTTATGTGGTTATATTTTCATTGTTAGACAAGTTAGACTCTACGCCTCAAGCTATATCTGCTCGACGTACCTCCTTAGCCAAGTCTTGTAGGACTAACATTTGTCAAGTAGTACCAAAGACGGTCAATCAAGGCACTGAGGTCTAAGTAGCTTTTATCATACGTTTGCCCCCAAGCTTTGCGCCAACTAAAGAGCCAGGTCTCGGCTATCTGCACATTGCGTCTTATTTGCTGTCGTACACCCCTCCGTGTGTATATCTGGACTCTGGGTCTAGCAGGGCACCCTCGTCTGCCTTGTGACGTTGATTCTTCCATTTTCAACCATCCTGCTGCCTCGTCTTTGACTCCCCCGTTTCCATGGTTCTCGAAAACTTCACAGCTTCTATCAAGGCTGAGGCATTGCGATACTAAAGCCTTTCGTTCATGCACAAACGAGGAATCAGTGAATCTATTAGGGATAAGCAAATGAATCTTGACCGCAAAGCTGGAGGTTTTGAGACTAACTTGCCAAATGCATTCTCCTATGGGTATTCTAATGTTGGCAAGGGGGCTACTGCACCGGTTAAGAATAAAAGCTCGAGCTGGAATGGGAATTCACCCCGAAGGCGATCGACGGTGCCATTATCATCGAGTTCGCAAGCCCAAGAACGTATGTCTGGCACGGCATTGCAATCAAAGCTATCAAGTAAGATATATCGATGTACCTCTTGCAATACAAGAAGGCTAATGGTTGCTCCACGTCGTGAAGAGTCTTCCCTGGCGGGTAAGACAGATCTTTATAATCCCGGACCTCTGGGCTCACAGATGTATTGTGGCGATCTACATCGGGTCGCTTCAGTGGACAGCATGCTTCCCCTACGGCTTCAAGCGTTCCCCGACACGTCGAGCCTGGACATGCTTCTTGATACACAAATAGATCCTTCTCTGCTCCCATTTACTGAATGTCGGATGCAATCGTTTGATGAGCCGATGAAACAAGAATCGCCTCCTTCAGATAGCAAGAATGCATCAAATCCTTCGAAGAGGCCTGCTGGGGACAACAGAGCACCTCAGAAGAAGAGCCGCGCTACTCGAACACCAGAAACGATAGCTGAAGCCGATGGGGACGGTGGTCAGGATGAAGAAAGCAACAACGTCAACAGATGTGTAGAGTCATTTGCGTGCCCCTTTTACAGAAGGCACCCAGAACGTTATTTTGATTGTATCAGCCTCAAAATGCCTCGCATATCAGATGTCAAGCAGCACATAAAGAGGCGCCATATGGCGAACTACTCTTGTCCGAGGTGTTCCAAAGGATTCTCAGCGCTAAAGCCCTTCCAAGAACACGTTCTGCAACAGGATTGCTCAATGGACCTCTCAGAAAACATTGACGGTGTCTCACCCGCTATGCATGACGCCCTCAAAGTCCGTTTTGAAAGGAGTTTGTCACCGAGCGGTCAATGGCATAAGATATGCAAGATCGTGTTCGGAGATACCGATGATGACCAGAACCCGTTTCATGGAGGAGTTTTCAAAGAGATTACAGGAATAATAAGGGATATTTGGACAGAAGAGGGACAGCATATCGTTTCCAATGTGCAGAGAACTAGAGATATGCCAGAGTATTGCGCTAATCAGCTACGCCCGGTAGTATTGGAACTCCTGGCCCGAGTAGAGACTCGATTCGAACAAAAGGTTTTCGACGGGAGCTCAAAGGAGCGCTCTAATAGTGTCGAGAGTACCTTGGAGAAACCCGCAGTCGATTCAAAACCAGGGCCTACTCACGGTCCGTCTCCAGGTTTTCAGACCAATTTTGCTCCTCACGATACTGCATTGTCATCTTCTAATTCAGGAATGACATGTGATCTTTGTGAAAGCTTCGGCTCATTCAAGAGAATGTGCGGTCTTTCTATGCCCCCTGGATCACAGGATCAACAGACTGAGATACCATATCCCGATTTCACTATAAGAGACTTGTCGTTTTTGCCGTTTTCAAGCGATGGAGACAATTGGCAAACCATCGAGCGACACAATGGTATTCCGAAAGACATCTTTGAGCCTGCCTATCTAGAAGGTGTGGGAGATTGGACGAACGTCGTGGACCTAACACAAGAAGATGAGATACTGGCAATGGGGGACTCGTAGGTCGCGTTTCTTCTTAAGCTGACTCCTTACTCGTCCTCATATTCGGCCTTTCATATTGCCATGTGGCTAGGACTGGGGCAATCCAATCATTACGACAAGAATGGTTACCGTATCGCGGACACGGGCGGAGTTGTTGCAGTTGACTAAGATTAGGACTTCTGGCCAAGCGGATCTTGCCTTGGGCGAACACGGGTATCTTTCAAACGAAATGATGGAAAGGGTTGGTGTCAAGGTATGTGCAGAGGCCAGTATTGGTGGCATCATACAAGTTCCAAGAGGAAGCGTCGGCTTTGGAGCATATGAAACCCCTGAAAGACATGCCGATGGTTATGAGACTCCTGAATGAGAAGGTTCCAGCAGACAGGTCGACCCCTCATTGAATATGTAATTTAACAATCTGAAGAGCTCATGGGAACCGCATAGCAGCTTAATTTCAACAATTATATTCACTGTCTGGCTTCTAGGATATGTTGTTGGTCTGAAAGTTCAGCCGCCTAACAAGGGACGATCGAGTTATTTCTGACTATGTATTGGAATAAAAGCCAGATATCGCAAGTTAGAGTTCATTGTAAACACAAAAGGTTAATGCTTATATCGAAGTAAATAGCTCTCTATGCATATTACAAAACGATCAAATCTAAACGCTCCTGGAATATCTCCTGTAATTTACTCCGTTAAGTTACTAGGAGTAAGATATAGACGGGGTCACCTTGGTGTAGGTAAGGCTGTTTTGATTTTGTTAATTACCAGGGGTGGAAAAGCGACACCAGGACGTCTGCTCAACAAAGACTCAGGTTGGGCTCAGGGAAGGCTCAGGTCAAAGGAGCGACTGGTCAGTGGTAGGCGAGAGAGGAAACACTCGAAATTGATTTTCACATTACGTATCAGGCAGCTTTCTGTTTTCTAAGAATACCTTCTATAAACTAATATCTAACGAACTTGCCAAACCTAACGAGTCCATGCTGTGATCAATCTTGTCCGGTACTTTTCTTCCTTTGTATCCTTAACTTTCCCCTTACCGGAGGTATGGGAAAATGCCCTATACTTACAAATATAGGCCTCTCATGAACTGCTTCCACATCATAATGTACAGCCAGATACGCCAAAAACAGCTTCATCGCGATAGCGGCAAAGTTTCTTCCAGGGCAAGAGTGCTTTCCTAGTCCAAAAGAGAGATAATTCTCGGACGTCGAAACTAGCGAGTCCTTGCTCCCACCGTCCTGGACAAAACGAAAGGCTTCGTAGTTGTGAGCAGCAGGATAGATATCCTCGTCGTGGTGAATACCCCAAACAGGAACACTGACGCGTGAGCCTTGGGGGAGATGGATGTCGTAGCCTTTGAGATCTAAACCAGTAGGCTGCATAACCTGGACTCCAAGGGCTTTTATGGATGTATGTAGCCGGAGAGTCTCCTTTATAGCGCTGTCTGCATACTTGAGATTGTTGACAGTCGACTGGTCTACCTTCGCCGAGAATGCGGAACGGCCTTCTTCCTCTAGGGTCTTCCAGACTTTTTTCGCTGGATCAGTTGCACAGAGGTTGAAGAGCGTGTGTGTCATAGTTAACGTCGTGGACTCTAAAGCGGCGAACATAGTAGCAAAGACAAGGCAGGCTATCACATCGGCCAACCCTTCGCAGGGCTCCTTCTTGCGTAGAGCCTGTTCGATATGCCAGGTCAGAACATTATCTTGTGGAATGTCTTCGACATTTCCTCTTTCCATTGACGTGATTCTTCGTTCGATTTCTGGCCTGACTGTCTTGAGGGCTCTTTTCATATACATTCGATTGAAGAATGAAGTAAGACGAGATAAGATTGGTTGTAGAAAGGGTGGGAAGAAGGACAGGACCAAGGCACTCGGGACGACTGCAGTTGAGAAATTTGACAGGTTGTCCAGAAGGTCTTCGTTGGGTCATTGCGAACGGTTAAATGGGTATTGACGAATGGCTTGATTATATCAATCCAGTAACAACTTAAAATGGCTAAATTACAATAGGAAATCTACACTAAGATTCGTGTAAAACTGGAACGCCTCCTCAAGACCGCCAATATCGTATCCCATAATAACCAAGTAATCCTGTCCCCGACACAAGCGTCGTCAACACAAATACCAAACTCGTGACGATACCCTGCTCAAAGAAACCAAGCTGTGTGCCCTTCAGACGTCGCTTCATCTCAGGAAGTCTCTTCGTAGCTTCCACCTCCAGCGCTCTTAGATCAGCAGCAGTCGAAGTACCGAGAATCTTAGTCAACTTCTCATCCGTGCTGGACTTGCTGAGATACTTTGGCTTGGGGCGAGAGAAGAGGTCTTCGGTGTATATGGCGTTGGTGTTGGCTTGGGGAGGGGAGCCAGCGGGTGCGATGGGAGAATCTGAGAATGTTAGCTTGCGGTTGATAGAGTCTAAAGTGTAAAGCACTTACAAAGGAGCTGTGTGGGGATCTGGTTGACATAGCTAACAGCTGTGTCGAGGAATTGGCATGTGTACTTTGCCATTGAGGGTGTGGTGAAAACATAAGCTGCGGCCAAAGAACCGACACTAGATAGAATTAGAACAGTAACTCGAGGAGGCCTATGAGCAACTTACTCTCTTGATGCGTCAATAGCATCGTCCATACTTGTGACAGAGTGAACAATCAAAGTAGTCTCCTCAACCTTTTGTTTCAACAGACTCGACGATCTATCAAGTTAGCAAGGGTTCAACTTTCTGGAAGTTTCAAGTCATACCTGTTCTGAACGTCAAGAATAACACCGTTAGATCCAGAAAGCACAACATGCACACTGTCGTCCTTCTCAACTTCCCTACTCAACCCTGTTCTCACAGTACGCCCCTTCGCCGGCGCTGCAAGAACCTCGGTAGTCTTCTGCACGAGAGCTTTCAGCAGGTCCTTCTTGACCCACTCGTTAACAAGAACGACGTCGGGTGCGTAGGGTGCTTTGCCTTGTAGGGTGAAGCGTGCTGATACTAAAGCTTGTGCAGCGGAGGCAATGTCTGCGTCTCGCTCAACGAAGGCTATCACGGGAGCTTTAGGGTCTGAAACCAGATGGTTTCGAAGAATAGGACCTGTTGAGCCATTTTGGGAGACGAGAATGTGAGGTGTGTTGAGATCTTCTGGGGTGACGGGTTGGGTTGATGTGGCGAAGATATCTCTGTCTAGAGAGGTCTGGATGAGATTCAGAACCAATTTTGGCGTTTCCCGCAGAGAGTTTTCGGACTATGATTATCAGTACCAAGACCTCCATTTCCTGGGGTAAGGCAAGCTTACCTGAACAATAACGCAGTTTCCAGCCGCAATAGCAACAGCCAGTGCAGAGATCAATCCATAAAACCAAGCATGAGCAGCCGGTTCAATGACAACCACACCAACCGGCTCCCGAGCCGTAAGATCATCCTGTCCTTTCTTCACAGAATATTCTTCCTCAAGCTGCTGATCAGGGTTGATAGAGTTATAAGCATCTGCAATAGTCTGCAGAGCGAGACAATACTCGACTTTTACCTCTGAAGTCTGATTTCTTGAATCCTTGGCGATGGCATCTTGAATTGAAGAAGCATTATCCGCTAGACCACTGTGGAGGAAGCGCAGTTGGTCTTTGCGGTAGATTGGGTTCTGGAGACGGCCGTCGATTGCGGCGGACCGGATTGCGGAGAATTGTTTCGCCATCGTAGAAATCTGTCTTGACCTATCTTGATTTTGCAATATGATGAATAGAGGACATCAAGTATTTGTTTGCCCATCAGAAGTAATAAGTTCAAAGACACTTTTTTACGCCCACTTCTCAGAAGAGGAAGGTCCAGCAATCCGGGGTCCCCGGATCGTCCATCGGTTCGGGTGTTTTGGAATTGGGGAATGTCGTCCTCCTCCACATCCCGAGTGGAGGTCACCGTGAACTTGAACTGCCGACTCCGGGTCTTCCGTGTAAAGTCAGCAAGGGGCCTAGAATTGGATTTCAGGTCATTCGATAATACCAAAAGGTCTTGATTGACTCCATCGCCAGTTCTCCCCATCATCACCAACATCCAAGATGTCAACCACAACAACCCAAACTCACGTCCAGAACGGCTCTTTCCACAGCGCTGTCCTTCGGGACTACGAACTTCATCATTCCCAAAGCCGTGAAGAATCACCAGCTGCTCACTCACCTTCGAACTCAGTGGACCATCCTGAATTCGACCTGCCGCATCGCCGTGTTCCTTCTTACAGACCGCTTAACCGCAATCCAGAGCATATCAATGGCGTGAGAGTTTATACAAGTACTCCTGAGCTGTTCTTCATTACTGCTATGTTTCGAGGATTGAATTTCAATGCTGTAAGTCGAAATATGAGAGCATAATTTGATGGACTTGGCTTACTTTTGGTGTAGGGTGTGGCGCAGACTTGGAGGGCTTCTGTTGGGAGGTTTACGGATAAGGTTTGGAAGTATCCTATCGGTGGGGAGTTCTAGGGGAGCGCAGTATATCGACTTTTCCTTGGGACTTTTTGTTTAGTTTTGAATAAACAGCTAGGTATCTATGTTTCTCTATAACGAATATTTGTCCGTTACCACCATCTACAATTTTGTTCGCAAGACTGGCGCTATTGATGGAATTTAGTAACATGAGCCTGGTATGAGGAGCCTTTGAAAATAAAGAGTCGCGTATGATCTATCAGCAAGTCGCCTGATACCAGGAGGAAGGGTGGTAATAAAGGCTTTGAAAAATAGCATCTTTTCTATAAACTATCTACTCAGAAGCCTTGACACCAACCATATTTCCATAATCTTCACCCATCTCCTTGCCATCGACAACTGGCTTAGTAGACGGCAAAAGCACATACAACATCCTCGCCCATTCCGTCTCACTACAATTCCTCCAAGCATGCATCGTAGCCCTCTGAACACAAACATCTCCCCGCTTAAGCACCCTCTTATCACCCGAGTCCAAGATAAGTTCCACCTCACCCTCCAACACAACACCATAGTCCATACTGACAGTGCGATGCATTGGTGACATGTGGCCTGGGCACATGTCTACATATCTCAAAACTGTGCCTGTTGAGACGCTCAGACCCGGGGCGTTGTTGAGGAAATCTTGGTAGGACGACATGTCTGATGACAGGTCCGCGGGGAATTGCTTTGTTGCATAGCCCAAGGCGAAGTGGGCTTCTTTGTTGGGGAGGGCGTAGAAGGGTGCGTTGGAGTCGATTGTTGTGTCGACAATTGCTTTGCCCTCTTCATTGTGGGTTGTGATGAAGCGTTGGGTTTGTCTGAGTTTGCCTTCCAGAGCCATTGTGATGTCGAATAGATTTGTTAGTGTGGTGTAATGTGATATGTTGTTTTCTGACAGTATTGAATATTGAATTGAGTTAGGTGGGTTATTCGTCTTGTCGTTTTATGTTGTTGTTTCATGATACCTTATATCCGGTCATTTCCCGGGATGATGACTCGGGATGTGGAGGATCTCCAACTCGGCGACTTCTCTCCTGCATCCGATCGCCCACTTGGCTATGCGACGACCCTTCGCGGGGTCGGAAATAGAGTCCGAGCCTAGCGCGGGCTGTTATTTGATGTTAAGGTATCGTATCGTATTTGGTAGACATCCCATCTTATTCCTTGCCGCTTTGTTCGATTTGTGATTTTATCAAAAGTCAAATTGGACTCGAGACAAAGATCACCATGGCAGCTACAGATTTCTCCAACCACTTCTCAGAAAAGAACATTCCCTTCGGGATCGCTTCATCTGAAAGTCACAAAGAACCTCAAGCTGTTACCAGATTGGGCAACACTGTCATCTTCCTCCAAGATCTGGTGAATGAGCTGTTCAAGGATGTTGAGGGTCTGACAGCTTGTGTTCTTGGCCAGTCAACCCTGAACGACTACGTAGCTTTACCCAAGAGCGTTCACCAGAATGTTCGAAGCCAAATCCAATCAGCATACCAAAAGGGCGGACTCGATGCCTTCCCGCCGGGTAGCAGAGAAGACATCAGTGGTGTTACAATGCACTTGCCCATGGAAATCAAAGACTTCGCCGGTAAGACCACATCCCCTCCCAATCACAAACCGATCACTAACTTGAGACAGATTTCTCCTGTTCACTCGACCATGTCATCAACGCAGGTCGTATTGTCGTGAATAACCCACACCCACCACCAGGCTTTTTCCACTTCCCTGTTGGCTACCAAGGTCGCACAAGCTCAATCGTCACTTCAGGCACAGACATCGAGCGTCCTTACGGTCAGTTTCGCAATCCTGTGGACGGTTCTATCATCTACGGACCTTCCCAAAAGGTTGATTATGAAGTTGAGCTTGCCGCTGTTATTGGAAAGCCTTTGGGCATGAAGCAGAGATTAAATGCAAAGGACGCCGAGGAGCATATCTTTGGTTTTGTTATTCTAAATGACTGGAGTGGTAAGTAGAAAGCTGTTCTGATGTGGATGGTACTGACTGGCCTTCCAGCTCGCGATATCCAGGGCTTTGAGATGAGCCCTCTTGGTCCTTTCAACGGTAAAAGTCTAGGAACATCCATCTCCCCATGGATTATCACCCTCGACGCTTTAGACCCCTACCGTACACGCTCCCCAGCCCAACAAACCCTCTCAGCATCATATCTCCAACACCCCAACCCTTCCACCTTTTCCATCACAATGAAAGTCGAGCTCCTCGCCAACTCAACCACGACAACGCTTGGCACATGTCCTGTCGAAGCTCTCTACTGGACTCCCCAACAAATGATTGCTCATTCAGTCAGTTCTGGCAGTGCTCTTAGAACCGGAGATATCCTTGCCACAGGCACAGTTAGTGGATCGGATGAGGCGAGTAGAGGCTGTATGCTTGAGACTACTGAGGGTGGAAGTAAGCCTGTTACGCTGAGCGACGGGTCGAAGAGAGGCTATCTTGAGGATGGGGATGTTGTGAGGATAACCGCTGTTGCTGGAGATGGGGTTGGGTTTGGGGAGTGTGTTGGTCAACTTACTCCTGCCCGAGCTTACTAGACAATTGTTCCTCTCTACAGATGAGTTCTGAGAATACAAGATCGCATGTTATGCAAGCTTTAGTGGCTGCGAAGGAGCGGTAGGGTGGGAATTCAGTGTGATATCGTTACTTGTCGAGGGTCTTCTCCCAATATGTCCTTTGATCCACATTCCTTTCTTGTCAGCAATTTTGGAAAGGCACAAAATTCCAGTCGATATGTTTAGTGTGATCTTAATCAATAGTGAACAGATGTTCCCATTCGCGAGTCAACGGTTTGATAAACCAAGAAACCGATAGCGGAACCTGGCAGTTATGTATCTTGGTAAGTCAATAATCATGCGACTTGTATGGCATCCTGGTGCAGGCCTGAGTGGCGAGTTCGAGGGAACATGGCTATGTATCAGGTTACTTCATGACGGTTAAGTATTGATTTGAACTGTACGAGTTGATGAATGAACTTGAAAAACTCAAATAAATAGTTTAGGATAGTCTTTAGGCCACTTTTATGCATTGGAAGTCTAAAGTTTAGGACATGGTTTTCCTAAAATCATCAAGATAATCCATAAATCTGTGGGCCCCATGACCCAAACACGTGATTCTATTCTTTGGCGTAGCTATTTGAGATCCGATTTCTGTTCAAAGGTGAGCCCATCATATTATCTGCTCCTGTATCCGTAGTCCCATAAATCTGCAGTCAATTTCAATGCAGTAACCGTGTAACCCATAATTACCTCTCCCAAAATATACCGTTTGTCCACAGTTATCTGTTATATGACCATTGCATCATTAACGCCCCGTCCAAAGAATACCGGTGTGATTGATCACTTAGTCGCTTGTCGAGCGTCTGACCTTTTCTTCCAATGCATCCAGCCTTTCCTTTAGGCTCTTGTTTTCGTTTTTGATGTCGCTTGTAGCTTCCGAAATCTTGTCTCGGATATATGATCCGATTGCGCTCGTGAAACATTTCGCCCATTCGTCAAATTCTGGTCGAGATAGCTGTGGAGGGTAAGCCCGATCATCTTTCTTTAAGATCTCGTATCCATCGTGACCTAGTTGTTTCAAATGATTGCACACTAACCCTACCAGCTCTTCAGCGGTACCTGAATCATCTTCGATATACTGCAGGATGGCTTGAGAAGAAGAAGAAGAAGAAGAAGAATAAGAAGAGACCTAGCAAGAAGTAAAGGCAAAGGAAGAAGCCCTGTGCCTAGGAAGGCCGGCTGTGCCTTTCTTAGGATGACGAAGTCAGCATCAAGGTCTTGTAGAGTCCTACTAATCGTCTGCTATAGCAACTCTTTATTTAAGTAGAGCTAGAAAGTAGCATTTATACGGAGATAGTATTGAGTATAATATTTATATTCTTATACTGTAACATACAATTCATTGGAATGGTTTCACTACTCAACTCTCTTCGCATGAGAAATATCATCCACACCCCTTCCACTCTCGACCTTACTCTTGACAACTCCGTACACGGGAATCTCCGAAAGACCAGTAGCGATATGATTCAGAGTCGGCAGGCTATCCCATGTACCAGCGGTCAAACTCAATTCTGCGCCAGTTCCAACTAAACTCTTCTCAACCTTTCGAGGGGTGCTTTCCAAGCCTTCCTCGATAAACACAGGGTAGGCCGCGTCAGGAACACCCGGGTTACCCACGGAAGGGACATAGCGGTAGATTAGTTGGCCTTGCTCTTCGGGTAACGGCGGAGCGCCGGGTGGTCCTGATGGTTTGGGTGCGCCGTTGGTACCGTTTGTGTGACCGGTGGACTCGCTGATATTATTGATCGAGATGTCGACGAATTTGGTCCCACGCCAACTGCATTGGATATTTGTAGCGGCTTCTTTCTCCTTCACGTCGATCTCGCAATACAACTTTGGCATTCCAAGTTCCTCTCTTCCTGAGATGATAGGATCCGCCAGATTCTCCAGGAGAACAGCCAAGAAAGATCCATAAATCTTACTTCCATCTTTCTTCTCATACTGTACGCCATGAATCCAGAAACCGAAGTATCTGTATCCGCCACCACCCAACCACTTCATACCGTTCAGCTCGGTACAGGCGAAGGTAGCTTCTGCGACAGTCCCGGTCTTGAAGAAGCTGAATTGGCGTGTGGGAAAGAGAGTTTTGAGATATGTTGCTGAGGACTTGAAGCGAACGGAATATGTGGTGAAAGTTGAGTTTGCGCCGTCATGGCGATGGCCCATAATATCCTGTCGTGGACTTGGTACAGGACCGAAGGATAATGGTGATTTCCAGTGAAGGTTCTTGTTCTGAGCGTATAAATGATCCTTGAGTTCCTTGGTAGAATTGTGCCACTCGTCGTGTTCGAAGTTATAATTGAGGAATTGGTAGACTAGACAATTGTCAGTCATGCTCTGAAAAGAGAGATTGGTTGCTTACTGTTGAACTTAGCGCGTTTCTCGCCATGAAGATCCTCACCCGCCATTCTCGTAAACTCTTGGACCTTGTGGGCTCTTTCATCTCGAATCTTCTCGTAAAGTGATAATCGTGATGCGATGTCGTCCGGGGTTGTGCCGAGGGGTAGTAAAGCTGCTAGTGAGGCTGCGTCTTCGATGGCGATGCCTCCACCTTGTCCTTGGTCTGAAGTTGGAATTGTTAGTATGATTCCCGGAGAATGGTTTTGGGTTGGCTTACGGGGTAAGAATGGGTGAGCGGCGTCTCCGAGAAGTACCAGCCTCTCCTTGTGCCAGGTTGGAATTCGGTCCATATCAAGAAGAGTCCAAAGCTTCAGTTCATCGGCGTCCACTAGTTCTAGGAGTGCTTGGACTCGTGGCTCGAAGTCCTTGTACACCTCTCGTAGCAATTCCTTACTACCACCATGGCCCCAACCTATTTCCAACATCAGTCCAAGGGTCTTCGGATCCCAGTTTAGGAGAGGCTTACCAGAAGTCTTGTTTGCGCCAGCAGAAAGCTCGCTAGGGTGAATAGCGACAAAGTTCATGAATGTGTTGTTTGAGCAAGGATACATAATCAATCTGCGATCATCGCCCATCCACATCGTCATAAATCCCGTGCGCTCGGTGAAAACCTTGGTTGTTTCCGTTTTGCGGATGACATCGTGAGGAACCAAGAATCTGAAAGCGCTCTTTCCTGAACCAAAGGGTTTGATATCTGAGCCTGCAACGATATTTCGAGTTATTGACTGGTAGACATTAGCAAAGTTCAGAGCTGATGGGATTGGCTTTGACTTACGCTGACGCCATCGGCACCGAGAACGAGATCTCCAGATACTGAGGTACCATCTTCGAACTTGACAGTCGCTGTTGACGGATCGACATCGACGACTGGGCTGGACGTCTTAAGGACAGCTGGCGTGCCGGCTCCTTCGGAAGATGTGGCTAAGCGTTTGAGCTCTTCGTGGAGACGGACACGATGAGAAAGCACCCATGGCTATCTAATCGTCAGCAAATCTCCAGACACTGAAGAGAAGGAAACCCACATTTTCCCAGATTGATAAAGGTCCTGTCAAGTTCATGTCAAACTTGGTCTCGCCGGTAGCAGTATGTTCGCAAATCTAGAGCAGTCAGCCAGTGATTTTTCCACCCTTGAGATTATCAAATTACTTACTCCCTCAACAGGGTTGGCACCAAAGGTCTCAGGGTAAACCCCAAGTTTTCGAAGGATACCATGACAATTTGGTGCAAGGTGAATAGCAGCACCGACTTCCCTCGCCAACTGTGATCGCTCGAATAACTAGAGCTTGTGAGTTTACTGGTCGGTCGTGATAATAGACTTTGACGTACCGTTACATGGTGACCTTGTTTGCGCAGGCCAAGTGCCGCGGTGAGTCCACCGATACCTTCAAAAGGTTAGTTGGCGCTAAAGTTTGTCTGATCCCTGTCTGCGCTCACCCGCTCCAACAATCAACACGTTCAAAGGCTTTGCTGTGTCTGTCATGATTGCAATAAACAATTTGCTTGGCAAATAATGATGATAACTTCAAACGCAATCTTCGAATATTGTTCACTGCCTACTTAATATCCATTTCATCCGCTATTACCCACCATCAAAGTGTCCTCCCACGGACAATATTTCCCCCAGTTGCCCGCTTTCGGGTGTCGGCCCCACGTAACCGAAACATCACAGGCTCGGAAACCCCCCACCCAAGTTGAATTGGAGTCAACCGAAAGATTCGGGGAATATCGACATCGGAACATAGTGCCATTGAGGGGAAGATCTCCACTAGGAATTGCATCAAAATGGCTATGAATATCATCTCAGACATGGTCTTTTCTTGTGACAAGGCCATCTCATTTCCCCCAAACTATCATCGTCACAATGCCTAACCCAATCAAGGAAGATATCCACACTGTGGATGAAGAATCGTTTCCTTACATCTTTGAGCAGAATGCTACTGTTCCTCTCAAGGCTGGTGATGGACTTGTTCGTCTGAACGTTTATCGTCCTAAGGGCGTTGACAAGGTTCCTGTTCTTGTCACATACGGACCTTACGGAAAAGACATTTCCTACCAAGAGTACGTTTATCACAATCTCTACCAAAAGCTCAACTAACAATCTTAGCTTTCATCCCAAGTCCTTCAGCGAAGTGAACCCCCAGCACAAGTCAGAACACTCAGCATGGGAAACCCCAGACCCAGCATTCTGGACAAAGAACGGCTACGCCATCGTTCGAGCCGACGAGCGTGGTCTCGGCCAATCAACAGGCAAGCTCGACACCATGTCCCGCGGCACCAGTGAAGCCTTCTTCGACGTCGTTGAGTGGGCCGCTGAGCAACCCTGGTCAACTGGTAAAGTCGGTCTCCTAGGCATTAGCTACTACGCCGGCAGCCAATGGCGTGTAGCGGCGCGTAAACCAAAGGGTTTGAGCGCTATTGTGCCTTGGGAGGGCATGTCGGATTATTACCGGGATAGATGTCGTCATGGTGGCATTCTTTCAAATGCCTTCATCAAGTTCTGGTGGAATCGACAAGTTATCACGAATCAGTATGGTCGACCTGGTAGAAAAGCCAGGAATTGGGGACCTGATACTATCGAGGGCGATTTATCTGACGAAGAACTTGAAAAGAATCGCCAGGATCAGACGATTGACAACCAGGCCAATCGATTCCGAGACGATGCTTACTATGCGTCCAAGGAATACGATATGGGTGACATCGAAGTTCCTCTCCTCTCAGTAGGAAACTGGGGTGGTATTCTTCTCCATCTTCGTGGCAACATCGAGGGTTACACCCACGCTGGATCCAAGTTCAAGTATCTCCGTCTTATCACCGGCCGTCACGATCTCCCCTTTTACTACGAAGAAGAAGTGGAGATTCAGCGAAGTTTCCTTGATGCTTTCCTGAAGGGCGATGACCGAGTTGGTTGGTCGCAAGAAGGCAAGGTTGCTCCCGTGAGCTTGGTTCTGCGAAAGGGAAACGTTGGCTTCAATGATGCGGAGAAAGAAAAGGTGTATCCTCGTAGAGAGGAGAGTCAATGGCCTCTCGCTAGTACACAGTACAAGAAGCTCTTCCTTACACCGGATCAAGGACTAAGCTGGGATGAGCCTACAACGGAGCGCAAGAAGCTATCCTACAAGGCTCTTGGCACATTGGAGAACCAAGAAGTCCTCCAATTCTCTACGCCCGCATTCGAAGCAGAGACAGAAATCACAGGCCACATCGTCGCTCACCTCAATGTTTCCGTCTCGCCTGACCCATCAGGTCCTACACCCAGCGACATCGATCTCTTCGTCACAATCCGCCATATCGACCCTTCCGGCCAAGAAGTCTTCTACACCGGTACAGCAGGCGATCCCGTACCCGTAACAAAAGGCTGGCTGCGCGTGTCAATGCGCAAGGTTGACCAAGAACACCCCAAACATCGCGAGTGGCTTCCTCATCGCAACTACACTAGCAAGGATGTTCTTCCTGTGATACAGGGTGAGGTCTATGCGGTAGATGTTGAGATTTGGCCTACGAATGTGGTTGTTGATAAGGGTGGCAAGCTTGTCTTTGAGGTTTCATCAGGTGATACCCAGGGATCTGGTATTTTCCAGCACAATGATACTGTTGATCGGTAAGTTTACTCTGAAGACTTTGTGAGAAATATTGCTAACGTTGATATAGATCGCCCGATATTTTCCAGGGTCAGAACCACATTCACTTCGGTCCTAGACAGCAGAATTACGTTACGCTTCCTGTGATTCCCAACTAGATAGTATCAGAATTTACTTAGAAAAATAAAAGAGATCCTCCATTCCAAGAAAAAGATAAAAAAGATCATATTCCAAGAAGTGTATTAGAGCTTGTGTATATACATGGTATAGCTTTCCAAGACGTAGTCCAACGGTCTGATATTAATCCCCAACAATTCTTCCTCCAATCTCTATCGTCTGAGACAAATCGTGAACTCTAAAGCATATAAACAGCAGCAACAGCAGCGGCCACAGCCATACCGGCGCCTCCAATCTTGTTGCCACTAGCTCCAGACACAGGAACCTGGGCGCCAGGGGTAGAAGCAGGTCCAGACCCGGCGCCGGAGCCAGTAGGCATAGCAGCACCAGAGCCACCCTCAGTATTGGTGACAACCATCAAGGGCTTGCCAGTGCATGAGACCTTGGGGGGGTCTGAGCGAGTAACCATATCGGGGGTCGTGACGGCCGAAGGGCAGCTGCTACAAGTGATTGTTGTCGACGCAGAGTCAGCAGCATAAGCTCCTGAAAGGACTTCAAGATATTAGCTTGGGCTTGGGGGAATGTCTGAGAGTAATCTCTTCTTACATGCAAGGCTTGCGGCGACGTAAAACTTCATGTTTGCTTTGGGTATCGTTTGTAAAATGAGTGCGCAAGGAGTGAGTGACTGGATTGTTGTAGAATAACAAAGAGCGTTGAAGGTTGTCAAGATAAGGGGGAATATTACAATTAAAAGTCTAGAATATCAATAGGTAGAAACAATCATTTAACTCGAAATGCTTATCAAATCCCACACATGACTTTTCCCCTATTGCAATCCTCCGATCGCATTAATTCCATAGCAGTCTAACAGTCCGTCCGTCCGATAGTTTTCGGCCACGGAATAATTACCAAACACGTTGAATCCATCACTTTACTATCGCAACCCAACCCAACCCAAAGACACGTTTTTCTTGAGATCTATTGACCTAGCTACCCCAGATCAGCATTCACAATCTCACTATCGTAGCCGGATGGTGCATATCCCGAATGGTGTCTTACAAGACGTGCACTAGCACTTGATCAGTCCTAGCCCACGGAAAGTCTACCATCCGAGCCCCACTATCAAGTCCAGACATACTGATCATCGCCAACACTAGAGAATCACCAAACAAATCACAGTTGACATTTTCAGCACTAACAGAGAACGGGTTCGAAGTTTCCGGGAGGGGCGCCCTGGCGATCGTATTGCACAGACCCAATTTGGCAGTGCTACAAACATTCTGGGAGGTAATGACGTTTCGATCCGGCAATTGACTATGAGTTGTTTAGTTTTGTTTTGCGGGGAGACGTTTTTAGGGCTGGGACGGCACATTTTAGTAAGGGTCAATTAAGATTGCATGTTTCGGAAAGATCGGGACGGATGTGGAAGATGCCGAGAGAGGAATTGATGGTTGTTAGTTGATTCATTGGGAGATTGGAATCATTTTTGCCTGAAGACATGGCAAAATTGTACAGCAAGAGGCTAACTAACTAAAAGTTGATGGAATATGCTCGAATAGACTAGATGATTACTTTAGATAAAAAGGTCTACATCTTTCACTAATACCAAATGTTCTTCACCTCAATATCATTCCTCTTCACCTCATCTATTAAACCTTAATTACTACCTACCTCTAGTATCTACTACCTTACCTTACACATTAATCAACATGTACTTCTCTACATCCCTCACTGTCGCTGCCGCTGGCCTCGCCGCCGCCGCTCCTGCCATTCAGAAGCGTGACTCTGGTCTCAACGACGGTGTCATCCTCAACTATGCTCTCACCCTCGAGCATCTCGAGAACCAGTTCTACATGCAGGGTCTCTCCAACTTCACCGAGAAGGACTTTGCCGATGCTGGTTACGACTCCACCTTTTACAACAACATCAAGACTGTCTCCAGCGATGAGTCTGCTCACGTTGACTTCCTCACCAAGGCTCTTAAGGGTATGTCACTAGCAATGTTTCAATCATAGAAAGCTTACTGACTTGTATAGCTGCTGGTGTTACACCCGTTGAGAAGTGCTCTTACTCCTTCGGTGTCACAGATGTCAAGTCATTCCTTGCCACCGCCTCCATTCTCGAGGGTGTCGGTGTCTCAGCTTACCTCGGTGCCGCCGCCGATATCATGAGCAAGACTTACCTCACAGCAGCTGGTTCCATCCTCACTGTCGAGGCCCGTCACTCCGCCTACATCCGCGCGGGTAACAAGCAGGTTCCCTTCGCCCAACCCTTCGATGCTCCTTTGACCTACAACGAGGTCTACTCCCTGGCCTCGGGCTTCATCACCTCATGCCCCAAGTCCAACCCAGCCCTTCCCGTCAAGGCCTTCCCCGCCTTGACTGCTACCTCCGACAAGGAGACCATCATGACTGGTGACATGGTCACTCTCATGACCCCTGGCACCACCGTCGAGGCCGCTGATGGTCAGAAGGTCTACGCTGCCTTCATCGCTGTCACTGGACCTACCTTCGTTGAGGCTAAGCCTGTCGATGGTGGCTTCTCTGTTGAGATCCCCAAGGGCTTTGCTGGCCAGACCTATGTTGTCCTCACTGGCTGCAACGAGGCCGTTTCTGACGACACCGTCGCTGCTGGCCCTGCCATCATTGAGGTGAGTTCAAGTATTTCAAAGACCTGCAAGAGTTTAAACTAACAGAAGGCAGATCTCCAGCTAAATTTATAAACGCTGCTTTGATCGACCAAATTGAATGAGGAAGCTAGAGAAACGAGTAATACTCCTGATATAGTCTAATATTCTTAATACATATTTATTCATCTGTATATCGTGTTCTCCGTGCGAATCAGGCTGCGATGGACATGTCTCGAGGCCAGGTGCAATTTTGTCTTTTCCTTCATCAGCCTGATCCATCTTCATGTCGCTCTGGAACTTTATCATAACCTTCAGTGAAATAAGATTCATATATGCTGGAATATTGTTGTATGATAAAATCAAGGAGATCCTGAAACCATCGACTCTCCCTCCTATGCAGCCGCTACACCCAATGTCCTAGGCCAAGTCCCAAACGTAAACTGACTATTACACATATTCGTCAACTCCCAATCCTCAGCCTTGAGCTCTCCGTAGACACCCTCATCCTCCTCATCACCAGCAGCGCCGGCCACAAACATAGCCGACATAAAGTGATCATCCGTACCATGCGCATCCCGATAACAAGGATGCTTCATCAATCTCGTCATAGCCCTTCTCAACCTTGGTCCACTGTTATTCTTGATCACATCCTCAACCGCCTGACGAAACTCCAAAGCCCACGACTCAGGCGGCTTCTCTTGCGCAAAGTTATCCGAGTAGTATACGATCGGCGCCCAGATATTACGGTATAAATTGTGTACCGCGCCACCGGATCCAATTATAAGATAACCTTCTTTTCGGAGACAGCGAAGCGTTGCGCCGACGCGCATGTGGTAGTGTGGATCGAACCGGGCGTTCATGGAGATGAGCGTCGTGGGCGGGCAGCCGTTGGGAAACATGCGGATGAGAATAAGGTATGTGTCGTGGATCCATTCAAAGTTTGGATTGGCGGAGACGTTGAAGCCGGCGTTTTTGAGAAGGGAGATACACTTTTCGCCGGTTGGTAGATCGGGAACGAGTTCGTAGTCGACGTATTTCGATGGGTGGACGTATGCGACTGGGGATTTGCCAGGCTTCGGGTTCATGGCGACTTCCATACGATCTCCTTCAGCATCCCAATGCGCGCCCTATCTTGTTAGCTAATTGAGGTTGGAAGAATGTCGGGGCATACATACCATCATGATTACTCCCTTGATCTTGTTTGCCAAAGCTTGGTCTCCGGCTTTCTTCCAGTAATCGGCTGAATCGGATTCTTCCCCCAGCATCATGGTCGAGCCATGGGAGAAGAAGTGAACTGGTGCTAGATCGGCTTTCATCATGTTAGCCAGATTATGATTGTGAAATACCAAGACTTACTCATATTTGGTTCAGAATGATTGATATCTATATCAATTGACTGTCAGTCCGATGCAACTGTAGGGTGGCCTGGGTGGATAATCAGGAAGGACTAATAAATCATCGGGATGTGGGGGACTGCCCGACCACCCTCGCAACTGCCGCCCTAGCACCCATAGCTCCTCCTACTAACCCGAGACACGCGCCACCCCCGCACGATCCCAGGGTCCAGGCTCTTTCCCCTTGATGTTACCCCGGATATCGTGATATATCCGACCCGAGGAAAAAAAACACGATTCCCCTGCATTTTCCCTCCTTCTCCTCCACGTCCCGAATCTCTGCTCCTCTCCACTTCCAACCAGACTAAAGCCATGTCGACAACGACTCAACCGGGCATGTTCCAATGCGGTTCGTGCAAGAAGAATTACAAGCGTCTAGATCATCTAGCCCGTCACGTGCGGTCCCGTAGGTCTCACCATCTTCGATCTTGGCCTTCGGTAGTTGAATGATCGGTTGGTTGACACGCATCATAGATACCCAGACAAAACCTTACAAGTGCCATGTTTGCCCGAAAGCTTTCACAAGACCGTTAGTCTCCTGCACAGTACTGCATAGCGCTGACTAACATCTTATCGTAGGGACCTGCTCAAGAGACATGTTGCTGGGCACGGTTCTCAAGCTGGGGACAGCACCGTGTCAGACCAACCCCGGTTCATGCCAGGAAGGGTGAGCAAAGCTTGTAAAGCTTGTTCGTCGAACCATTTGCGTTGTAGTGACGAAAAACCTTGTCGGAGATGCCAAGAGAAAGGCATTGAGTGCAAGTGGAATGACCCCATGGAGTTGGATGCAGAGTATGCCTCTTCTGAGGATCAACAGCAGGATAACTCTATGTTCTCACAGGATAATGGATCCTCTTCAATGGCTGGCTATCCAGAGCAGAATAGTATCGGGTCGACATCTGCTTCTTCTGTTATGGGTCAGCAGTCGCTGGATATCTTGACGCCTCAGACAACACAAAGTCTCTTCCAAAATCTCGGTAGGTGTTACAGATCATCATGCTTATCTTCCAAGCTGACAAGACCCAAGACCCATCCCTAAATCCTGCCACAGACCCTCTCTTCTTCCAATTCCCAGATCTCAACCTCCTGTCAGGCGGATGGGGTTCAACCCAAGCCAACGACGTCGATATGTTCTCCTACAACGAGCTCGACGATATAGACCTCCGGTTCCTCGACTCATATAACACCACTATCCCCTTCGAGATAAGAAGTATCCAACCAACACCAAGAGGCGCCCAAACACCGCGTGTCGCCTCACATACCGACCCTGGCGAACCAGCTGCCATGTGTACTGAAGCCTTTCAGAACTCCCATTGGAAGTTCAGACCCAACGCCAAAGACCATGCTGGAGCTGAGGAACATAATCTTGCTCTCCCTGCTACAGACTCTGCTTATCCCTCACCCGAGTCTGGCGTCGCCTTGGACTTGAACACGAGGGTCACTTGTGCCAAGTTGGAGGGTCCTGCGAGAGATAGGATTCTAATGATGGTTGTTAGTAGCTGTCGCTCAGATCACCTGTCTAAAGCAGTTGCCTCTTTTCCTTCTGCTGAGCTACTGGATACACTGCTTCAGTATTACCTGACCTCGCCTGTCTCGCATGCTACAGCTTTCATCCATGCAGCTTCTCTCAATCCCAATGAGAAGAGACCTGAGTTGGTCGCTGCCATGGCGGCTTGTGGAGCTGTCTTGACTTCCGACCCTGCTCTATCGAAACTCGGTTATGCTATTCAAGAGTGTCTTCGGATTTCTGTGGCCAAACATGTATGTGTACCCAGCCCTAGTAGTATATCTGAAGCTAACGATTACATAGTGGGAGCGTGACAACTCTCTGGTGCGGGACCTTCAGTTGACTCAAGCCTTCCAAATCATTCTCGAGATGGGGATCTGGAGTGGTCTTCCCAGAAAGGTTGAGATCGCGGAGAGTTTCTTCCATCCAGTACTTACCATGATGCGTCGCGCCGGAAAGTTCAAGAGGTCTGCATACTCTGATCACAAACCTTCTGGACCACGCCAGGCATCACGAGAGGAGTGGCTGAAGTGGGTCGAGGACGAGTCTTTCAAGAGGTTGGCCATGCGAATGCTTTCTCACGACGCAAACGCTTCCATGGCACTCATGGTTAGTCCATCTGTCTCGTATGCCGAGATTCTACTGCCTCTGCCAGGACATGCAGACTTGTGGAATGCTCCCTCCCCAGAACAGTGGAGCTCATTAATGGCCACACGTGAGAACAGCGAACCACTCTACGTGGCCGATGTCATTGATGACCCTGATGTCTTGAATAGCTATGCTGGCTCGGTAGATGCCTACGTGGCGATCCTAGCCGTCTTGGCGTGCACGTGGACTATGTGCTGGGAGTATCTTCAGATCGCCTCCCTGCAGCGATCAAAGCCACGACGTTGGAATACCCTCGTTACTGAGATGCGGAAAGATGAGTTGATCAAACTGATCGGGCATTTGAAACTCAGCTTATCACCGGAAGCTTCTGCAGACCCTGAGATTCAAATGCGTCTTGAACTTTCTTTGTTGCACCTCCAGATGCCATTTGAAGATATCCAAATATTTGCTGGTATGGAAGGTACTGAGCGTGCACGGGCGGTATATCCCATGGTTCGCGACTGGGCTAAAAGCGAAGCCGCTCGGCATACAATCTACCACGCAGCTCAGATCGTCCAAATGGCCAAAGCCGCACCAAGAGGTTCCATGCGCGGTCCCATGGCCATAATGCTATACCACGCTAGCTTGGCCTTTTGGGTGTACGGTCTCTTATCTGACCATTCGCGTGCTTTGAGCCAGAATGTTTATCTTGACGACGCGGATAATATCTCGCTGCAACGATTCAAAGGCTTCGGTCAAGGACAGCCATGTATCAGATGGCGATCGGAGATCGAGGGGCAAGGTGAAGTCATGATGAGCGTCTCTTTAAGTCAGCCTGATAAGGTCATGGAGGCTGTTATGTCAGTCGTGAGAAGGAACTTTGCGGGAATGTCGACGCCGCATCTTACGGAGAAGCTGGTACAGCTTATGGCTGAGTTGGAGAATTCGGCGAAGAGGAAGATGGATGCTTGATACCCATATTTAATAGTGTAATCGACGTGGTTTCTATAAGATGGTAGTAATCTAACATGTGAGAGGCTTCCAGAGAGTGCTCAATAAATGTGCACCTTTCTCACCAGCTTCATAGAATGATCAAAAGTTACGGACAGCGTCAAGGCCTGGCACCAAAGCACAGCTTCATTCACTTATATGCAAGAGGATTGAAAAAGATTGTTTGAACTGTTTAACTTGATTTATTGTCTTTTGATGCTTCTATCCACGTTTCCTTGCTCCAGGCTTCAGTATAGTCGCTTTCTAAGGAGAAACTATTAAAGGTCAGTACAAGCTCAGCCTTGAAGGTCCTCTAGGACTTACCGAAGACGAGAGTGCCGCAGTCGTTGCCAATGCACTCAGCAAGGTTGACATCGGCCTCAACGGGGTCACCCTCATAGGGGTTAAGGTGGGCGCGGAGAACAGGAACGCTGCCGTCACCCTCCATATCGAAGGTGATGTCGGAAGCAGAGCCGGAGAAGCCTAAGGTAGTCAAATTAGTATACATAAACAAAGGTCAAGAGTTGTAGTTGACTTACCCTCACCACCCCACTGGAAAGCGCCATCGTTGTTGCCGATGTAGTAGTCAAGGTCAAGAGTAGACTCGACGTAGTCACCCTCGCCGTTACCGCACTCGGCGTGGAGGATGTGACCGTCCTCGAGCCAGATGTTCTGAGAGCTCTCGTGGAAGTTGACCATTTTTGCGGTTTGTGATTTGTTTGTGGTAGAAGAAGAAGAGTTGTTGTTGATGCTGAGAGAGAAATAGTCTGAGGAAGTTTAAGGGTCTATATATGCCTTTGGTGAGTAGATAGTGATTCACGAGAGGCCTCAGCCATGCGCCCCTGCCTGGAGAGCCAAGACCGCAGGAGTGATGGTGAAGCTGCCACGATTGCAGTGCATCAGAGTCCACTTGGACCCCTGAATAGCTCCTTCTCCGCTTGTCTTACATAGACGAAGTACCTGTTGTAAAACGGTAAAGCGCGCGGTTGTAGACCCGCCTCGCTGCATGATACGGCCCGGGACGGTGACTGGTCTATTCTATTGGCTCTCGCGTATGTTTGTCTCGGGAATAGTACATGAAGCATAAACTCGTCAGGCCTCCAGAGGTACATAAACATCAAACAAAATATACCTAAAAGCAGACACATGAATTCATGCAGGTTGCCATGAAACAGAAGTCCTTCCTTCCTGGAGAGGGCTGTGCGGTGAGCATGGGCTCCTCCACAAGTCTTGGCAGTCGTACGGTCTGGGGATAGCATCCAATAGCCAGCAAATCCTTGGCATGCTTTTATGGGCTTGGCATAAAGAGAAAGAGGGGGAGGAGACGCCGTTAACCGGACGTTGGTTTCAATAACCGCTATTATCGCAGAAGGATTCGTAAGCTGATGTTGATATTCTGCCTATCGTTGCATTGCTGAGATGATCTCCTCCGGTGAGACATCGAGTTCTAGACTCCTTGGCTGTTTCTTGAGTTGATTGTCAGAATAGGTGGGTCTATCACTCAATAAGCGAAATAGCCGACAATAGATAACTAGAATATTCTACAAGGCAAACAGGATAGACAGTATAGGTGGTCTCGTATTAAAGATTGTCACAAGCTATAGCCGAGTAAATGTGTCCTCTACCAGGTTCAGTGTATGAGGCTCAACCCAGCCTCCCAGGGTCTTGTTGCCAAGTAATCCCCTAGAATCCCTGCCAACGAAGGACCCTTTCCGCAGTCGCAATTCTCATTCGTTTACCAAACACCCAAAGCGGAACAGTCAACAAAGAAAAGATCCCCATCAACAAGCCGAAGATGCCGAAAGGCTCAGCAGCACCCTTGTGATGAATCCAATCCGCCACGAAAAACGTCCACGCAAATGCAATAATTGCGCGAAGAATAGTAACCATTGTGAAACAATCTGCTGCCAAAGAGTGGTATGAATCGATGAGCTGATATTTGTTAGTACACGTCATTTTGTTATGAGGCGAAAACTTACGTAGTTGAAGCCCACTGAGGGAACTTGCATCAGACCAAACGTGAGCATTCCGTATCCGAATTGCAGACCAATCCACATCTTGGGTCCTGGATTTTGAGCGCAGAATCCAAAGACGAGTAAACCGCCTGTCGCTACAAAAAGTGGAAAGAAAAGAGTTGGTAGTCGATCTTCGGCTTCCGCAACACCATGACGCTTCTTGCTCGCCTTTTTGATGAGCGAGCCGTCAGCAAGCATATGTGTATAGACATATCCGACAATTCCACCGATGAGAGCTCCAATGTTGATCAGTCCTGCGTTTGCCTTCCAGAGATAAGGCGGGCTGGCAACAATTTGTGGTCCGATCGTCGAGATGGATACGATACCTCCAACAAGACCTGCGTAGTGAAGCATCACGACCCAAGTGCCAGGCAGAGCAAGCGTTCGCCAAGGCTGGATGAACTGTTTGAGCAGACTTCCACGAGGTCTAATAAAACCCAATGACTGCATATAGGTGAATGGCCGGTACTGCTGCTCGCCGACTGTGGCTGTCGACTTGTTCTCAACATGCTCGTTGTTTCCAAACTGAGCTTGCTTCTCAGACTCATGACCAGGAACGCCCTCGATGGGTGCTTCTCTAGAGTAGAGGGTCTCAGGGACGAAGAAAATGACACCGACGACACAAGCTGCAGTAAGTGCTAGGCAGATCCAGAAGATCATTTGCCAACCCTGGTGGTAGACGATGTATCCTCCTGAGACACCACCTGCGAGCGGTCCGACGACGAGCATAATGGTATAAACAGCCTGGAGATGTTAGTCTGTTCCACTCAAATTATGTTGCATTACATACCATGGCACGTCCACGTTGGTGCACGGGAAACATATCACCAACCAGAGCGGGAGCAACAGAATCTGCCGCCGCGCCTCCCATACCCTGAAAGGCTCTGGCAGCAAGTAAAGAATCATATCCAGTTGCAAGGCCACACCAAAGGGTACTGAAGGTAAGAAGAAGAGTGGCAAGGATGAGGACAGGTCGACGTCCCATCCAGTTGGACATTGGTACCCACCAGATGTTGGCAGCTCCAAGGAAGAGGACATTGATCTGTGGACTTCATGTCAACAACGGTATTGTTGAATCTGGTTGAAATTGGTACGCACTGCCATCAGGGTCGAGAGTTCAGAAAGACTCCTAGGGTCTCGGGGAAATATCATTGGCCATAGCTGGAAAGCAGGAGCAATGACACCGCTGGTAAAGTTGGCAGTGAAGGCATACAACGAGGCAACTAGCAGAGCAGCGATCTTCTGCCATGCAGGAAAGTTGAGAGGATCGTGGGGATCTCCACTAACAACTATGTTCTCGTTGTGCCCATCTTCTTGTTCGCCTATGGAAGATTAGAACAGACTATCTCGGTCTTGTGTTGAACTCACGACGGATCTGGATCGTGCCAGGGGGTGCAGAAGCATCGACTTCCTGAGGGGACAGAGCGAAGGCCTGTTTGAAAGACACCATAATTTTGCAGTTAGGGGTACTGTTTCTTGCATTCTGTATCAAAGGCCACGGCCAACTAAATACTTGTAGAGAGATGGCCAACCCACTCTCTTCTCCGCGTTACCCCGGATTCCCCCATGTTTCTTGTTGCTCAGATCAATCTAGATCTTCAGCCGGGACAATATCCGGCCAACCAGATCCATGGTTTAGGTTTCTGATGGTGCGAACCTTGCTTGATTGAGTATACCACCGACAGGTATCAGTGGCGTTCTCGGGGTGTCCTCCACCTTCCCGGTGGCCCACTCGGAAGAGCCTCTGGGATATCGCCCTCCAGCTACAAGCAATCTCTGTCTCGGAAGGGATTTGACTTGTGGTAATTACGCAGTATGGAAGCGTCCATGGTAATTGTATCGGCAGTTAAGCACTTGAGAGTGAGCCCGGGCAATGTTCTACGTATGGCTCTTTCGGTGCAGGTGCTGCCGTCTTCTGAGATCACCAAGCTTTCTTCACTTGTTTTAACTGTCTAGCCTCGAGTTAACCATTCAGGTGGAGATACCCTGGTCTAAAGAGGGCAAGTAGTCTGTCTCTGTGAGAAAGGTGACTACTGGCCAGCGAATTCATTAATCAAGCCAGTCATCCTCATTGAAGAAAAGAAGTTTCGTATTTATGATTCCAAATTATTATATTACATACCGGAAAGCTGACTCATTTCCCTTTCATTGGTCCTTTATCACAACAGTGACTTCCTAGTTACCATCGACAATCTTCCAAGTATGGTTCGCAATCTTCTCCCTTTCCTCCGCAGTCCAAACCTTCTTCCCCTCAATCTTCTTCCCATGATTATCGATATTAGCCCAAAACACATCCTTCCCTCCCTCTTCCTCAGCCCGTGCATACATACCATCTAGTAATCTCTCTGCGCATTCATCAGGAGTAGATCCCGCAATGGTGGAGACCACTTTTGACAAAGCCCGAAAATACCAAGCGCTGTTCTTTGCTGTTGCTGTATCCACAACACCTGGATATGCGTGTGTGAAGAATCTCTTGTTTCCATCCGATTGAGTGGCTGCATAGTGCTGGACCATGGCGTCATTCATGGTGATACAATGATTTGCCGCTGTGGCTAGACTGAAAGTATTCTTTAGGTCAAGATCTTCCCAGTTCAGCTTCTTCGCATCTCCGTTCTTTCCATCCAGGACGATCATGATTTTCGCGTCGGGACTCATGATCGGACTCAGTTCTCTAATCAAAAGCTGTTTTCCATAAAAGTGCAAGGCCATCTTCTTGTCGATGCCCTCCGGTGTTTCCGTTCTTCCGGCCATAGTTAAAATTCCTTGGGTCATGACTAGAAGATCTAGTTTTTGATCTTGTGCGCGAAAGTCTCGTGCGAAATCTTTCAATGCTTTCATAGAGCTTGCATCGACAGCGCGGAAAGACAGGTTTTCTGGCATTGTGGCTGGTTTGGTGCGGCCGACGATGGTGATTGAGGAGAATTGGTAGTTGGGAGATGTAGCGAGGCGCTTAGCTATCGCGTAGCCAATGCCGCTTGTGCCACCGACAACAAGAGCTTGTGAACCTGAGAACATCTTGTTCATTCTTGAGACTGAAATTGGATATAGTGTAGAAGATAGTGGCTTTTCGAGGTTGAGGGGTCAGTGTTTTATATATTCTTGTAGTCCAACGGACATTGCAGTCCAATGTGGTAGTTCAAAGACGTTCTGATAACATGGCTGCTGCGCAATCATGCGATTGGTTTAACATCGTCCAATTGGTCTTAGCTTTGTGAGCAGTCTGCATGACGGGGTCCAAAGACTCTCCGAGTGCGACTTTGTCAGCACGTAATTTGGACTAGCGCTGACAAGCCATCGGATTTAAGAGAAGCTCCAGACCTTGTGCATAATATGCGGTGCTAGCCATCACTGCCCCCGAATCACTGCCATTCTACTACATGTATTCTTCCTTACACCAGAGGATTTTGACATTGGTACGATTCAAGGATGACCCCTCCAGGGTAGGTCGAAGCGTAGGCTCATCTCAATTGAAGTCGCCCGCATCAACTAAACTCTAACTATCGCCAACGAAGCTTTCGTACGCATAAAAGGCTGCTGTGCAAGGCACAGTGGCCTAGCCTTGATATTGGTACAATTATACAGCATAAAAGCTTTCGGTACTTCATGAATCACATGCTGAATTAAAGATTGTAGAACCCTCCTATGTGCACCTTTTTGTATAATTCCTACTGAAGGCACTCTACACAAATTAATAAAAAGCAAAATCTCAAAACGTCCTCCACCAGTCTAAGTCTTGCCGACTCGCCGAAACTCCAATGTCCATTCACTGATCTGCACTCTCAAGCCTCGAGCTACCAGTCCAAACGCGCCTAAGTCTGTTGATGAAGCCCTCGTCCTGAGTGTGCGGAGGGGTCTCGGTCTGTCTTCGTGATAAAGGTGGTGGTGGTCTGCCAGCAAATCCATCAACACACCAGCCTTGGGCCTCATCAAGTTGCACCCCTGCTACCTCTCGCACAAATTTCTCATATCTACTTAGAATGGAACCGTTCCCTAGACGTTGCTCATTTCTTGTCGTGGGCAAAGGATCCTCTAGAGATCCCATGGACAGCCGGGTAACCTCCACCCGACGAATTATTCTGCAGTAGAAGAGTGAGTCCTGACTCAGAGGGCGGCCTGTCTCTGGGGGTAAGATCTTTTCGTCGTAAATTTCCACCAACAGTCCAGTCTCACCTTGTACTTCTACTGGGCGTGGTCGGGAAAGTATAATACCGATTTTCAGGGGAGGATTCGAGCCCAATCTGCTTCTTAGATCCAAAGTAATGTGATTCGGGTCACAATTTCTGTTATCCAAGCTTGGCAATGAAACATCATTCTGAAGACCTCTTGTTCTTGCAGAAGCTACTTTGTACCATTCGTCTAACCCTCTGCCAATGGAAAACTGAAAGGTGTTTCTTTTGTGGTTTGAGATAATGTCCTTAAGTTTTTCATTGTCGGGGTGAAGTAGAAATCCAGGATAGTGGACGATGAGTCCTTGATCTGTAAGTTCGGTTGGGTATCTTGGGTTATCGAGTGGAAATGGGTACGCTTCAACTTGACCGGACATCCACGTTGCAGGTGCCCATCGAAATCCGGCAGAGGTTAACCTCTTTCCAGGTAGAAAGATTATGCCAGATGGAATAGATGTCCCAAAAATAGGATCTTTGCCAATTGTCTTCCAGAATTTCTCCATTAACTTCTCACGATCCGCTTGACGGCAAGTAGAGATCGCTCTGTCGTCGTCATCCTGAGAGATGGGAATATCAAGCAGACTTGACAATGCTAACGTTTCCTCGCCTGGATTTCTGGTGGTCTGTTCCAAGGAGTATCAGCATCACCACTTCATCTTATGCGTAGCTTCAGATCCTCAAAGACTTACCCGATATCGAACTGCCTTCCACGCACTCGCAATCAGCAAAGCACGCTCAGTGTTGCTTTGTCGGGCCACCGGCACTAGTGAATCTACCTTCATGAGGTTTTGGTTCACCTTTTGCCTCATCATCTCGGTCATAGATGACACAAGAACTCCCTGGCGTTCGCCTTCTTCCCTTTCTCCCCAAAGATTGTTCAGGCTTGGTAGCGCCTGACGAAAGTCTCCATCGTCGCACAGTGCAATGTGTAATTGGTCGCTCACGAATGCTTCATGGAGGGTCCATAATCGCATCATCCAACCACTAGCCAACAGTTCTGCCCCAATCGTACGACAGCTATCATGGGTCCTTCCCTTACTCATGACGTGACGATCAACTATTATGCAGTGCTGGGCATTGTTGAAAATGTGATGAATAAGGCCGATGGCCTTTCTTTTTAGCCTATTACGTCTCTCATCAGTCTGGCTCCTTTGTGGGATGGCAAATGTGTCAAGCCAGAACAGATGTGGATCCGTATTCCCAAAGGCCTTTGCAACCAGATCTTGAATAGCTTGTAGTTGGCACATACGAATCATCCGATCTGTCCTGTTACCTAGTCCTTGGGACCAGACATGGGATACCGTCGCGAATGGCGTTTCGGTTCTGTTTTCCCACGACACAGCCTCAACTATCAGCTCTTGGGTTGACTCATCCCTACTGACTCTCATCACAGGGAAAGCTCCGTTTCTTGAATCATCATCTTGATTCAGGATGTTCAGCACGTCGTCTTCGTTTGGACCAACCATAGTACATCCCTCGTCGGTTTCTCTGCAGGTTGGAGCATGCGATGGGTTATATGTCCCAGGCAGATCGGGCTGAGCCTCGATAAATTCGCATTTAGACGGTGTGCAGGTCCTTGGGTGGCCATTTTTAGGGTGGCAGTTATGCAAATTGCCTCCATGCGCTAGGAATGTAACGTATAATAGTGTTGCGTTACGGCCAAGTTGTCCCTTAACAGTTGCCTGAGATCGTGGGCACCATTCAGCTCTGGACATCTCATTTGATACGTATGCCGGGGGTCCCCAGCCACCTCCATCATCTAGTTCCCAACCGGTAAGTCTGACATGGCATTTTCGCATTAGTCTCGCCAAGACAGCTGATAGAGTTTCTCCGAGGATCATTATACAGAGATCTCGTTCATCGGCCGGGTCCGCCGCCCACCCCCAGGTCCGCATGGGACTACCGGTAGCATCCCGTGGCAATGGTATAGATGGTGAAATTTCCGCCAGGTTAGCTAGAACTACCTGTTTAGCGAGTTCCAATATTTGGTTTACTTCCAGAATTCTCCTGATAGCAGTGCTTTGGTCGCTCTGGTGAAGCCTGTGCATGTAATTGTGCCAATCGTTCAAAGCTCTGGGAAGGGCTGCGGTGCTGAGTTGGCGCTCACAGACTAACTGGTCGTGAGTTAAGAGTGGCCCATTATTATCTCGAACAACACAATAGATAAGCTTAAAAAATAACCACCCTTGTAGAAGCGCAGGGCGGTCAAGCTCGGTGCAGGTACTTTGCTTTCCAGACTCATACAGTTTGTATTTTTCATCAATTCGAAACCCGTGTTCCTTTGGGAAATTGACGAAATCATCATAGCCCCAGTTCAAAGACGTGGTGGAACAGCGACCATGAGGGCTAACACAATCCTGGTTGGAAGGCTGGGCGGAAAAGCAACGATCGAGGATGTTAAAATAACCGACTGTAACAATTCTCATCCAGCTACTGGAATAAAGGTCGCGCAAATGCTGCATGTTGTTCGTACCACAGTTCCAAAACAGACAAACCGGATACACAGGAACCAAACTGCAGCTCCTTCTTCAAACGGAGAGGGCTTGTGGCTGGAAAGAGGGTAGTCGTGCAAATAAACTGTAAAATGTGTCGTGAAATGCAAAGACAAACGGGAATGCGCGGGGCATGAAATAAATGAGGAAAGGGCAACACCGCGCAAGCCATGTCTTGCCTTCCTCAGCCTGATCACACATAACCGCCCGTGGCTTCCATATTATCTGAATCACTGGTTTCTTGTGACGAGGTTCTCTATGCAGGGTGAACCAAGCAACCAACAAGTAAGCCACAACGGAATACCTGCCCAATTGAATGCTGTTTGTTATTTTATATCAGGACCGGCCATACTGTGCGAGCTTTGTTACGTGGTAAGTACATACCACAGCCCACCTGGCCAAGTCTCATTGTGCGGCTGATCATTCGGGGGAACGGACTCGCCCCTCCCGTCCCCTCCTTCCCAAGTGGCCCAGGCACATTGCAAGGCGTTCCACCATCTGGAAGCTTATGAAAGCCCGGCCATCCCCAAGATCGCCCAATGTAGTACAATCCTACGTTCAAGCTCCATCATCGACATCGAGCTTTCTTATTCACCGACCATAAGCAATGGATTTGGAGGCGACGTCCAAACGAAGGCTCTATCCGGGATATGTCAAAGTAAAGGAACCGGGTTTCACTGCCACCACTACACCTGTTCAAAAACCTCAAGGGGGCAATGTACTTCAGAAAGAGGTTTTCGAGTGAGTTCACGTCTTCGCCTCCCTCCTCTATAGTCAAAATTGACCAGTTTAGGATTCTCTTTATTCGTTCATCAAAGAATTCTGCCCTTGCCACTGTCGTCAGTGCGATCACACAGTTTCTCCATGGTTGTGCATTCTCTTATCTCTTGTCAAATATCGCCCTGAATGAGGAAGAGATATATCAATATGGTTGTACCTCTATCGACGAGACTATCGCAGGGCTACAGCGCTTCATACAATCTCGTCAGCTTGGCAGTTCTAGGTTTCGCGAAAAGCTGAAAAGCTGGAGGACATCTCGCACAAGCAAACAACCACATATCATTATTTTTACAGACAGTCTCGGTTCAGTGCTTATCAGAGGGGTTTCTTTGAAATATCATTTTGGGATACCCATCCGCACTAAGCTCATGTTGTTCTTCCAGGAGAATGAACCTCGAGATGTCGGTAACATTGTCGACAGCAAAAAGCGAGAGGGAATTAACAAACAAATGGAGAGAATCACGAATGAATTCAATGTCAAGGTACAAACGTATTCCGAGTTGAACTCCATGACTTGGGCATCTATACGCCGGCGAGACTCTACTGACCACAACAATCGGGACTTGGAATTCTGGCGAGGAGTGCGAAAGACCCTTGAACAGACTATACAGCGCGCATATCCAATGCTTGAGCAACGGTTGGATTTTGCTTCGGTCGTATCCGAGACCCTGGACTTGTCTGGAATTTCGTCAGAAGGGTATTCACAACCGAAGCCATACGAGACTTTCATACAATCAGTTGAACGGTCGCCAAAGACAGCCCTTGATCCGACCATAGACGAGGGTATTTGGAAGGCCTTGAGAGATCAGGCAGAGGCACGATTGGAAAGTGGTGATAACGAGCGTGCCCTCGCGATGTTTCAGCAGTGTTTGACGATGAGAATCCCTTATGACGACGCAGTCTGGGAAATCAAGTCTAGCCTGGCATTCGCTCGCATGATGCTTGGTCATTATGTCAGAGCGGAACGCGACCTGTCCGAACTCCGACAAGAGCTTGGTCCATGTGTCAAGCAAAACCCAGGACTGGACATCACTGGTATTCTCCTTAATCATGCTCTCGCGTTATCACGAATGGGCAACTACAACAGGATGAAAGAATGCCTGCATGAAATTGTCCTCCCGAAATCGAATGACTCGCAACCGAAGAGAGTGTTCAAAGAGCAGCAAAAAGGATCAGATAAGGTTTTTGAAGATATTTACACTTTGGAACAGCAAAAACATTTCAAATTTGCAGCAACGGTCTGCCGACTCCGAGCTCTTGCTTGGGCCCAGCAGGGTCCGCTTCATTCAAAAGCAATCGATACAGACCTTGACGGAGCAGATATGTGGTGCGACAAACTCGCAAATGCTCCTTCTTCTTTCGAGCCTGTCAGGATCTCCAATATCGTCAATAGATGTCGAATCTTTGTACTCCGGGGACATTACACAACTGCATTATCTTTGCTGAAACCAGCACTTGTGAGCTCCATTATTCGCATAGGAGAAACGAATCCTCTTACAATCGAGACTGCGTTATTATGTTCTTTCCTTCAGATTGAAACAGGATGTGCTGCGGAGGGAAGAATAACATGTGAGAGGTGTGCCGATGTAATAGAAGAAACACTTGGCAATGAGCATCCTTTTGCACTAGAGGCCGAACACATTCTTATCTCAGCCTCGAATCAAGAAGGGGCCTTTCTCTCTGCACTGGACGATTCCATCTCTTTGCATCGACGCGCTGAATCAAGCGCTGAATTGGGCTACAAACACCCATCAACACTGAAATACAAATGCCAGCTTGGGGAGTTATACATTGAGAACGGATTCTATTCAACGGCTGAAGGCATCTTGACAGCGGTCCGAGACGATGTAGAACAGCTTTGGGGTTCCCAGCATCCCGAGGTGCTACGAGTTCGGTCTCAACTCGCTCTAGCCCAGTATCATTTGGGGAAACTGGAAATTGCCGAGAAAGCCATATTCTCAACTCTTCACGACCAGATTCAACTGTACATTCCGCTTGACAAAGACAAGATATGGTTGAAGAAGGATGATAACACCAGTGTGCGGCAGTTCATCAACAGCAACCCACCCCTGCTGCGACGTATTGGAGAAGCGTTCAAAGCAAAGCATCTTGAATCTGCACCACATCCAGATATCCTACAGTCATTATTGACCTGTGGCAAGATTCTATCAAGACATCCTAACGCTGATCTGGATCTAGCCCTTGACATCTTTCATTTAGTACGTGACGCTGGGGTCGCTAAACTAGGACAATTACACTCCCTCCCGCTTCTGGCTTCCCTAACAATGGGTGAAGTCTCATCATCAATGGCAATGGGAGAAAAGGATGGTTTAAGACGTCAGGAGCTGTATGTTCAGGCGATGTCTTCTTTTGACTTTATTATGCGGCCTGATACCGTCGTGCTGGATTACCCAAAGATCGAAAAGTCAACTTCAGGTACTACCGCAATCCGCCTGGACACTGATCATCCTATTTTCCTAGGTATGAGACAGGAGAGCCTTCTTGCCAGTCTCCTATTTTCGAAGTCTGAACCCGGAAAGGAACATGTTCTTGAATGCAAAGATCAGCTCGACGCCATCTTGGCAATGCAAAAGAGCCGACCGGGACAAGGTCATCGGCAGACAGTAAAGACTCTACTAACTCTACTGACTATTGCTCTATCCTTTTCAGAGCCTTTGCTGGAGGCGGCTGAGATCTACAAGGAGATTCTTGAACCACTTACAAATATTGAGGTTGAGCGAGAAAGGTATTTAGAATGTTTGCTGCTGCGAGAAAGAGTCGCGGAAATTATAGAAAGTCGAACAGACGTCTTTGGGGACAAATATCAAGACCTTCTAGATGAGATAGAGAGGCAGGTAATGGAGGTTGAAGGGATGGAAGACCCATCAGTGCGGCAGGCTGTGAGAAGGGTCACGGAACGAACCTCAGCCAGGCGAAGATACACATAATTCTTAACGGAGATTTTGCATTTAGACTTCCTACATATTGGGAATTTTTACAGTTAACCCAGCCATCCCATGTGCATTCGTGAAATATCTATAGAACCTTACCTTTTCAAACGTAATGGTTACACACCATTACAGTGATAATGATAGGCAGGGTTATCGCCAATTCCAGATGTCTTGACTTTGAAACGCCTCATACGCTCATTGTAGGAGCCGGACCTCTTATTCGTTCCCGTGCTACCCAATATATGCAGGGTGTCATTTCAGCTTCCATAACATACCCGCCCTTGCCGCCTCTATCAGATTATTTGTGAGCACATTTGTGTTAGTCTCACTTTGGGTCTGTAATTGGACTTTTGCATGACCATATGACCCCCTTGCGGCTCAGCCTACTGCGCAAAAGAATACATGGCGTACTGAGGCCCGCACTGTACCACAAGGCTCGGACTTATCTGGTCTCCGAGCCTGATTACGTCGAGGTCTGACGTCGCTTTCAATAATAATAAGCTGACTCTTTCCTGGGTGTCATTGTGACACATCCACATCCTTGCAAAGATTTTCGATCGTCTCTGCCACCATTATAGCTTGTTCCTGCATAGCAATACCTATTTTCCACTATAATGTCCACGAGTCACCAACTTGCGACTCAGTGGGTCAATCCATCAGACGTGTCGACAATTCTCTTTGTTCTCGGTGGGGACGTCGTGCAAAAGGCCTTCTCGCAAGCAACTGGAACGTTATACGTTCCCGTTTGCTTCTCCTTCGGGTGTGTCGCCTACGCGTTTGTTGCACTCGTTGGCATCATTGGCGATGGAAGACTTCTTGCACCACCCGATTATCCTTGTAAAGTGCTCAATCTCAAATCTGGATATCTTCGAGAGAACAAAAACTTTGTTCTAGGGCGTTTGCTTCGAGATCTCGAAGCAATAGAAACTCGCGAAGAGAATCTGCCTTCTGAAGGTGGCAGCGACGAGGGTGGCAACTATGGCTTGAAGATCACGGTCTTTGAAGCCACGTGGAACAAGAACGACCGGACTGAGTTCTCCTGGAGCTGGGTTCATGCTGTCGGAGTTGTCATTACCATAATTCAGCTTGTGCTGGCATTCATACCTTTTATTGTACACCGCACATGGAGTGTCCTTCTTATCACAGGGGCTGGCACTCTGCTGGTGCAGTGGATAGGTCTGCTTCCCCAGTGGAGAGCGGAGAAGCTGCCAAACAGACAAAGATCAGAACAAGTGTACGCAATGACATCGGGAAACGGCTCTCGAGAAGTAATGGTCATTTTTGGTTGCGGCAACTGTCTTGATATAGAGTCCCTCGCAGCATCGCAGTCGCCCCGTAATGGAAGACCATGGGAAAAGTTTCTCTGGCTATCCAGACCACAAGAGGGTAGGGACCGCGATTTCCCAATAGCCCGTCGAAACACAATGCTTCGGAAGGCAAAGCGATCAGATGTCTGGATGTTTCGCGGGTATCCAATCGGTTTTATTATCACGGAGGTATCATGTGTCTGTCTCTCAGTGCTCTGGCTTCTTCTACTCGTCAATGTTTCTGCTCGAAGCGAATTCCCTGAATCCTGGTGCCTTCTCGGCGTAGGAGCGCTAGGAATGTTTCAAAACGCCTGGCTTGCAGCGAGGGAGTTGACTCCCGAAATGAGAAACCTTCCATTGAACCGCGTGGATCAAGTCAAAAGCCGGAAGGTCATGGATTGTATAATGGACTTTCATGCCACGTATAAGCTCGGACTACCTCTCAAAGACGAATTCTTTCCTGGAAAGCTCAAAGAGGATGAAGAGGCGTGGTGGGGAGGTGATAGAAGACAATATAATGAAAGGCGTATGGAGGACTTGACCAGGGGGGAGCCACGCCAGATGGCGCATAATTTTGACCAAAAACTTGGTTTTCTCGGAGAGACATTCTCGGGGGCTGATGCAACCCTTATTCCTATACCTGAAGTCTCGGAGAAGCAGAAGACTGCCCGTACGCATCAGACTGCACCTGGCGGAGGGGAAACCGCAGCTGAAAGCTCCGAGTTTATGGCACCTAGACCCTTACCGAGAGCACCTACTTTAGAGATGAGGAGTGGCAGTAAGGCGCCACCTGTTTGGTTAGCTTGAGATATCCACATCAAGGTATCGAGGCCATGGGATGGAAAACACAGTACGTCTTGGCCTCTCGGCTCGAGTGCTTGAACAGGGAGTTCTCCAGGATTGTGAGAATTGGATCTTTAGGATGTATGTTTTTGGGCAATTTGCACCTTTACCCCCTGTAATAGGCCCCAACAAGGCAATATGGTAGGTCCTTTGGTAGTTGGGCACATGAATATGTCGAGGATATTCACAAGGTTCGCTTTTGTATCATAAGAGGTTTCTTTGGCACGTTTCTGTTGGCCGTATTTTATGGTAGTCGCATCCATGGATAAGAATCAGCCTATCCTCTGCTTTCTCCTCACCCAAACTTCTTTGTCCGTCGTCCTCTCATTCCCTTCATCCGCTTTTGAAGCCTCAGCGTCTTTGATATCCCTGAGCTGAACCTCCCAAGTCTTAAGCTTGTAACTCCCACGATCAGACATGCCTGTGAAGAGATCAAAAGACCAATCGTGTTTGGGACATGTAACGCCCACACTCAAGGTAACTCCGAAATCCTCAATATCAAAAGGTGTACCTCTCGAAAGAGGGAATTGACTATGTGGACAAGACTAACTCTGTTAGTCACTATGTTTCCATTGCAATATTGTTATTTACTCACATGGTCAACAGCATGAAATTTGCCTTTGTATTGAAAAATGAGTACTTCATCAGTAAGTGGCTTCCCCAACGCATCATCGCCAATTTCAACCTCCTTAGAAGATGATATATCCTCTTTGGGGATGTGAAAGGCTTTGCATCCTGGTATTGATTTTGTGTTGCATACGCGGTGCTTTGCTAAGTTGCCTGCATCATCGTCTACATCGGGAAACTCCGATGTACGTCCCACAAGGGTCCATTGGGCCCCTTGACGGGAAAATGGGTTGAGAAAATTCATGTTGGTAAAGGTACTTTGTTGTTCTGCGATTTTGCTATGAAAGAGGAAGTCAAATTTGCGATAGTGCTGGATTGGCTTTTGGTTGGGGCATGTGATATGTCACGTGGGCTCCATGATCGCTAACAAATGCCGACGACGAAACCGGATGGGAGTACAGAAACCTCGACGTATAATAGCTTTAAAAATCCTTTAGTTTCTCACGATCTAGATAGTATTCTAAATTTTCAATATACTACATCCACAAAAGCGCACTCAAGAAATAAACTCTTCTTACTATCTAACTATCTAGCTATCTAAATATTTTCTTCAAGAATCCAACACCCTATTATAACATCATGACCAAAACTGATCAAGTCTAGTACAAGGTTTAAACTAAAAAAGGCGTCCTTTTAGTTTTTGAAATAGACAGGCAGTACAGCCATGCTGTATCTCCTCCAAGAACAAGAAGTCCAGATCTTCCCAATGTCCTTCCACCAGGCCCATGAAGTCCCCGCCTACCCGTGGCCGTGGCGATCATCCTCTCTTAGTATCTGTGGTTGGTGCCTCTTCATACTCAATTTCGATGCCATTGAATTGAGTGCCCAGAATCTCGCTCGGTGGTTCCTGAGATGTAGAAGGCTCAATGTCAGGATCAATCCATTCAACGCCGTCCATGTTAGGTTCCACAGCACCAGTAACGTCTCCCACAAACTTCACATAATTTCGGTTGTTCTGGTTTCCCTTTCCAACCTTTACCGGGCGGTTGAAGATGCAGGGATTGGGCGTACCCTTGGCAAGCTCTTCAGACAGTTTGCCGTTAATCTTATAGATTCGTCTGTTCTCTTGATGAAAGCCCGGACCAGCCTTGCAGTTGTTCCACTGCGGGCCACGTCTACCAGAAGATCTGGGATCTTTCGGTTCGTTCGTGTTCGAAGAAGAAGCCATAGCGGAGTTTACAAGGTTCAAGGGAGAGTTCATCCGGTTTTGCAAAGCCAGAGCAGTCTGAATCTCCGCCAGCGTACCACTACACTGGAGATCGAAGGAGCTAATATGGATGGTCAACGATGGATGCCCTGGGGTTCCACCTTCAATAATAATCTCCTTTTCGCTTTTGTCTTCGGGATGAGCTTTCTTGGCGTAGGTAGTCTTTTTATCGGCCATGTTTTGGATATTGGTTTGGATTTGATAGAGTGTTTTCGACTGTATCTCCTCAATCGCCAAAGAGAGTGTACTCTTCTGTCTTTCGAGTCTCACAAAGATATCAAGAAGATCTTGCTCTTTGTATAATAACCCCCAGGTACGGAGGAGTCTTCCTTTGCTAAGCAAGGAAGTGATGCAGTTGTTGTCAATGAGTGAGAGAAGGGCTCTAGTCTGAGTCCCTATCTCAGGGGTTTGTAAAAGGGGGTTCTGGGAAATGCAAGTAGATAAACTCTGAAGTTCTTGAAGCTGTTCATGATACCTTTTCAGCGTCGATGCTCCCCCTTTTATCTTTCGCAAGACGTCTATCAAGGAAAAGCACGCCGTGCCGAGCTGGGTCGCCGATGCGGCGACGCCAATGATTTCTGCCATGATCGCCTTGATTCCACAGTCAAGATAACATTGTTTTCGATAAACTCTGACGCGAAAAGAGCGGTCAGGAGAAGCCAAGGATCTTGAAAACCTATCTTGAAGTTATTTTCTCTTTCCACGGCGACGATGTGGTGGGTAAGAATGCAAAGATGGCGAAAGTTGCATCAACGTGGCATCTGAAACGACCTCGAATAGTGAAAATCTCGACAGGTGCGACCGCAAAAGAAGGCCCGGTGGTTTGGGTTACACTAATCCCTGGGCGTCGTCAGTATAGAAAGACTGGGAAGGAAGCCTGAAATGACAACGACAGAGCCTCATGTGTCAGACTCGATGGAACCTTAGACACTCAGAGGGGGGCGAAGCAGCGTGACACGACAGACAAGGCTGAAGACACAAAGCTCTTCATACGCTAATATGATAAAGTCCCAAGGCGGCTGCAGGTGTTGCGATCGAAAGGGGAAAATCGGTGAAGAGAGTTTGGGGTCGATTTTTGCATCTTCACATCATACCTCGGGAGGGAGAAAACAATGCCGATGACCCTATACGAGTTGTATATCAGAGCCGGACTTGATCTCTCCCCCATTCCTAGGCAGGGAGTCTTGTCTGGCTTTGGGGAAGGGGCACTGGTATCTGTGAGAGCCTTACTGTGTTTTAGAGCTCATGAAAGTCTTTCAGTATGATGTTGGGCTCAAAGTGTTCGCCTGGTTGCTTTAGGCTCAACGAGGCTCGGCGGTAAACGCGGGGATCTTCTTCGAGGGTAGGTTCGGTTTATCATCGATGATTCTCATGATAGTTTGTATCAGGCTTCCTGTGATAAGTTAGTCCAAATGACAAGAGTGATTTGATATTGAAATAGTCACTTCATCATGAAATATTCTAGAATACCAGACTTTGGGTCGAGTTCATAGTGAAGATTCCAGGTCAACTGGGAAATATTGAGAAGGGTGGACAATTCGGAATGGCCGACGAGTTGGTTCTACTTGCTGCGCCACGTTGTTCATGAGATGGTTGCACCTTCCCAGTATTGAGTTGATGCTGCATAAATCGAGGCCACCTGCAGTTTTATGTATCCCCAACAGGATGGTTGTATGAATATGGCAGGTACAACCAACCAACTGTTGGCAGCGGTGCTCTACCAGCCGCCTCTAGTGATCATATCATTCCAGAGAGTTCTCAGGATCCGAATGAATCGGATCATTACTTTGAAGCACAATTTTAATATTGATTCCAGTCGCTTTAAACTGCATCCATTCCTTTTAGTAGTCCTACATAAGTGATATGATACGTACTCTCTCGATCAGGCTCTCAGCTTATCGATACCCGCGTTCTGTACGTACTGTAGAGCCTGATCATTGATACCATGCAGAGAACCAACCATTCGGGGAAGATCCCTGCACCAAGTGTGACTCCAAAGCCCTCGCCTGCCCCCAAGCTGCATCCATACACCCACACTCCAAAATCATCTAATCAAAACTCCATTGAAACCTTTCACGAGCCAAGTAGAATCGAGAACGGGCCCCAATACACCATCTTTTGCGGATATGACTTCACCACTAGACGACGATCACGCTCCGGCTCGAGCCGCCAACAAGCCAACACAAACCACTGCGCCCACCATTGGTAAAAGCGAAGCCTACATCAGCTCTGGTGCTGTCTCAGTTGGGGGTGGTGATCAATTCAACGGGAACCATACTCAATATCACAGTCATATTGAGCATGACAATCACACTGAGAATCACGACCATTCCCGTACCTACAATTTCAATATTCCCATTCGCATTGACTCCATCAGTCTCTTCATACTGGCACAGCTTGCACCTCCTAGGGTGCGTGTATGCAAGTGTGACTTTACTGGCCATGGCATTCTGCTCCTACTGGTCAGTCTGGCTCACTGTTGGCTGTTGAGTTGCTGTGAGTGTGACAGGCTGCTGCTTCTGATTTGAAGGGTTCTATGGCTAACCTGTGTGTCTGATTTTAAGCCTGAAATCCTTGGCTTTTCGTAATTCGAATGTTTGACTGCAGCTCTGTGGCACATGAGTCAGGCGATGTTTCCCAATTGGCTATCTTTCCCGACAATATGCAGTCTGTGTATCGTCGAATCATGGAGTGACAAGCTGAGACAGTCGTATTGAGGTGAGAGGCATGAAGTTGAAAATCTGGCTCGTCCGATGTTCAGATATTCCTTACGAGCGAAAGGCGCAATGGCTTTGGATAATGATGGGAAAGGATTATCTTTCAATGTATACGCTTATTACATTTCATGTTCATAACTAATTCGACTGGATTGACCCACTCGGTGGTACTATCTATTGTAAGACCAATTGGTCAGGTTTGAATGAGGCCCAGAGAATAATGTGCATACTGAGCCATATAGCGGCTAATCTGCAGCTGAATCTGGCACTTACATCACACAGCCTACTTGACTCATCAGATCCGGAACGTGCAGGTAGGCAACGGAAGAGATATCATCCAGGCTCCGTCTGCCAAAATAAAGTGGCCCAGCTGCTAGTGTTCGCTAGTATAAGATGAGTAGAGTATTTTGCCCCTTGTGCTTTCACCGGCTAATTCTTCTGATACTGATAGCATGTTGGGTCCTAACTTTACGGTTTCGAACTGCAAGGAGTGGAGAAACTGATTTATTGAAGGCCATCAAGGGCCGAAGTTTATATACCGCTGTATCCCGCTGTTATACTACTGTTGAAAGGTCCAAAGAACAAAATTTGTTATCTTGAAGAGGGAGGTTGGAAAGGGAGAGGGCAATTCGCGATCTTCCCTTCAAAATGATGCAAAAGATCATTCCACTGGCCCGCATGGGGCTTCCATTTCGTCAGAGGTGATCCCTCTCTGTCAGAGAAGACCCACATACCCGCGAGATCTTCCCAGACGAGTCCGCCAAAGATTCGACTCTCGGCCCAGTGCGAAACATGAGCACAAGGGTACTGTTGAATCGTCGAAATCAGATAACGATGATTTGGATGTATAAAATCATCGTCGAGAACGTCCTAAGCCCGGTTCGCTCGTCTGATCCTCTAGAGTTCAACAGCCACCTGGCGAACAACCTTCACAATCGTGCAGATCAAGTTGTTGCCCCACGCTGTTCTATTACTCATTGGTACCTTTAGGTAAGCGGCATAGTCCTCGTTTAATGTTAATTCAGTCTTTAGGCGCTTGGGCGGAACTTACTTCAGGCCTCAGGAAGGTCACCACCATGTCAGGGTGAAATGTGTTCCGGTTGCAATATGTATACAAGTAAACCAAACGTCTCCTGGCGTCTTCCTCTGCAGAGGTGTATCCGTAACCGCTATAAGGAGTGTACTGGAACATTTGCCCACGCATACTGTTCCGTGTCTCGTTGAGAAACAGACCTGAAAGTATCTCTCCATAGGTGATCTTTGCGATGTTACTGTTCAGCACCTTTATAACTGCTCGGGATAAGATTTCATGGCGTTTTTGTGTGCTCGGGGTGTCATATAGGCCGGGAGGACGATTCAGGGGGACGGGAACAGAAGAATCGCTCGTTCTTGCTTCATGTTCGTTCTTGGCGGATGACTCTGGGTCTGTTCGTCGCTGCCCATATATCATGGACTCTTGGGGCTCCAGATGCATTGTGCAATTGTATATTTGGAAAACGATGGTCGAAGTTTATTGTTGAAAGACTGTTGATTTCAAAGAGATGAAGCTGGTGAAAGTGGATGGTTGGAAGAAGAAGAAGATTGACTGAAGAGATCCCCAAGGCCTTTCTCTTGCCTTAAGAATGGTCGTCCAAAGCTTCTTGGGAAGGCAGGAGCTGTCTCATCCAATATGTTGACATTTCTGGAAGGCACGCTCAAACATCCGATAGCAACTGACTTATCATGTCCCTTGTATGCTTGACAACTGACACACAGTGTGGCTCCTTCTCATGCATTTGATGCGGCATCCGATTACCTATACCCGGTGGAATATGAGCATGACCTGAGTGCCATGCATTTTGCCTATCCTCCATTAATTGCAACATTGCAACAAAGGTTGTAGTCGACGAGTATTTTGTGCCAAACACTTCTGCTTTGATTGCCTTATTTGCAATTCGCTGCCAATCTTCCGGGTCCAAGGTCATTTGAAATCCCGATGTGTTTTCACTCCGCTCGGGCTTTTGGTTTTCGGCAACACACAAGACTTTGGCTTCGTTCGCCTCTTGAGCTCGTATTGTCTCTTCCTCGACAAATTTGACAATCTTCTTGTATCCTTCCGCAAGAGATACGATCAAAGTATTGAGAAGCTGAGCGTTCTGCATCGCCCAGAGAAACTTGGTGGGACATATTTGACACTGAATGATCCCCGCTGCTGTGCTGGTCAATTGTCGCAAGACTGACAACCGAGATGTGAAGGGTAGGTCTTCTGCTTTCCGGACCTCTTCAAGGGAGAGGTATAGATTTGCAAGACAGGCGCAGGTCTGCTGGCCTGGGTCCGTTTCGAAAGCCAACAGTTTTGGGTCGACATTTGATTCTGGTCTGATCTAAGTCAGTACAGGTCATCAAGGTACCCGATGGGTGTCAGAAGAATTGTCCACTAGGTTAGGCTACAGAAATAAAGTAGCCTAATTACCAGCCTAAGCTTGCATAGGGTGACCAGATTATTTCGTCTCTTATGCTCTTCGAGGTAATTCTTCTGACACCCGGAGGCCCGGTAATATCAACTCACCCAAGAGAGATTACGTCTAACGACGTATCATCCGACATGTGCTGACAGTGATCGTAGCTTGCTCTCCTGCCGAATTCACTCCCAGTCTCGCTTCCAATACTCATAGCTAAAGTCGACGGTGACGTCCTGCTTGCGGCGCTGCTATCAGGGACCTCGCTCTCAGAGGGGAGCTTTCGCTTCTTTGGTCTTCCCATCGGCAACTTTGCCGAGTATTTGCAAGATTCAGACACACTTGAGCATCTTCCACAAGACGGGTATCCGCCATCACATTTAAGCTTCTTTTGTCCTTGTAGGCTGATCAGCATATCTGGACCCCCGGATGTAAGCGGGAATTGTGGGCGGTTATACTACACTGATCACAGGAAGCTCTTCTATTGGCAGGATCTTGCAACTCGAGGTTCATGATGGATGGGATTTATGTGAGACAATACTTAAGGTCGAAATCCGTACAAACAACACTCTGGGTGTGATTTGTGGTTGTAGGATTCAAATCCTCATCTTTTGTAAGCCAGGAAGCGGCCGAGAGGATAAGTGGACCTTAGCAATTAGCCCGCCGCTAACGAGAACCCCTGGACCGGAGGCCGGGAGTTGCATATTCCGACCGCCCAACCAGCAGAAAAAAATTATTTTTCCTCTACGACTACTGATAAAGAGCCCCCACTATCATATCAAAGAACTTTTGCAACCCAAACATCAAATATTTTTGCGATAATGGCGCCCTCAAAAGAAGTTGTCGCTACCGGCTCTAAGGCTGTCGCCACGATTGACCCTGATCAGGTTTGTATTCATTGAGAACGATTGTCTGTAGCTGCTCTAACAATTGCGTTCTAGACCCTCAAAGCTTCAAAGGCTCTTCTGTCACACATCAAGAAGGCTTCCAAGCAAAAGGTGGAAGAGACTGGCAAGCACAACCTCCTCGACGACGATGAGAACGCCAGCACCCCCGTTTGGCTCAACTTGACCACCAAGCGCCACATCGTCGACAAGGCCCGTCTGCAGCCCGGCAAGATCGCCCTTCCTCACTCGCTCAACACCGACGAGTCCACAACCATCTGCCTTATCGTCGCCGAGCCTCAGCGCGCCTACAAGAACATTGTTGCCTCTGACGAGTTCCCTGAAGACCTCCGAAAGCGCATTGTCCGTGTCGTTGACTACGGCAAGCTCAAGGCCAAGTACAGCCAGTACGAGGCCCAGAGGAAACTCTTCAACGAAGCCGATATCTTCCTTGGTGATGAGCGCATCATCAACCGACTACCCAAGGCTCTCGGCAAGACCTTTTACAAGACAACCCAGAAGCGACCGGTTCCCGTCAACTTCCAGGCCAAGGTCACCAAGGTCGACGGAAAGCGACAGAAGCGCGTTAAGAATGAGGACGAAGTCAACGCTGGTACACCCGCCGAGATTGCCAAGGAGGTCAAGAAGGCTCTCAACTCTGCCTTTGTCAGCCTTACTCCTTCAACAAACACTTCCATCAAGGTCGGATACTCTGGTTGGACAGCCGAACAGATCGCCGAGAATGTCGACGCTGTTGTTACTGGTATGATCGCAAAGTGGATTCCTCAGAAGTGGAACAACATGAAGAGCATCTACATCAAGGGTCCCGAGACTGCTGCTCTCCCAATCTGGTTGACCGATGAGCTCTGGGTCGATGAGAAGGACGTTATTGCCGAGGACGAGGCGACCAAGGCTGAGAAGGCCAACATCGGCAAGAAGCGCAAGTCGCTCGACAACGCTTCTGAGGCCGAGGCTCCTGCTCCTACCAAGAAGGCCAAGAAGCAGAAGGCGGCCCTCGAGGCCGACGACGATAAGCTTGACAAGCAAATCTCTGATCGCAAGACTCGATTGAGAAAGCAAAAGGCATCGGCCAAGAAGGCTATTGAGAACTAAAAACATGGTATTCGCATCGGTGTTGGGGCGTTGAAATGGTGGTGAAAAACCCAGAATAGAACGAACTGTATACTTGCATTCCTAACAATATTAACTGTTGAGTAATACTACATGTCTGTCTTGCTGATCTTTTTTCGCCGATCGTGTATTGTGTAGCCATCATTGTTCAATGGTCAGGTTCTACACGACTCTTTCGGAACCCGCTTGGTGACATTGACAATCGACCTAGCTGACTCGTTCTTGCTAATTTCTTACATTAGCATCGGAGACAGTATCAAAACATGTACTTGCCAGGCGCTGATATAAAATTTCTCCGAAGCTGGCTGGGTCTTTGTTCAGTTCACCGTCTTACCGTTTCAATCGCTAGCGGGACCACCTTCCCAATGCCAAGACATTCATCCCCATGTTCCTTACAGCTACAAGAAAAGTGGAGGCCATAGCTCGCCGCATGCATGAGCGACCCGCGGCAACTAAAGAGACCCTGACGTCTTCAACTCCAGGCAACTCTCCGTCTTCATCACCATCAACTTCTCATTCTCTATTAGCAGTCTTCATCCTTCATCTTCATTGCCATCAATCGTTACACATTCAAAAACATGCTTTATTCCCCTTTGCTCCGTTTTGGCTTTGCCATAGGAGCTCTTGCTGGCCATAGCCGCGCGGCACCTGCTCATACCAACGATGACCTGACTGATACGCCTCTACCCATCGTCGTCTGGCACGGCTTGGGTGACCAGTTTAACAGCGACGGCATGAAGAGCATCGAAGAGCTCGCTGAAGCTATTAATCCAGGCACTTTTGTTCATATTATTTCTCTCAACGGAGATCCCAACCAGGATCGCTCTGCGACTTTCACTGGCAACGTTACGGACCAAATCAGCAAGGTCTGTGAGGAGCTTGCTAAGCACCCGATTCTTTCAACAGCACCTGCTATCGACGCCATCGGTATTTCGCAGGGCGGTCAGTTCCTGCGCGGTTACGTTGAACGGTGCAACTGGCCCCAAGTTCGCAGTCTTGTTACCTTTGGTAGCCAACACAACGGCATCGTCAAGTTCAAGGCCTGTGGTCAGACCGACTGGCTCTGCAAGGGCGCTATGGCTCTTCTTCGATTTAACGTATGGAGCAACTTTGTGCAATCGCGTCTTGTTCCAGCCCAGTACTACCGCGATCCCAGTACCCAGGGCGACTACGATAACTACCTCGAGAACTCCAACTTCCTCGCTGACATCAACAACGAGCGCGAGCTCAAGAACAACAAGTACAAGGCAAACCTTGGCAGCTTGACCAACTTTGTCATGTGGATGTTTGAGGATGATACACTAGTCGTCCCCAAGGAGACTTCGTGGTTTGAGGAGGTCAACGGTACAGAGAGTATCCCCCTCCGAGCTCGCCCGCTCTACCAGGAGGATTGGCTTGGTCTTCGCGGTTTGGATCGCAATGGTGGTCTTCACTTCAAGACTGCCCCTGGCGATCATCTTCAGAACATGGAGGAGTTGCTCAACCAGACTATCACTGATTACTTTGGCCCATGGAAGCGAAGCTTCGATAAGAACCAAGAGGTTGAGGATGACATCTGGGAGATGGAGGATCTGTAGGACAGCGACTATACGATTGTAGACGTTGACGTTGACGTCGATGTTCACGTTGACGTTGACGATGAGGTTGAGGATGACATCTGGGACACGGAGGACCTGTAGGACGGCGACGATACGATTGTACAAGTTTGAAACGATGGTCATAGAAGAAGAACGCGATTGATATCCTTGTGTTAGTATTAATATTACTCATTATTCATTACGTCAAGTCGCGAATTGTCTGGCCCAAGACCGCGTCAGGAAACTGTACTGTGACAGTGACATGTTGCCAGTTCCACTCTTACCTCTTCAATGTCTTCTTGTAAATTACAAAATATATTTCTCAAACCCCACGTACTAGATACACCTCATCTCAACTATCTTTAAACCCGAAAGCTTCCATAAGGCGACATTCAGGTACTAACCTATCTTATGTCCGCCGAACTGAATACACGGGTCTAGGGTTGGTTCATCCTCTCGTCGGCACCCTCTTGCATGAGTTGAGCTAACTGCAGTTATTACCAACTCAAGTAAGTACTTAAGTGTATCAGCACTTACAAAACGGTTAATAGACCAGTCATGAAGATACAAAGCTTCTCGCCTTCTGAAAAGGACTTCTCTCAATTTACAAAGGTGTGGCTGGTGCAATGCTGCTGCGCCACATTGGAGCTTTAGCCCCATCGCAACAGCATTTGCATCATGACAAGTGATTTTGTTTCTACGCGACAACATAACTTCACTTTATAGGGAGAAGCCGCGCATTTTCTTAATTAGCCGCATTTCTCTTTGTTTATATACTGTCGTTTAATCGGTAATCACGAAGAAGAACCCTTCGCGCCCACGACCGAAGAATCTTCTCCATTGCGACCGAGAATCACCATCGAACAAAACAGTACAAACACCCACCACCTCTGAACTATATCCACCACGACGTTTTCGCGATCGCAACGGCCTATCTAGGCTCTTGCCCCTGAGATGGCAACTTCCAACAATGATTCTTCTACGACCGCGAACGGTGACGGTATGCCCAAAGTCGGGCCTCATCCAGGCTTCATCTCGAGCTCGAATCAATACACATCAGAGCTAAGGCTCCGGCGCATGCTAAAGGACAATGGCTGCGACCCCGCGAGACAGGATAACTACCGTCTTCAAGGTGTGCAGCTGATCGACAACGTCAGAAAGTCCCTACAACTGTACGCCAGGCCCTCCAATGCATATCACGAGTTCACGACTAACTCGAAATAGACCTGTTCGCAGTTTTGATACGGCGTGCACATACTTCCACAAGTTTCGACTCAATTTTAGAGATGCAGAGTACAACTATCAGGATGCCGCATTGGCTTCGTTGTTCGTTGCATGCAAGGTCGAGGATACGATCAAGAAGTCAAAAGATATTCTAGCAGCAGCGTATAACATCAAGAACCCAGAGAAACCTACCACTTCGGACGATAAGGTAACGTCAATTCGTGCTTTGCATTGTATCATCTGCTAACGATGTCTAGATCTTCGAAGGACCAGGCAAGATAATAATTTGCCTCGAACGACTCATCCTCGAGACGATCGGCTTCGACTTCCGCACGCGCTACCCGCAAAAGCTCCTAGTCAAAGTCGTTCGTGCCATCCTGGGCAAAGAAGCTGGTAAAAGATTCTACGACATTGCATACACAATGTCTATCGATATGTACAAGACCTTCGTCCCAATCAAGCGCACAACGTTCTCCATGGTGATGGCTCTTGTGGAGCTCACAGCTCTCCTGACGGAACAGTACGTCGACAAGGTCCGCGACTGGGCAAAGACGAAGCCACAGTACAACCGCGGCGAAGTAATGGAAGCGATGCTAGACATTTTGGACCTTTATGTTCAGCATTCAAAGTCGACGAAGGTCGGGGCGCAGTTTGATCAGAACAAGATTATCGATATCAAGATTCGGCTTAACAACGATCTTGACAAGGCTTTCGAACCACGGTATCTGAACTTCTGTCCCCGTTGCGAAGCTGAAGAACCCCAACCCTCGACGCCCGCATCTGCCACATCCCCTGCGACGTCGACATCGTGGCCTGGCGATGCTTCAGGACGACGCACAGCTCGGGGACAGGAGGGAACGATGCGATTCGTGTTTGACCCTGAGGCTGCCAAGAGAGAGCAAGAAATCACGAGTGAATTCTTTAAAGATGAGTATGAGGAATACGAGGTCGAAGTCGAAGAGCCGATCGCCCCACCGCCTGAAGAGATGATGGGCCCTGGTGGTGGTGGACGGGGAGGTTACCGTGGGCCCAGGGATCGCGGTGATCATAGACGAGGAAACCCATATGGAGGCTATCGTGGAGATAGGCACTACAGAGGAGGAAGGGGTAGACATCGCTGAAGCTCGGATATGTGTAAATGTTCACTTTAAGATACCCACAGCTGCTAGCAGAAATGATTATAAGTTCTATTCATTCCATTGAAACTCTATCATTCGAGTATATACGTGGATATCATATGCTCAACCTACGCCTTCTTGATCCCATCGCCCTTGACCTCGCCGTGATCCCCAGTGTTCAGATCCTCTCCTGTCGGACCACTCGATCTGACACCTTCCAGCTCACCTCCGTCATTCTTCTTGTCATCAAGCTCTTCAGCCATACTGCTCGCCTTGCTCACATCCGCACTCGCAGGACTCTGCACCCTGAGGCCCAAGTCCTTCTGGTTGTCAGGGTCTTCCTTATTCGCACCCTGCCAATCAGCAGGCCTGGCTTGCGGCACAGGCTGTCCCTCCGCAGGCTCGAGCACTTCTTCGGGCAGGGCGTCGGTACCAGCTACGCGCCATACGACAGCAATGCGATCAAAGGCTCGGGAGCCCTTGCGGCTGGAACCCTTGATGCCGTCCATAGCATCCCACTCGATGCTGAACACGCCGCTATCGAGAGCCTTGCCGTCCCGTTCGGGTCCCTGGCCTTCGAAGAAAGTGTTGAACCAAACATGTGCGACAGCCGTAACCATAGTGAGACCCATGCTCTTTGGAGTCTTGTTACGGCGCTCGACTGAAATGTTGACATCGCTGTTCGGGATTTGAACCGGCTCCTTAGGCCTTAGGATAACCGCCATACCACCTGGCTCTTCCTCAGAGGTATTCGTAAGGTCGGTCTTTGAAGATGTAGCAGACTCATCTTTCGACTTAATTGTACCCTTATGCGAGCTCGCCGGCGACACCTTGTGCAAGATTTCTGTGCCCTTCCTCTTAAGAGCGTGTTTCCTGCCCTTTCCATCCTTTTCTTCGGCCGCATCCACAGTGTCGTCGCCTTCACGGTTCGCCGCTTCGGAAAAGTGTGCTTCTTCAGGTGCTTTCTGGATCCCCTTTGCAGCAGGATATCCAGCCATTTCCCAAATCATATCGCTGATACCACTCTCCTCCGGTGCTGCAGGGTCAACGACCACGCGCTCTTCCTTCTTGAATGTGTGAAAGATGTCGATCTTCTTGCCCTCGTCAGTGAATCCTTCGATATCTACTTTGACACCATGGCGCAAGCCCCAAACATGAATCTCGGCGATTTCGATGGGTCGGTCGATGTACTTCTTGCCGCCTTTAGTCCAGCGATCAACATAGCTGATCCATCGCAGCTGCGATGGGATCGATACACCAGCACCGAACTTGGGTCGCATACGTCGCTCTGTAAAGCGGGCAAGAGCATCCTCGGGTTTCCACCCCTCCTCTGCAATGAGATAACTGCAGCTCATCGAGCCACTGCGTCCCTTGCCGGCTTTACAGTGCACCACAACCACTCGCTTCTCGCGCTTTGCATCCTTTTGCTCTTGAGTGAGTGTACCTTGGCCCGAAGACATAGGTCTTCCATCGCTTGCGACTGCTCCGCCACCCAATTCGCCGCCGTGCAACCAGTTGCGCATGCTGGCCATGATCATGGGGACGAGTCGGAATGGTGGGGGATGATGATCAGGCCATGGGTAGTGCCTCACGCGACCGTACACAGATTCATCTGGGTAGCCTGTTCCTTCGGCACGGAACTCCCATATCGCCCAGTCTTCACCATGCTTGGTATCGAGGAACTTGACGAGTTGGTCGAGAGGGTTTCGGTATGCGAGTTGCGGGTATGTTTCTGAAGGACCCGATCTGTAAGTCAGGTTGGTTAGTACAATTGCTATTTCCGATGATAAATCCAGCAGAGAGAAGGTGGAAACCCTCTATGGCAGCTTCAATTCGGGGACTTACGTTGCAATAATGTTGTCAGTAACGTAACAAAGATCCAGGCCGGCTTCAGGATGCCGAGAACGCGGCCCCGCGACAATCTGTCGCAAGATGGAAGCCATGATGAGCTTCACTATTAGGACGATAAAAACTGTTCAAAAGTGGTTAGAATTACCACGTACAGCTCCGCTTGACTTTAAAAGGGTCCTGAAGCGGGTGCTGGAGTTGAAAATGATTAAAACAGGCCGCCAGGTCAGGAATACAAGTAACTTGACAGGCGACGTCATCCCTTGTGCCCCACTACTTGATTTATTGGACATTTGATATCATCTCGAGCACAGCCAAATTGGAATAACAAGACAAGAGATTTGCAGCGAGTTTAGGGACAATGACAGTTGATAATCATTTTATTGGTAGCTTCGTAATAAATGCAGCATTATTGTTTAGCATAGCCTTCTTTGGCCCACCTCTTGAGGCTTCATCCTAGCTCTACGCTCCGATGCCAAGACTAATCATCATACATGTTCTCGTCCCCTCGTATTCGCGCAGCTTCTATTGCGCTGTCCTCTCTTCGTTTTTAACTTCCACTGCCTGATCATATAAGGGCCATGACTTTAGGATAGAGTTTTATGACTATAGGATAGAATTTGTTGTTTTCCAAAACCCAATCTCATCACTTCGGTAACCGTCTCTCGTCTCGCCTATGAGGTCTTCTTGGCGGGTCCGCTACCGACAATGGCGGTGGCATCGTGGAACTGCTTAGCGCCGTCCTTGACAGTCTGCCAGACCTGGCGAGCAACGGGAGGAGTTCCCTGAGCACTGACGAAAGAGTCGACACGAGCGCTCAGCTGAGAGAAAGAGTGCTGAATGTGGGTGCTCTGGCTGTAGCGGGCGCGGAGGAAAGCAGTGTAGAGGACGATGAGGATCCAAGATCGACGCTGGAAGAGAATGGCGGAAAGGAAGATGCGACCCCAGAGAGCAATCTCGAGCGAAGAGACGATAGCCATGGAAGCGTCATAGTATTCCTTCACGAAAGCACCAATCTGGTTGGCGAGAGGGCTGTCGGCTCGGCGGGCAGGAGAAGCACCATCGGCCTCAGGCGCAGCAGCAGGCTTAGGAGCAGCGAAAGCGGGGATCAGGTTGGCGCGAGTGTATGTAGCAACGTGGAAGACTGAGTAGATCGTGTAAGGGATCAATGCGAGGGGGTACTGAGGGCACAAGAGCCAAACAAGGGCCATGGCTGTTCACAGTCAGCATATGTCACACAAAATGCAAGGGATCTCAATCTCGCTCAGAAACACTTACCAAGGTACTGAATGTTCTCATCGGCAAGGAGAGCCATGGGAGTGGGAGCGGCACGCTGACCAGTCTTGGCACGAGCGCGCATAGTCTTATAGACGACGATACCGTAGGTGACAGCCGCGGCGACAAAGGCAGTGCGGTAAGAGAACTGAGCCATACGAGTGTAATAGTTCATTCGCAACCAGGAGAAGCCATATCGGATTGTTGCGAGGATCAGAGTGAGATGTCTAACAAGGGAACATTTGTTAGTTCTAGATCTGCGATTTGATCAATGTTGTTCAGACATACCCTACAAACCAACCGACTGTAACCACGAATTAGCAATGCGATCTCATCAGACTGCGCGCAAACCACGTACATTGGAGGGTCTTAGCCAGAGCCATCAGGCGCTCCTGGAGAGGAAGGTTGGGGTTGGGCGGCGGTGCCATGGCGTTTGATATGATATGGAGATCGTTAATGAGGTCTTGGTGAGCTTGAGTGATGTTGAATGGAAAGGAAGAAAGAAGAGGAAGGGAAGAGTTAAGTTGGGCTGATGGTGGATAAAATCAAGGCAGGGGGGACAGTGATTCAGTGACGGAGGCTACCCCCGCTTTTAGGTTAGAGATGGCCCAAGCTCCATTGCTTCATAGCAGGAGGGGGCAGAGAACTTGACGCTGATATCATAAAGACGAAGCAGTTAGTGTGTTTAAATTTAGATACTAGTATAGCTTGTTTGTTCTTTATCCCTACGTTTGGGTCTTTGTTTTCACCACTTCTGAAAGAACTGCTTCAGTAGATGGGACAGGAAGACTACAGTGCAGGCCACATTTGAGTTACAGTGGGCACCCTCTGAAAGGCCCCTCCCGCGTGGAAGGACAGGTTTCAGTGTTGGCTTCAGCGCGCTTCAATAGCTGAGAGCGACAAACAGCCCGAAGCGGGAAGATCCATAGTGAGAAGATCAGCTAGGTTAAACGCCATCTTTCGTTTGAAGGGAGGGAGGAGGTTGGTATGGGCAGACCGATGAGGCTGAGAAGGGCGCTTCTGTCTGAGAAAATGACATTAGTTGTTAATTGATTGGTGTTCTAAAAGTCAAAGGGTGGTGCGTTTGCTGTCTTCTAGCATTGGCCTGTGAGGTCGGTTGCACACGACACCAACTGAAACGTGTGTCCAAGTTTTCTAGCAAGATGGTGATGGCTTCGATGACGACAATCAGACTGTCCCTCCAAGCACGTGAAAAGCACCAGATCGACTAACAGCGCTAGATTCTAGAACAACTCATTATGGCGTCATTTGAAGATGTATGTCACGTGTGCGAGCTCAATTGCTTTCAGCTTGATCTTCTAATACTGCGCTATGCTATGCCATTCCTCATTGACATTGGATTGAACCAAGAAAAATCGTCAATAATTCATTGCTGACACGTGCAGCTTTCGTCATCGTACGAAACCAAAAGTTGAAGCCCCTGCGTAGCTGAGCCGGGCGATTATTAGCGCAGCCAATGAGAATAGGTCACCGTGCGTAGGTTGGTGGAACTGGGCGCAGCAAACATGCAACGTACAGATGTTTCGAGCCATGATGAGTTCGTCTAAGACGGGAAGGACATTAATTTGACAAATGGTAGTAACAAGTGGTTTGAGCTCAGGATTGTTGTAGAATCGCAATCAGTAAGAGCATGCAAGCGTATATTCGTGCCTGTGAAGAGGCAGGTAAGTTAGAATGTGACTTTACGAGCACAGATATAAATTTGACAAAAGGATTTGGAGTAAAGATAGCAAATCATCCCATTACAGAAACCATACGATGTCTGAAGTCATGGCTAGTTGCTCAGATTCACAACCGTACAATTAATTATGGCACAACTGCCTTATCATCAGGAAGTTATAGATGAAATGCCAGAGTTATAGGGTAGCTATTCCGCCACAGTGGCTCAAGACTTTATCAATCTCGGCTTAGTGCCATCGCGGCTATCTCACGAGTCCAGTGCGACCCCGCAGCACCGAGATCGAGCGATTTCGGCCAGGGCAGGCACAGCAGGAAAAAACAATCGCCGAGGAATTCCTCCCAGTCAGTCACTGCACAAAACCTATCTCAATCTCCACAAGACGTCGCATCTTGGAATTCAAGCACCCTAACCAAACCGACTAGTCAATTGGCTTGCGAAGTCTTCCCCGTCGCAATGTTCTCAACCACCTCAATGGTCTTCCGGGCCGGCGCCCGTCGCGTCATTCGACGATCCATGCCCGTCCTCCCTGCCATGGGCCCCAGCCCAGCCCGATCCTTCGCCGGCCGACAAAACGCTTTCGTCATTGCTGGTATGCGCCAGTCCATGCAGCAACGACGTGGTTATGTTGCCGAGACCAACCCTAACCCTCCTCTGGGAAAGAAGAATGCGACAAACGACAGGCCCTCTCGAATTGGTCTAATAGGCGCCCGAGGATACACTGGTTCAGCGCTTGTTGAGTTGCTCAACGAGCACCCCAACATCGAACTTGCGCATGTTTCTTCCCGAGAGCTTGCTGGTCAGCAACTCCAGGGATACAGCAAGCGCAAGGTTATCTACGAGACCTTGTCACCCGAGGATGTTGCTCAGTTGGACGGTGATGGCAAGGTGGACTGCTGGATCATGGCCCTTCCCAACGGTGTCTGCACGCCTTACGTCGACGCTTTGGACGCTATCAACAGCAAGAGCCTTATTGTCGATCTCTCTGCCGATTACCGATGGGACGAGAAGTGTATGGACCCAACGAGGACTATGCGTTTGGCTGTGTTACTGACAAACAATAGGGACATACGGTCTTCCCGAGCTTGTTAAGCGTTCCAAGATTGCTCAGTCCAACCGTATCTCCAACCCCGGATGTTACGCTACTGGTGCCCAGATCGGTCTCAGCGGAGCTCTGGGCTTGATCGAGGGAACTCCCACAGTTTTTGGTGTCTCAGGATACTCTGGAGCCGGATCCAAGCCTAACCCCAGAAACAACGTCGAGGTCCTCAAGGATGCGATTATCCCTTACTCTCTGACCGGACATATCCACGAGCGCGAGATTTCCACACAATTGAACCACCAGGTTGCTTTCGTCCCTCATGTTGCTGGGTAAGTGAGGACTTACAGATTAAGACAACGAATGTGAAGGCTAATGGATCGAAAAGATGGTTCCGAGGTATCACCTTGACCATTAACATCCCTCTGAGCAAGGAGATGACTTCACGAGATATCCGTCAATTGTACCAGGACCGATACGCCGGCGAGAAGCTCATCAAGGTTGTTGGTGAGCCACCATTGGTGAGCGCCATCTCTGGACGCCACGGAGTCGAGCTTGGAGGCTTTGCCGTTGACAGCACTGGCAAGCGTGTGGTTATGTAAGTCCACGGTATTCCCTAGAGATTAAAAATACTAACAGAAACAGCGTCGCCACCGTCGACAACCTCGCCAAGGGTGCCGCAACCCAGTGTCTGCGTAAGTTAACGTCCTTCTGGAAAACTTGACGACATGTCTAACGAATTCCTAGAAAACATGAACCTTGCTCTTGGCTACGACGAGTACGAGGGTATTCCCGTCATGTAAAGCATTTAGCAGCAATACTGCACAAACTGTTATGTACAAAGGTGTTCTGCTTCGGACATTAGCTTGAAATTATTGGTAATAAAGACCTCAACATGTATTCAGCCTCCAGCTCCAAGCATTATCTAATGCCATGCGTCTGGCCGGACACGAGCCCCAAGACAAGGCATGCGTTAGGATCTTATACTCCTTAACCCCACAAGGAAAGGAGATCTAAACTCAATTGAAGAAAGACTTTTTGCTCCGTCCAGTGGGCGGAGTGTTTAACCTCATTTGTCGGTCAAGGTTAAAAAGCAACGCGGATAGCGTCACTACGACCAATCGGAGTAGAATAACCAGCTGAATGGCAGGCGGTAAGCCTCATACGTAATCATTATTGATCGATGTACTAAATATGATGGATGCTGAGTGTCGACGGGTACAGTACCTGAGTACCTAAAGCAGGTCCATTGCCTTGGCCTCTGCAATGGTATTGAGTACTATTTGCATCAGAAACAAATTGCAAGATCATGAGACCCAACGACCAGGTTCAGTGGCTTTATAGGCTAGCCGTATTGTAGCACATGTGATGAGCAATTGCATCATGAAGGAATGGCAAAGTGACAACCCCATGCCCAGCGTCGCACCCATCAAACGGTTATGGCAGGGAATAATTCAGGTACCAACACAGCCACAACTGTCACACGCAACATCTTTGCCTCCATCAGCCCTGTTCATCTTCTCCTCTTGTCGTTTCATCTTTGTTTCTATGATCTGCAACAAAAGCGGGACTCGATCCGATATGTTGATGTATTCCAGACGTCAAGACGCCAAGAACGTGGCAATCGCAGATGACCCCAGCTCCGGGTTCTTTTACAGGCGGACTGGAAGCTCCGGCCTGTTGGATCCTTTACCCTGGACCATAGGACATTCTCGTGGTTGTGAGTTGGGAGTTCTGTGTAGCTGATATTTGTAAATGAGGTGAATCTGGGTAATGCTTACGTCGGCTAGACGTCAGATTGTACAAAGCAAATAGGCATTAACGAAGAAGGGATTATTGAGAGGAATGGTATAAATAATGGACGACTACAAGCAATATTCGTCACGATCGTCCAGTTACTCTTGCTCTATTGATTCATTTGCATCTTACTACTCAACTCACAATGTCTTCACTACTTCTCAAACGAGCTACTCGCTCACTCTCTACTAAAGCATTCCTCCCTGGACAAATAGCTACTCTCCAGCGGACATCACGCTTCATCTCAAAGCCTATATGCCAAAGATCAATGCACACTTCGGATAGCGCAAGTGCAAAGCCCATGAACCCAGACCCAAGGGAGAATCCGGCTCATGACCTTACACTACCTCGCGGGACAAACGTTGGTCGCAAGCGATTTGCAGACTTTGACCTTGCGGGAAAGACCTTTATTGTCACAGGAGGTGCTCAAGGTCTTGGCCTTACTCTAGCCGAGAGTTTGGTGGAAGCCGGTGGAAAGGGTATGTCATTCTCATATAAAAGCTGAACAGCTGCTAACTCATCACAGTCTATTGTTTGGATCGTGCTGAGCAGCCTGACGAAAACTGGGAAGAAGCCCAAAGCCGTGTCGTCCCAGAATGGGGCGGCTCACTTCACTACCGTCAACAAGACGTCAAAGACGTAGACGGGTTGGACAATCTCATCACCGCCATCGCAGATGAGAACCAGGGCATCGACGGGGCAATCGCCGCCGCAGGAGTCCAGCACATCTCACCCACAATCGACTACAAAGCCAATGAGATCGCCCATATGATGTCTATCAACTACACTGGCGTCTTCATGACCGCCAAGTCCGCAGCAAAACAAATGCTCAAGTACAAAAAGCGCGGAAGTATCTGCATGATCGCTAGTATCTCTGGCATGAAAGCGAACAGGGGTCTCATCTCACCTGTATACAACTCGTCCAAAGCAGCCGTGATCCAGCTCGCGCGCAACCTTTCCATGGAGTGGAGTCCCATTCAAAAAGACGGCACGGGGGGTATTCGCGTGAACTGTATTAGTCCTGGCCATATAATGACGCCTATGGTGCGGGAGAACTTTGAGGAAGTTCCTGGACTGAAGGATGAGTGGGAGAGGGAGATTATGATGGGACGGCTGTCTGAGACGCAGGAGTTTAAAGGTGCTGCGCTGTTTCTGCTGAGCAATGCGAGCAGTTATATGACAGGGAGTAACCTTGTGATTGATGGTGGACATACGTCGTGGTAATGGGTACGAGTGGTGAGAGTTGAGGACAATGATGAGAGATCGACTTTATGAACCATTTGTATATCAGGATACCCTTACACTAGCTAGATCTTACAAATAGCAGTCTATTACTCTGAGTGTTTGATGCAAGTTATGTGTACAAGCTTTGACATGTTTCCAGATACCTCCGCTCCTGATGTCCTTCATCTGAACTGAAGCCCTGGATATCAGTCTCCGTAGTGTCGCTGAGTCCGACCCCAATGGCTCCCTCTTCAGCATCTCCGCGATGTACAGAGCCCACCTAACCATCTAATTTAGCAAATTACCCCTTTCTGAAGGTCCTGAAGACGACCAATCATCAGTTCTGCCACATCATTCCACTATCCTCGCAACACCTGCTTTCCCAGTCGTTGCTGGGAGTTGCAGTCTTCGAGACTTGATCACATTCTGTCTCGCTTATATAAACAAGACACACGGATTTGTTGACAGGGCGAGCAAGTAGCTTGTTCCAGACTTTGCCCACCACTGAAAATTTCGTGACTTCCTCGTGGCAGGCATCCTGGCGTATATAGGGTGATGGAAAGAGAGAGGACGGTCCTTCTGTGAGGATATTTGGGCCATGTCAGGATGTAGGCATCTTGTGTCAGTATATATGCTGTGGGAGAGTTTGCTTCGATGAGAGGTCCTTGAACTCTACCGCCGAATTCTTGGCCAGACGGTAGTGAATAGTTCCATGGCATGAATAGTTGGCTCCTCAAACTACCATTATAGGCGTATAGTATATGGAAAGTGACCGGCGATGATGACGTTTACTTCAGTGGGTATAGTAGTAGATGCATGCCGCTCATTCCGAACCGGCGATGATGTAGAAGATGATGATGCCGGTCTTGGGAAATGGCGTGATATATATAATCGACAGCAGTAAAGCTCGGGCTTCTTTTGCCATTGGGTTGCGCGTGATTCGGTCGGGAAACATCTCGAGGATGTTCACAGAAGAGGGTATACACTGAACCCGATTGACCAAAGCATCAGTGCCACCACAATAGCACCACGAAACCCATTGCGTCTTTAGTTGACGTTGGACGCTTGGAGCTCTCGATGCTGGGCGGTGTTCTGACCCTCGCAGTCGATCGCTTGTATATATGTATTAAAGAAAAGCTGGACGCAGAAGGTCGAGTAATGCATTCTGCGGTTTTCACCTCCAGCGTGGTGAAGAATGGTACTCTATAAGATGATGTTCAAAGTCTTTCTAGACTAACAAGGGGGAAAGGGAGGCTCTATATAGCTGAAGAATGCTAAGCATGAATCACAGATTGTTTCCCGGGCAAGTCACGATGTAGGCTCATCACGTTAGAGACACAAGGAACATTCCAAATAACTACATCATATGATGCTTGATTGTGTAGTGAATAGATATTTCTTTACTCATGTACCGTTCTACAACGGGCCAGTGGTCTTACATAAAGTACAGTATTATCGCGGGGTGGGACTTTAGAGTGTAACATTTGTACATAAACCGCTTTCTCATGGGCCATGTTTAAGAATTCAGCTGATATTGCCAAATTTGTTTTGCTCTGATAATAGGTAAAGTGTATCGTGGAACTAAATAACAAGCTTCACAGAAACTGAATGCATTTGAACAACCCAAACCGAACCCATTTTCCCATACCGCTCTACCAATGAACTGACCAAACATCTGCAACCAAAATAAACCGTATCACCCAACTGTCAGGGTATCAGAAGACCTAGGCGCCAAGAGTATAAGGGACGAAATACTTTAGTCATCTCATGCAAGCTCTTAGGCTACTTTATTATAGTGACCTAAGACTTAAAGGACAATCCTTCTGATACCCCCCTGCCAACATCCAACACTTCAATAAGGATTGCTTCTGTTACGTGAACCCTCACTAGTCTTGGACTTGGAGTTCGAGCCTTGCCTTTTCTTCTGAACCCCCAAGCTATTCTCATTCAAAAGATCAAGCGCAGATCTGATGCTCTCTAAACGTTCATTGCGGCCCCAATCCATGATATTGAGGACGTACTTGCGAAACTGTAGAAAATGGTCCGCTTCTTGCAATGAAAAGCTTCGGATCTTTTGGACTATGAAGTCTTGTTCTTCCTTCCAAGCAACGAACAGTCGAGCTTCGGTCCCATTCATTGAGATACTGAAACAACAGGTATCGATGGGCGTAACCTCTTCGACGCCCGTCTTCAGAAGTTTCTTGTTCAACATATCCGCGATGTTGACACAGGTCGGGGTCCCCCCCAAGCATTGGTTAGTGGCGACCTACAGACTACCATTGCTAGAGGGACCGTCACCTTTAAACTCGACAATAAAGAATGGTAGACAGATACCGTCATTGTTTGCGGAAGCCAGATCCATCAAAGCCAGCTTCCGTCGCTGGAGTGGAGTGAAAGCGCCTCCGTCATTGTAGCCGAGGAGAACGTCTGGAACAGGACCGCTGACTCGAAACGCTGTTCCAGTGTTGGGTATCAACCTCCTAGCCATTGGTATCTTGTCACTTCGCTTGAGTATGTCGTTTCGAGATGGCAATGTGACGAGGTTGTTCTGGATATACTGTTCCACCTCTGGCTCACCAGCTCCTCGCTCCAGAGCAGCAAGGGCATTGTCAGCATCGACATCCTGAATAGAGATATCTGGCAAGCTTCTGTCACTTTCGATCTTTCCGATAAGCGTAGAAATAGGAGTTGGAAAGCTGTCTCGGCGGTCGCGGTATACTATATTATTAGAAGCCAAGTGGAGAGTCTCGTACTGAGCCTGCTCAACGTGCGAGCCAGTGGTTGTAGGAGACTTGACCCCAGTGTTTGGAGACCCAGTCGGGGTGCTGTTCGTCGGGATGGGCACTGCCCCAGCACTAGTTAGCCCAGGAGATGAAACCTGGCGATTGCTCTGGGTTGGAGGATTACGACGAGGCATGATTGGAGGTGCTGATCGAGCGTATCGTCGAGTAGGTTCTTGTATAATAGTCTGTACGGAGTAGTCGGAGCGGGAGTACTGCTGGTGATGAGTTTCGGGCGGATAAGCTTCTTCGAGCCAGTAGTCGATGAGGTCTGTCAAAGGAGGGGAGGTCCGCGAGGAGTTTATATAGTCCAGGACGTTGGTGACAGTTAATCGCTCCGATACGGTAGTTGGCTCGTCCATAACCTAATAAGAGAAGTGTTAGTGGTGTCTATATGGCCAGGAGACCAGAAGTATGCTGGTGCGTAGATGCTGCTGCGCAACAGGAGTAGAAGAAAGCACCAACATGATCGTTCGGAGCTTGGTTGTCTTGTTCATAGCTCGTCTTCTTCTGCGGCGGTGCTTGTGATGGAGATTGAGAGTTGGATGGTGATCTGCTGAGAGCTCTCTTCTTGGAATTCTCGGGCCCCTGCTGAATGGGCGCTGCTTCTCGCAGACCGTCCATAGCGAACGATAGCTAAGACGGCAAGGCTTATGCAGAAAGATTGGGAGAAGAGGTTTGGCGATAAACTGTCGTTTATAAACACTTGCAAATGGAGCTTTGAGCTTGTGAGGAATCAGTGCAGTGACATGACAGTGTCTGAATCATGACTAGCAGAAAGAGCCGAGAGGAGTTAGTCTAGATGAAAAGGCGTAGCTTCCTCGCGATGACTTTGGTAGCCTTTTGAACATTAATGGGAAGGCACCAAGTTTGTGGGGAGTTGAATGGAAGGTAGAACTGGCTTATCGTTATACAGGTACACAGCACCTGCCACATGGCTTGAAAAACACACGCAGCACACACATTCTATCATACTTATAGGAAGGAACACAATTCCCAGCCTCTAGTGCAACATCCATATGAAGCTTCACGAAGCAAGGCACCGTCCTACCATAGTGACAGTTGCCATGAGCTACTCCATCTCAGCCCTATGAGCCCCAAAGGTCCCTGGCGTAGATCAGATCATTCTTATTTGATCAGGCATTCGAGATGGGTCCAATCAAGCAGACAGAAAACCGCCGAGGTCTATTAGACTCTTGTTGATTGGGAATAAACGTGCGCTGCATGTTTTCGGGCCGTACCGCTGCCACCGTCGCAGCGCATGGTATAACAAGATGGTTACTACCTATTGGTCCCTTATTCGAGGTGAGTTAACATCGCGATAACCACTCTATAGAACTCATGATGGATATGGATATTCTAGATGTCTTTCTGGCTTTCATGTCGACATGACCCGCTTTCGGCCGAAGCCTCCGGACGTCGGAACAGCCTATGACGATCTCCAACTAGCAGTAGCCCTACCCCTACAAGAAACAAAATTGCCCCCCAGTCCCCGCTGTCAGATCCAATCTTATTCCATTGTCGTCATTGTCAGCGACTCCGGCGCTTCCGTCAGATTTACTTGCATTGCAGAGCCCAACTTTTTTTTTCTCTCCTTCCCTCACAAACCTTGGAAGGCTGTGCTATACATTAACGTTATACCCCATAGGTTATCTTTATCTTTTTTTGTTTTCTCGCCGATCTCGCTCCAACTTCACATACATCATGGCAGCCAACCTTGAAGCGCCTGGCGCCCCAGCCGAACGCATTACCTCCACAGCCTCTACCATCACCGATTACGCCTATCCCTACGGCCATCTTGGACATCTTACACAAAAGCAGGAAGAAGCATTTCTTCAATTTAAGAAAGTTCTTGAGGAGAGAGGTCTTTTGACGCCTGGTCCTCCACCTTCTCACGATGACCCTTTGATCCTGTATGTTTTGACGAGGGCGGTTATGAATCAGGCTCTAATAAGGCTGCAGACGATACTTGCGTGCGCGACGATGGGATGTTGAGGGTGCTTATACCCAATTTAAAGAGACGGAAGACTGGCGCAAGGCCAACGATTTGAACACCTTATACGATACCATTGATCTCGGCGCCTATGACTTCAGCCGTCGCTTAGTATGTCTCCCTTGAAATTGACCGCCAGATCAAGTACTAACGATCGTCAGTACCCCCAATGGACAGGCCGACGCGATCGTCGCGGAATTCCTCTTTATGTCTTTGAAGTCAAGACCCTCGACTCCAAGACCGTGCACGAGTATGAAAAGGTCGGCGCATCAAGTACCTTTTCCCAGGCCAAATCCGACGGCAAGACTCCCAACGGTCTTCTACGACTATTCGCTCTCTACGAGAACTTGACTCGTTTCAACATGCCCTTCTGCACCCAGCTCCTCGACCGCGAACACCCCGAAGTCCCCATCACGCTGAGCACCAACATCGTCGACATTTCTGGCGTCGGTCTCAAGCAGTTCTGGAACCTGAAGCAGCACATGCAGGCTGCGTCGCAACTCGCCACGGCGCATTACCCCGAAACGCTGGATCGCATATTCGTTATTGGCGCGCCTGCGTTCTTCAGCACTGTCTGGGGTTGGATCAAGCGCTGGTTCGATCCTATCACTGTTTCCAAGATCTTTATCCTTGGCAGCCATGAGGTCAAGTCTGTGCTGGAGCAGTACATCGAGCCTAAGAACATTCCTAAGAAGTATGGCGGCCAGCTTGATTACAGTTTTGGAGAGCTTGGAAACCCTGATCCTAACTGGGAGGGTGTTGTCGTTTTCGAGAACGGCCACAAAACTTTCCCTAGCGGACCTTTGCTGTGGGAGGAGGAGGGTGAGGATCGACTCGTCTGTGTTGCTAAGGGCTCCAAGGGCGGCAAGGTCCGAAACGAGAGAATCTGCACCATTCCCAAGACCTTTGGATTGGCGCCCGAGGTTAAGATTGCTGGCGTCAACGCACCAGCTGAGGGTCCTGTCGACGCCGTCCCTAATGGCACTGCCCATCCCACCGAGGGAGCCACCCACAGCGACGGCGTTCAGACCGACGAAAGCCTGAGCAACGATGTTAACGAGAAGTTGAAGCTTCAGGAAAACCAGCCTGTTGCACCCCAAACCACCACCACTGCGTAAAGGAAAAGTATTGTTTTATAGAGAGATGGAAGAGAATGGCATACCCCGAGATGGATTTTGGAAATGAAAGAGACGGATGTTGAATATGGAGGATTGGAGTATATATACCTTGTATCTGTTTGGCGCAAGATATTTAGAGAACTTGTCGTTAGAGCGGTTTTCGGTTGTAATATAATCGTGATTCTCTTGGATTCAAAGCGTAATAGTCGTTCTATTTTTTCCCGACCTGTCATAACTCTCGTCTATCCTGTTAATCTATCATTAAACTCCAATCCCAGCAAACACTCCATATCTAACAATTACTCCAACTCAATGGCATCAGGCCTCTTAATATATCCCCTCTTATTCCTCCACTGCGTAATCCCCCTCTCAAGTTCCTCCCACGTAACACCATCTCTAACAAGACACATCGTCACCCCCAAGCTCTCCGTATCCCTATTCCTCGCCTCATCATCAAAGAACAGCATATCCTCATACTTGATTCCCGTCCTCTTCTGTAAACTCTCAAAATGCTTGATCTTGCACCCCGGATAAATCTCCAACAGACCCTCAAACATATCCAGCGCCTTCTTCGGCTTTTCCTTAACACCACCCTCCGGCGCGGTAATATGAAGCATTTTTAACAAATCGCGCGCAAGACTGGGCGCACATGTTCGTGACGCGACACCCATTTTTATACCGGCGCGTGGAAGCGCGTAGAGGATAGCTGGTACATCGCTGAAAAAGCCGTAGTCTTCGCCGTAGCGGTCTGTAGCGCTTGTATGGGACGCATTGGGCTTGAGGGGCGGCGTAACGTGGGTGTCTACCCAGAATGGCCAGAGGGTATAGTCGAGGTCGAAGACGATTAGCTTAGGTAGCGGAAGAGATGGGTCGGCGATGGAGGATGGGAGGAGGGAGGAAGCTACTGAAGCTGATGATGTCGAGGAGAGTGTTGAGGAGCTCGGCGGAAGAGGGTTCTTGGATAGTTTCTTTGGCATTTTGGCGAGAGGTCGTCTATTTGGCGAAGATTATGAGAGGAAAAGTTTGGTGTCGAGGTTTGACTTGAACTTTTTTACAAGTTGTAAGCTAACAAGACAGTTGTCGCCCCGCGGTGGGGACGTGACGTCGCTGAAAACGGTCGAGTTGACGGATCGACGCTTTTGACGCTTTGATCCGAAATGGTGGATAAGTTCGGCGTTGACTACCCTGTAGATCAAGACTTACAACTTGGGTCTCATATTTCTCACTACCTACCATGTAATCAGGAACAATTATAGGATCTACGATAGAGCTCCAAAAGAATATTTGTCAGCATGTACAATGACCTACCTGGCAAATCCTAAGTTCGTGTTACTTCTTTACAGTCTCACCTTGTCCTGCTGTTTTTCCTGAATACTGTTGCTGTTTTGTCCTCTTAACGGAACACCATTTCCATGATCTACCTAGATACAAAAAGACTCGATGACTGCAAGCTGGTGTACGTTGATACGAACTCTCATTCTACTATAGATCCCAATGAACCTGTTGTATAGTATGTTCATACCTCTCGCAGATCTCTTTAGACAGCTTGTTGTGGTTGCAAGCCTGCCGGGAGCCAATCAAGTAACTGCATTCATTTGCCGCTGGGAAGCCATCTCGGGACTCAACAAGCCCCTACGAACTCACTTCAGACGCCGACCATACTCTTGGCTTCTTTCCTTTCATCTTCAAGATTCCCCGTCCCCTTCGGCTACCCCGCACTTTCCTTCCTCCACTCGGTTAACTTACATTGCGGGGAGGCAAAAAGAGACAGGCCTAACCCAAGTTCGTGAACCCAATCCTCGACCTGTGATTGGCTCAACCTCCACTAGTCAAGTCGGGGGAAATTTCCCCGTTTAAACTGCCATCGCGAACATTTGACTGAGCTGAAGTTGAGAGTCTTTTTATTTTCTTACCTCTTTTTAACTTGCTGATTCAATTGGCAGATGCCTTTCATCTGAGCAGTGACTGTGTTGAGAACTACTATTGAGGGAAGCGCAAAGCTACAACCTCAAACTGTGGAGTGATTCGACATCAAGGGGTTGACTAATTACTCAGTCAGCCATTTACCCAACGGCGCGGTCAACGGATCGACAAATTAGATATACACTGACATTGAGGCGCTTCAATGATGGCGAAACGAACGTGGTCCGACTCTAACCCTGCCGGAACAGCCAGCGCTGATGCGACTGCAGTACGTCCTCAATCAGTCATTAGCCAAGACCTCACTGACACCATCCCAGCCTGGAACACCCGCGCGACCAAACGGCCATGGTAGAACTTCATCAGGGCGGCAGAGTATCACGGGCATGGTCTCCAGTGAAGCCTCCGTTCCTCAGATCTCACGAAAGATCAAGGCTTGCGCGGCATGTCGCAAACATAAGGTGAGATTACCTGCGATAGTGAGCCGACAATGAGGCTAATGAGAGTAGATTAAATGTTTGATGGATGAGAGCGGTCCTCCATGTAGGAGATGTTCAGAGCGGAATCTGGGATGTGTGCTGAGCAAGAGTCTCCAAACGATTATGGATGAAAAGTCACAGTGAGTGTCTCACCATGAGATGAGAAATGTCGCATGACTGACAGGCTTAGGTTCTCTGAATCCGTGGTTCAAGATCTGGAGCAGATGCATAGTGCTTTGCGACAAGTCATGAACAAACTCAGCCTTCCAGAACTACCTCCCTTACAAAGCATCAACTCTCGAGAAACGGAGGGGACACCGCCAAAGGACGATAACCATCTGAATACGAGTAACCACCTGAACGTATCTCAAGATGAATTCCGTGGTCCCTCATGCGACAACTCTCCGAAAGCGACACCCGAAGACGAAGGCCTTCCTTACGTCCCGATTCACTCACTATACACCCTTACTAAACTCAGTGCTCTTCGATCACCCGACAATCCTGAAGCGCAACGAGGAAACGCCATAAATGACTTCATCGCCCGTGGAGCTTTGTCATTAGCAGATGCAGAGAGTCTCTTCGCCCTGTATCGCGACCGTTTGGATCGCTACATGTACGGGATCGGCTGTCGGTACATGACGCTAGAGGAGCTGCGACGCAAGAGTCCAATCTTATCCGCTGCCACACTCACAGTAGCCGCGCTACATGATCCCAAAGCAGATAACATATATGGTATCTGCAGTGGTGAATTCCGACGTCTAATGGAGAAATCCATGTTCGAACGCCGTATCGATCGTGATTATCTGCGCGCCATGTGCATCGCTTCATATTGGCTTAGTGATCTTTCATGGATGCTCTCCGGGTATGCTATTCGACGCGCTGCAGAGTGTAATCTGCATAACAGCTACAACCAAGCTATAAAGGAGCAGAGTCAAGAAGCGGCGGATTGTGCTCGGTTGTGGTATATACTGTATATCTGCGATCAGCATCTTGCGACTTTGTATGGTCGACCTTCGATTGTCCAGGAGGATTCGTCGATTCAGGGGTGGGAACAATTCTTGAAGTCGCCTGTGGCTAATGAGGAGGATAAGAGACTCACGGGCCAAGTGGTCTTGGTTAGTATTTTGCGAAATATCCGCGAACTGTTTGGTACGGATAAGGGGGAGCCTGTTCCAAGAGTATACCTGAATCACATCCTACAGTTCAGACGACAACTCGATCAGTGGTATACCCGCTGGATGAAAGATTTACCAGGTAAGATCACTGTCGCCTCTTTGTCCAACTATACTGACATTCAGCAGAGCAATGGACACAAATCGGATCATTCCCAAGAAAAGGCACAATCCTCCACTACAACTTCGCCCAAATCCACCTCTACTCACACATTTTCCGCGGCCTCTCAGGGGACGCGCCGATCCCACACTACTTCCTCGACTGCGCAATGCAAGCCGTAACCGCCGCAACAGCAATCATCGACCTAATAATCACCGATCCAGACGTCGCCCTCGGCATCGTCGGCATGCCCTCCTACATGCTTTCCATGACAGCCTTCGCCTGCATGTTCCTGATAAAGGTAGCCGCCAAATACGGCAGCGATCTCATCGAGCGCCAGCGCGTGCACGACCTAACAACAAGTCTCGTCCGCCAATTCCGTTCGCTAAAAGCAGGGAAGTGGCATCTTGCGAATTTGATGGCGGGTGGATTGGAGCGTATGACTGCTACGCTGGCGACTCCTGATCCTGCGCAACAGACTGCTGTGTATAATGCGATGGAGAATAATGTGGATATGGGTCAGATGATGCCAGGGAACCAGGTCTATACTGATATGGATGGGGATACGTTTTTCGACTATGATATGAGTTTTGGACTTTCGCCGGTGTTTAGGTTTGATCCTAGTATGTTCACTGTTGATGCTTCGGGGCAGTCTATTCCGACGTATCCTGAGGCGGATTATGGGATGAGGCCGCAGTGAGGTCTGCTTGGATAGCTAGATATGCGATGAATAAGACTTGAATAATAAGGAATATTTCTCTTATTGGGTTGTCAAACTGAACGGACGGATAAGTGGCCACTGCCACTACTATTAATACTTACTTCAACTACCCCGTTTCTCGGCTTTTACTCCAATTCATAGAAAAGACTATATCCACCTTGCTGCATCTTGATGTTCTATGTGGTTGATCAACCCCCACAGTGGTGATACCCCGGGTTTCTGTCCGGCACCTCCGCATCATCACCCCGCGTCGACACGGATAACCTCACGCACCCCCGCGATAGTGGATCAATTTTATCCGACTACTTGACAGTATATAAGTACTCCAAGCCCCCAACTACAACTTGCCTAGTCCATCACAACTGTATTTAAGGAAGTGATAACATTCACCATGGCTACACAGCATATCCTCATCACAGGCGCAGGAGGCTTCATCGGCCAAGAGATCCTCGCTCCTCTACTGGACTCCAATCCAAACATCCACCTCACAATAACCGATCTCTCAACACCACCGGTTCCAGAAGCATACAACTCCCGCATCACCTCTCTCAGCGCAGATCTCACTTCTCCAGACGTCGCAGAACAACTCGTCACATCGCAGCGCTTCGAGGCCGTGTATCTTCTCCACGGTCTCATGTCAGGCGGTTCAGAAGCGAATCTCGATCTAGGTCTTAAAGTCAACGTCGATTCAGTACGCTATGTGCTCGACGCATTGAGGACTAAACTGCCCGGTGTTAAAGTTGTTTTCTCAAGTTCTTGTGCGGTTTATGGACCGGATGAGGGGTATGTTACCGAAAAGACTCTTCCGCAGCCAAAGTCTTCTTATGGAGCTGAGAAACTCATCGCGGAATTGCTGGTGAATGACTTTTCGAGGAGAGGGTTGATTGATGGGCGAATTGTGAGACTCCCTACTGTGGTAGTAAGACCAGGCAAGCCATCAGCCGCAGCATCAAGTTTTGCGTCCGGAATAGTACGGGAATCTCTGCAAGGCATTCCCAACGTACTTCCCGTCCCGAAAAACATCTCCATGTGGATCTGCAGTCCTGCGACGGTTATTCAGAACCTCATTACGATCAAGGATATACCCGCTGAGAAATTTGGGGACTCGAGAATTGTGAATTTGCCGGGTATTACAGTTTCTGTCCAAGATATTCTTGACGCCGTTGAGAAAGTCGGCGGGAAGGAGGCGGTTAGGTATGTGAAGGAGGAGGAAGATGAGGCGCTGTATAAGATTGTTAAGAGCTGGCCTCCGTGGTTTGATGCTACTCGCGCCAAGGGACTTGGATTGAAGGAGGATGGGGAGTTGGTTGATGCTGTTAAGGCTTTTCAGGAGAGACTCAAGGCTTAGAGATAGCCTTTGTTATTAATGTATCCGAGATATCTATGTGTATCCATTACTCCTGTACTTTTGTATGCAAGTTCAGGTCTATAGCTTTGAAGATCGGACTTTTCGAGACACAGAGCTTGGCTCAATGCGCCCGGATGTAACAAGGTGATCTATATCTAAAGTATTCACCAGATCAGGCGTTGCTTGATCTAAACTCGTAAGACCAGCAAGTCTCATCGATGTTTCGAGCTCATCCTTGAGAACTAAACACCTCGTTAGTGACCAATGACTGAGTATCAGGACATGTAACTTACTTTGCGAGAGGTGCTCAACGCCCTTCTGACCATATACCAACGAGTACAAGAACGGCCTTGCAATTCCAACAGCAGTAGCGCCTAGAGCAATAGCCTTAAGAATATCCGACCCACGCTCAAAGCCACCATCGATGAAGATCTCGAGATGATCAAAAGCTTCGGGAAAGCGCTTTCGGACTTCAAGGAGGATAAGAATAGAAGCTTGCGCACTGCTACTTGTTAGCACATATCCTCTCGTATAGGTAGTTAAGGATACACTTACCCATCAAGCGATCTTCCGCCATGATTACTCAACATAACACCATCAACCCCATACTCAACCGCCAACTTGACATCCTCCACAGTTTGTACACCCTTCAACACAATCGGCACAGAGCTCTCGCGTCGAATCCACTCCAAATCGTCCCAACTCAGACTCTTGTCAATATACTGCCCCATCAACCGTCCCAAACCACTGCCCTTACCATCTTTACTACTCTCACTACCGCTCATCTCCGATTTGATCACCACAGCTTGCGGCGCGCGCTCGTCTGCTTCGCGTTTGCCGGGCACGGGGGCGTCGACTGTTACGAAGATGGCTTTTATGCCCAGTGAGCGAGCGCGGTTGAGAAGTTCGGTGGTTTTGGCGCGGTGGGAGTTGACGTAGAGTTGGAGGAAGAAGGGGTGGCCTTTGGGAGCTGCGCCGATTATGCTAGGAAGCGAATAAGACGCGTTACTCGAGATCTGACCCTATTAGTAACTCATCACCCATATTGTTATTGTAAAACTTACAATCTCAAAGATTCCTTCACTAGCAGCAGCTCTACTCCAACCAAGTTCACCGTCTGGATGCGCCAGCGTAGCCATAGCAGCCGGACACATAATAAACGGAGCCTTACTATCCAGTCCCAGAATTCTGCGGTGTATCTTTACTTCAGATACATTTCTTAGGATTCTTGGTCTGAGCATGACTCTGCGGATAAGTTCACGGTTCTTTGTCCATGTGACCAAATCTGTGGCGGCGGAAGAGTAGAATGCCCATGCTTTTGGTGTAAGAGCTTTCTGGGCGGCTAGAGCAAAGTCATTTGCTGAGAGGATTTCATTGAGGGTTGGGACGTTTGAGGGTAGTTGGATATCTGGTTTGTTAGATGAGATGAGTTGAGTGTGAAAGAGTGAGACATACCTCTTGGGGCTGGGATGTTGGGAGTCTCTGACTCCATTGCTGCGAGGTCACTCATGATTGCTGTAGATAGTTCCCGGTAATGCTGTATGAGATTGAGGCTGATACTGTTGTAGTCGTTATCTATATATTCTTATGATTCTGTCTAAGTCAAGAATTCAGCCCCGCAATCGGACTCCTCACCTTGCAGCCGTCATGATCGCTCGGGTCGGTTCATCTTGGCGCGAGGTATTCGCCACGGTCTTGTACCCGATGGCCCATTTTGGTGTCTTTCGGCTTTCTCTCCGAAATCCGACTATCAATCTGTATGAGCTTCATCATTGACGTTCAATTAGAGAGGAAGACTTTAACTAATACCTTGGATTCTTTTGTTCATACGTAAATGGACTTCTCTCCCCTCATTGCTATCAAATCTGATTGATGGTATCTGTAGAAGACATCGCACTTGTCTCAAGCACTGAGGCTCAATGTCCCTATATCCATCTACATTGACCTCCGATCCGTGTAAGTGTAATGAACGGATATAGTCAAAGCAGACTGTATACCACCTGATCACTCGACTGTTCTTCAGATTCACGAACATCTTTTATTCACCAAGTCGATTAACGCCTTTAGTGTCTGTCGACATATAAATAGAAGCATGATGTTTTTACTACCTCATCTTTATCTCACTTCAGCAGAAATGCTCGTCAACTCACAGAGATAATTGCTACTTGATTAAGCCTATCCTACGCGCATGCACCAGTCATCGAGACATAGTCTGCCTGAGGGGGAAGAGGGTAATAGGTCGCGTGCCCTTCCTTAACTCTATCTCTGAGAGTGGAACAAAGACTCTTCCCAACCTTATACGTATCACTTGATCGCAGACTTCCACTCAAGAATAACAAGCTTTCAATTACCCACGAGGGGACTGGTCCCTGGCTGAAGATAAGTTCGCAAGGCTCCTTCTAAATGGACATGAGGATCCATACTCTCGGTACTCGAGTCTCTTTACTTCCATATCTTGAACTCAGGGCCAATCGACAAACTCAATATACACCACAAACCTTCAAAATTCTCACAGATCCATCCAATCCATTATCTAAATAAATACAAACCCAATATGTTGTAATCAGAACAACTGTCCTCTTGATACATTCTTTCCCCCTCCCATCGTCACCACCAAACCACATCTCTATACCATCAAACCGCAAAACAACAACCACAATGGGCAACTGCATGTGCAAATCCTCCAAAGGCGGAACCTCCGCCGAAAAACGGAATGCGTCTCCCTACTCACCCCCAGCACCTCCCCCAAGCAAAGAACAGAGCCAGGAGCGGATCATGCAACCTTCGTACGTGCAATCCCAACCCCCCACAGCACAAGCAATGTTTATAGCTCTGGATAAATCTCGTAACTCTTACGGATACAAATCTGGGTTGTACTGACTGTTTGGTTAGCGACGCTGCTCCACGCATCGCGACGCCTATTCCAAACGTGAGCGCTTTTGATGATGAGATTGTTCAGATTGGGGACGTTAGGTACATTCCTCCTGATGTCACGCATCCACCGTGGGAGGCGAGCTCTTCTCACGTGGTCGACGCCTTGGAGATTCAGATGGAGGATGGGACTGTGTGGCGGTCAGGTTTCTAGGCTTAATGGTTGATGTTGAAGCGCACGACAACACATCGCTTGGCTGAATGAACAGATGACTGGGAAGCAAGGCGTTTGGAGTTATTGGGAGATGGGGGATACGACGAAACAGAACGAATCTAGACTTTCTTCCCTAGATGTCAAGACCTAATATTACAACCCCTATCTAATCTACTCAATAACAATGTCCTCTCCCAACCGTCTCAGAGGCAGTTCTGCAACCAAATTCTCCAACCGGACACATCTTTTAACAACCTCCCTCGCCTCCTCAGGAAATCCCATCCTCATTCTTCCAACCCTCTCCCACACAATTCTACCTTCCCGTTCAACCCTCTCCACAACAAGGAGCATAACAAGCGCTTCTTCCACGAACCATAGCACACTCATTTGTTCGCCCCGTGCATGTCGTTCGATATACTCTCTCATCGAAACAGCACCGCGACTCATCCTTACGTCGCAGCTCACGCGGTTAAAAATCCATCCGTCGGGGTGCGAGCGTGCTTTTACACGATCTAACACGAATGGGTTGGGGACGTGGATGCCGTAGGGACGGAGGTGCAGGTTTGGTGGTGCAGGGGGCATGCCTGTGACTGCTGACGAGGCGCCAAAGTCGTAGGCTACGCTTCCGTCGCGGTTGACCAGCACAATATTGGGAGAGTAAGTCCAGCGGATGGAGTTGGGGTCGTTGCGGGAGACGTGGGTGGCACTGACGTAGTGATGGTGGTTATACTTGCGCTGGATGGCTTTGCTGTCCGGATCGACTACTGTAATAGACGAGTATAAATCGACAGGGCCTTTCCAGCCTGCCCATGTCCAGCTGGGCATGTGTGGACGCCGTGTGGCTATCACGCCTTCTTTATGATGCCAGAAACATGTCGATAGAGCGAAGATGTCGCGTGTACGTGGGAGTCCTGTCACTGCAGGACCTTGATCTCCCTGCGGCGCCCAAAGCGGAACACCTAGAATATTGAACATTTTGCCCCGTCCAATAGTCGTCTCAAGACGTCTCAACATTCCCAAAAATGCATTCAGCGAATCTTGGTCGTATGTTAGATCTCGTTTTGTGTAGTTCACGATATGTTGATCCGCTTCTCGGAAGATACTCAATGTACTCGGCTCCTCCGCCTTACCGGGAAGCCTCTTCCAGCGCTCCCAGCTCCCGTCCACAAACGACACGCCGTTGAACAAACCAGGTCTCATAAAGTCGCACATGCGCTGCTCCTCCATATCATGGTAGAATTCGAGCGGTAGGATGAGTGACTCTGGACAGCACATGCCTTCGCATTCCCAGTACATCTGCTGATCTGTAAAGATAAGGCGACGTCGTGCGAGGAGACCTTCTTGGTATGTCCAGCCTCGCTGGTACCACTTTGAGTCTTTGATGGCTATTCTCGGATCTTGAAGACTTGATACGAGTGTGATGTTGGAATTGACGAATTCGTACTTTGGTTGCTGTTGTCGTGCTCTTGAGCCTACACCCGGTAGACCGTAATCGGCATCTTCACCACAAGCTGCGATAATCGCCAGAATCGCACCTTCGAAGATTTCGTCCATCCTGGCAATCTGTGTTGCACGTTCAACTGGTTGCAGCTGCTCCATGCAAAGACGATCGACCCAGAGATATCTTATCCCAAGATCTTTGGACGCAATAACTGCATCCCACACAACCTTGGGCCATGTCTCTGTCTTTGTGTTTCCTCCCCAGACATAACTCAACGCAGCATATCGCTCGGAGATAGACGCGGTAACAACCTGCGGAGGATTCTTTGCGCAGTCGACAAGCTTGAACCCCGGCATTTCACGTCCAATTGGTCGTCGACCACATCGTCCCTGGTGATAAAATTCGCAGAACCGTAGCCAATCCTGCCCAATACCCATATCAATCATAGTCTCCAGCTCGCGACCCCAAATACCCTTCTTCTGCCATCCGCTGTTATCGCCGCTTATAGAGTTTGCACGCGAATGTCTTCCTTCTGACCTTGCGCTGAGAAGTTCATTTGTCGGCGCAGCTTCAGGAAATGTTCTGTAAAGCATACCCGAACCACGGAACCAATCGGCGCTCACATCCCAGCTCAAAGCGCCATCACCGCTCTTTTTGGGGACAACACCTAGGAAGGCTGGGCTGACGCCCTTGACCTTATTCTTGGACGAGTGACCCTGATCGAACATGGTGTGGTTGTCGATGAGATAATTCGTATCTCTTGCTGAGAAACCAGAGAGATATAGATCTCCTTCTCCCTCGCCGGGGACATGTACTGAGAGGAATAGCTTGCAGAGCGGACATTTCGTCATGAAGCGATTCTCTTCCAGATCCTTCAACCGTCCCAAAGTGCTCTCCTTGTTCTCAAGAGTATCTGCCGATGTCGGATTCAGACCTCTTGTAAAGAAGTCATCCATGGTATCAAAGGTAGAGTCAATATCAGCAGCCCAGCCCGCACAAGCAGTGCACAGATTCGGGTCTTGAGGCTGACCACCAGACCTATCAGAATGAGCAGAAGGACTGCGACTCTTCCTCCCCCAACTGATACGTCGAATGAGAGAAGCTCTCCTTGGTTCACGAACATCGTCTTCCGGAGGGGGATCCACAGTGAGATGCTGCATCATGTTCTTGAGAGGATTTCTTGAGCGCCGCCTCTCGACGCCACCGCCCGGCGAGACGGGCGGCGTGATAGTTGGAGTTCCGGGATCTAAAGTCTCCGGCATTTCGACTGTCCTTCTCCTTTGAGTCTCTTGTGATTGAAGACCTCCGTGATTCTCGGGGGCAAACCGGTGTCTAACAACCCCCGTTTCGGCTCCTGGAATCCGGTTCTCCACTCTTGGCGCGCCAGCAAATTGAACTTGATTCGCAGTTCCACCGATTAAAAAAAGAACAGGGATTCTATTATTAGTGGCGTCGTAGAGCCTCAAATAGATATAGGGGAAATGGATTAAAGGGAGAGAAAAGAAGAAGAGGAAAAAGATATAGGTATAGTAATGGATAAACAGACTGTTGATCTCTGTCTATAAAAAGACCTGCCAATGCTTGGAAAGGCGGTTACTTCTTTCGAGAAGGAACAGCTCAGCGCTACCAACAAGACAAAACAAGACGGAAACGCGGCGCAGGTTGGCTCGTGAGGCGGAGACTGACCAATTTTGGGGGCCACGACGTGTTCAAAGAGAAAGACAACAAGTAAAGGAGGAGTATTTAAATAGGTAAAAGGAGATATATATCAGTACATCAATGTTTGTTTGCCTTGTAATCTCGAAATTACTATTATCATGTATAATCGAGATGACGACGACAAGGATTTTTCCCGCCCGCCCAACTGAGACAAGGGGACCAATACCAATAGTTCAGAGATTTTATCTCTCTTGGATGGAAATAATTTCTGGCAAGGCTGACTGTGGCGCAAGGGACTTGGCAAGCCTGGTTTATTAGTTAAAAGATTCATGATTGTGCATCATGACGTACAGAGTTTCACAGTAGGTAATCCTCATGATGCATTTAAATCCATCGCAATGGCGCAGTATAATAAATCTCACACGCAGGATTGGGCTGAGCATAGGTACACAACCCACTATATATCGTCGGATCAGATCTGCGCAGCGGGTAGGCTATTCACTAACGTATGGAACTCGGCACTGAACATTTGCGCGGATCTATTTTCTGACTCAGCATATCTTTCGCATTTCTGACACTATCGAGAGAGCATAAGAGACGAAATAATCTGGTCACTCCGGGGCAGCATTTAGACTACTTTATTTTGGCATCTAGGCTTTAGAAGGCCTAACAAGCAATGCCTCAAGTCGCATCAGTATTTAAGAAAACCTTCGCGTTATCTTGTCATTTTGGGAATTAAAGATCATCACCGGTAGGTATTGCTTGCAGAAACGAGCAAACCCCTTGCTGTAGATCTCGTGCGTGCGCATTTCAAGCGGGGAAACATTTCTTTTTACTATAATTATCGCGATAATTGATTTGAACCTCATTTACCCTTCCCTCTACTGTATCGCTTCCCTTCACTTACTCATCTATTATGTCTACAGTCGATATTGGCCCGGCCCGACGCGCCCACCTGTGGGGAAGACACACAAGCGCCAAACCTGGATATCTGATATCCAACGATTGACTACCTACCTATTCGACAACGGCCCAAGTGAGGGGTCAGGTTTCAACTGAACTTGTTTGATCTTTAGCATAATGCAAGTAGTATTCACGGCTGCAGCGGTTATGCAAGATACTTGCAAAGATCATTTGCTACAGATCTTGGCGTGTGACGTTATCTAGCTCCAGAGCTAGGAAACTCTATTAAGCCTCACTAACCCTACGAAATAGTCAGTCGTCGCTTTGCATGAGAGTGCCATGTTAGTATACATGAAAGTAAACACTTCGAGGCAATAGCGAGTCAAGACATCACATGTGATCAAAGATAACACCGCATTCAAGGCATGCAAGCTTCAATTCGTTATCTACCACTGCGCTACCATCGAAAACCTTGGCCGTCACAGCTGGTCGCCCGCATGTTTATGCCACTTCTATTCCATTTCCATTGTATTGTCTTTCCGATCTTCTCGCTTTGAGCTCGCTTCAGCAGATGCTCCTCATACCGTATCCTAAGGAAACATTGTCGTCAAAGGCCACGAGCTTATAGCTATTGAGCCGAGTGTTGTCGGGTTGGATGGAGGTGAAGGAATTTAGTGCTGTTATCTTGTTAGAGGTTGCTCGGAAGTTCTTGAATAAGGGTGACTCACCTTGCAGCAAGAGCAAGAGGTGCAGGCAGAGTTGTCGTGGTTGCAGCAAGAGCAGGGAGACATTTTGAAGGTTGTTGGTGAAGAAAAACTTCGAAAAGGTTATAAAATTGTGTTGAGTGTGTGTTGAAGATTGAAGAGCTTGTTGGATGAAGAACAAAAGTCGAGTTGAGGCGGGATCAAGCCTCCTTCTTATACTTGAGTGAGGTCTCTACAGACCCCAGTCATCAGCACTCGAAGTCCTTCATCGAGTATCAGTTGCCTGATTATCGCATGGCTGGACGTGGGTATGGGCGTGAACAAAGGTGAGTGTAACTCCACTCTGTGTATATCAACATGTTGCCCAACTTGGGGGTGCGATGCGACACTCCGGTCAAGGGTCCTCCTTCCAAAGTGACCTACCAGGACATCTCCACCCCGCATGCCCATGTGCGATGTGGGATACATGTCACTGCAATTGGCCGAGATTATGCAAAGTGGTTGCGCCGAGTCTGCGGTGCAGAATAAGCTCCCCACCATAGCAGAGCTCTATTCCAAGCTCAAGCTCCGTGAGTATCGTCTCGCGCCGTATCGAAATGCAGCCGCTTCTCCAGAGTCCTATAAGGCGACATTGTCAAGTTGTTCTTCAGTCGACAATATTGCAGTACTGCAGTGGCAATTCCTATATGAGCGAATGGTCCATGGTCTAGGGTTCTTCAACATCAAGCCTCGAGTGTGCAACTGGGAGCTGTTTTCCACAACCGGCATGATTGGCATACTGCTGAGGCCTGCCGCTGACCTTGTGGATGGGTCCAGATGGAGGGAGACGTTCTTCGCCACGTACTGCCATTCGATGGACTGAAGTGTAGTCCTAAAGCGATATGCCGATAATGTTTCGGTGTCCTAGCGTGGGTAGGCTTCCAGTAGGAGCTGGCTGCCAGGAACAAGGCGGCGTTTGAAGCAAGTCATGCTTCCATGGAAGTCGAAGACTAACGTTAAAGTAAAGCGCAAAGGTGGGGGTTCAATTAGACCGGGACGGAGATGGGGAACGGCGACGGCTCAAGCCGGGAACCGATAAAAATGGGTTCCATCCTCTCACCCACACCCACACCGGTGAGTATGATGAGGAGAAGGATCCAATACCGAGCGATAAGTACCACTCTTCAAGACCCTGCGTGTAAAAAATGGGGTAGTTTCCAAGTACTGCATGTTAAAGAAGTCTCGTCTTGTACGTGGACGAATAAAGGGAACCCGATCTCTCGGTGTGGATACACGGAGTGAGTTGGTGTAAGAGAGTGAGATGGGAATGGATGCAGTATGAACATGTGAGAGATATTCGACTTAACTTGGATCTGCTAATGAAGTGGGGTCTGGAACGAAGCCAGCAAGACGATATGTGAGGCAACCAATAGCAGACTTCTTGCTCTTTCGCAGAGGATCAGCATGGGAAAGTCCATCAACGACAACCAAGAACGTTTGCCGCCGAAATAATAACCTTTAACCGTGATAATCATGCGGCAGCTGTACTGCCACATCAAGATAGACTAGCTCACACCATGATGTGTGAACGTGACGAACCAGTGTGATAAACAAGCCTATCAAGGGTACCAGTCTCAGATGTGATAGGCATATGCATTGCAGAGGCATAAGCACCCTCAAGTGAGACGGCTGGAATGGAAACATGAGGGATAATCGAAACATGAACGTGAACGGGGAACCACAAAAGGCCAGAACGTGGGCCGCTCAGAGACAATGGCCTCGGAACCATTCATGCATGCATCCCACGCATGCATCTTTAGCAGGATTGGGTAGGGGTGTTGGGTATGAGTAGGACTGAGGTCATTGGCTATTACACGCAATGTGTAGATGATAGCAAGGGAGACAAAGTGTATGCTTGGAAACACCGAGACGAACTATCTCCGGGGCTTGCAATTCAGCTAACAAGCGTAGGACTAACACGCCCGTGTACGATAGACCTTTAGTCATGAGAAACCATCGGGTTATCGGAGGGGTGGGTGCAAGCGTGGGAGCCTGAAGAGGAACCGATGAAAAAGAACTGACCCACGTCTAACGCGGCAACTCTTCAAAGCTTCCGAAATGATGATAGAATACATCATAGGGACAGTTATGGGGGAGCCAACGAGGGGCCGGGATAAAGCGAGATAGCAGAGAGGAAGAACACTTACCTCTACGCGTGAGCGTCACACGATCATGCTGGGCAGTGCATGCTAAGCATTACACAACATCAACACCATGTATCTCTGGCAGAAGTGATCATACTCGGATCATCTGAAGACAGTATCTCCTCTTCTGCCTGCTACTCACAGGCTTCTTTCACAACAGCATCACTTCATCAACATCAACTACTCGCTACATCACACACCAGTCAGTTCTCATTCTCGGCAAGGCTCCATCATCCCGGCAGACCTCAGCTCCAAACGGGTAACCCGAGATGCTCCCCCGACCAGTATCGAATCGATCCGTAATGCTTTCTCCAAAAGATATTCGAGTCCGTCCAGTCGACTGGGATCAAAGCGTGGGATGAAACAGCCTCGGGAACTCGGCCTGATAGCTTACACCACGGTCTATCGAGCCGGGATGCTTTCTCGTGTGGGGTGAAGACTTCGAATGAAAGCCCTTTCGCTGTCGTCAGGTAAAGGCGTCCGTGGGAATGGGGCCATTGGGGCCTTGAACCATGCGAGTGATGCAGATGAGGGAAATACTTCCGCTTGTAATCGGGGAGCTGGAGGCCAGGCCCGGAAAGAAGTCGAGAAGGAAACTGGAACAAAAGGAGGCCGGGTCTCGAAGATGTAGATCCCTGGTTTCGCCGAATGTTCGTGGCTGCGAAGAGATGTTGAACTGTTCAGTTATTGTTTCTTGACGAAAGGTCAACTTCGAGTTGAACCTTCCTCATGTGGTCCAAGTTGAGCCATAGGCTTATAGCAAGGGAAGGAGCAATCTCCCAGAAGGTAAGTATTGCAAAGAAAGAAGGAGCAACCCTCCCGCAGCTCTCACTGATTTGGAAGGCAACACCTTCTTTATAAGCAAAGCAAGTACTTTCTTGAATCTTATCTTCAAATCAACAACCACCCACCAGGGATGGCCTCATTCTTATACAAAATCTCACACCGACTCAACCCTATCCAGCAACCACAAGACCCCTATCGCCAGAAGCGGCAATGGAACGCTTTGATGATGCATTGCAGCAATCTAATGTACAATTTGATACTGAATATCCATGGATCACCTCTTTTTTGGTGTTGTTGGGTGCGGAAAAGACATCAGGGTTAACCATCAAGGTTCGCATTTGTCTATCCGGGTTCTCAGACCCAGATATGGACACTTGCATGATATTAGTGACGTGATGAAGAAATACATGCAAAATATTTGAGAAACAGGTGATGAGATATGTATTGTTATATCTTTGGACTAAAAGGACCTTTATGGATAGGATAGTCAGGTGAACACTGAATTATAGATACCGCGATAGCAGCACTGAGAAGTAACCATAAGGGTGATTAGACAGCTATATCCCATACAATAACTACCTCTCAAGGTTATTTCAGTATTAGCAAAATTGGAAAGATTCAATATGTGTTTCTGGATCCTACATTCGTCGCAAGCGAATGGTTATGTGTGGTATCCGTCAGATACATCACTCGTCATACAAATGACAGAATCAGCAACTCTACCATAGAACACAGCATCTACCGTACTTATACGAGTACCATTGTCGAGTGAATCTCAATAGATTCGTATAATTCATACTGGGTATATGTCGTAAATTCAAAGAAGCTACTTCGCTTCTGGCGGCAGTGTTTCAACTACAGGGCTGGGCTATAGTATAAAAGCAGTCTCTTCCTTTAACACGCTGCTTTTATCAAGTCTTTTATCATCACTCTTGTATTCTTTTCTGGGTTTCACTGGGTGTTGTGTGACGCTGCAGCTACGCCAAACCCTGATGTTACTATCCTGCTTATACACACACTCTACCTTCACTCACGTTGGCCACGAACATGGTGCGTACATTTATCGCCTCCCTCGTTAGACTGATGCAAGAGAAATATTATAGGAGTGCATTATTATGCTACTGTGACATGATTGTGGTTCTCCATCCTGTCATGTTGTGCGTCTACTCGTGCAAGGGTAGGTGAGATCGGTAATAAAACGTGGCATGTCAGATTTCTCCAGACTAAAACGAATTTATCCTGATATCTAAATGTTTTATTAACTCCGATAAAGATAATGGTAACCCTATAATGACCCCTTTTAACTTGAAAGCAATATACGATGCTATATCCCAACTACCCCCAGGTACCTCCACCACCACCACCTCTACCACCCTTCCTCTGCGCACTAAGTCGCCAGTCATCCTCCGTAGCAAATTTATTATAAAGCGGCTGGATCCTCTCCGCCTTCTTCCTCTTACTCAACTTATCCGTAGGCGCGACCTTGAAGAACGTCGGCGCAGCTTCGACTAGCCACTTGGGCTCAATACTCGTCGTGCAGTGCATGTACTCCTTACTGGTGAGCACAAGTTCGTGGTAGATGACCCACTCGGCTTGCTTGCCGAACAGCGCGGAGCTAGGGTGCAGGTAGACGGGAGTGCCCTCGATAAGGGTCTTGTAGCCTTCCTGGGGATCCTTGCGGGCGGCGTTGCGGAAGAAGCCTGCGCAGAGGGCTCGACGAACCATTTCTGTTTGGCGGCCGCAGGATTTGATGGGGTGCTTGTATCGGTCCATGATCTTGACGATTTGGTCGCGGACATCCTTGGCTCGACGCATTGATCGGGCTTGGATGAAGTTCTCGAAACACCATGGTGCTGAGTAACCGCTCGTCTTCCAAGAATTATATACGTTGAGGAATGTGAGATGATCGCCGTGGGGGTCGTGGAACTTGGCCTTCTTTTGATCAGCTTGGGATTGCTTCTCCTTGGGGCGGTAGAAGACGGTTGGGATGTTCAGCATAGACACGATGCTAAGCACTTCTTCGGCACATCCGAGATCGACGGCAGCGATAAGAACCTTGGCAAGCGACGGTTCCATAGGGAAGTCGGCCATCTTTCGTCCCAATCGTGTGAGCAGACCTTCGTCATCGAGGGCACTGAGGGCGTACAGCTCCTCCAACGCGGTAAGCATAGTATTAATTGGAGGCGGGTCCATAAAGTCGAAGTGGAGCAGGTCATTGATACCCATGGCCTTGAGCATAAGAATCGTGGTAGACAAGTTCTGTCGCTGAATTTCGGGAATGGTGGTCGGAAGCATTTCAGACTGGTATGCTGCTTCGGTGTACAGACGGAAACACTTTCCGGGACCTGTTCGACCTGCACGACCCGCTCGCTGGTTCGCTTGGGCTTGAGAAATGGGTGTGACAACCAATGAGTCCATACCCAGCTTGGGATCGTAGGCGTTCTGCTTCACGAAACCGGGATCGACGACGTAATAAATCTCGTCAATGGTAATGGAGGTCTCTGCAATATTGGTAGCGATGACAACCTTTCGACTTCCAGGAGGGGCAGGATCGAAAATTCGACTTTGCATTTCGGTTGGAAGAGAGGCGTAGACAGGCAGAATAATCAAGTCTGGCACGTTAGGCCCCAAGGCCTTCATTCTCTCGTACAACACTTCGCAAGCTGTGTCAATTTCTTCTTGTCCTGTTAAGAAGAGAAGAATGTCACCCTTGGGTTCGGTAAGATGGATCTGCATGACTGTGACAAGTGCAGTATCCAGGTAATCGGATTCAGGCTCTCTGGAGTAGAGGACTTCGACAGGAAAGGTACGACCGGGGATAGTAAAGATAGGGCATTCGTTGAAGTATGCGGAAAATTTGTCGGCATCGAGTGTCGCTGATGTGACAATAACCTTCATATCAGGGCGGCGCTTGAGGGCCTTCTTCAGCAAAGCAAACAGTACATCAGTAGCGATGGTACGTTCGTGAGCCTCGTCAAGCATGATACAGGAGTATCGCTGCATGTCAGGATCCACCAAGATTTCTCTTTGAAGCATACCGTCTGTCATGTACTTGATCTTAGTTTGAGGGCTGGTGCAGTCCTCAAATCGAATGGTGTATCCGACCTCTTCACCAAGCTTGCAGCCAACTTCCTCAGCTACACGCTTGGCGACTGACATGGCAGCAACACGACGGGGTTGCGTACAGCCGATCATACCGTCGTTGGCGAAGCCAGCTTCAGCAAGATATTGTGTCAACTGTGTAGTCTTTCCGGATCCTGTCTCTCCAACAACAATCAGGATTTGATTCTCGTGAACGGCCTTGATCAACTGGTTGCGGAAGGCAAAGACGGGCAAAGTCTCTCGTTGCTCCTTGATGCTCAAGTTCGTACGCTTGCCCAAGGATTGACCCTTAGGAATAACGGCCTTCTTCCACTCTGGGACATCCTCAGAGGGCTGGTTCTTCCTGGCGTTTCGCAAATCGCTAGCAAACTTCCTCTTGTCGGGATCGGCCATGGGATCTTGCCATTGCTGGGCGAGGTTCTCCTTGGGCTCATCTTTAGCAGCGGCGTCGGCTTCTTGTTGCTTAAGTTCCTTTCGCTCTTTTGCCAAATTGGTACCTGACATTGCTGCTCGGTTCATAGAGCCATCAGGTGCCTTGACAACGCGAATGGGAGACAGCTCAAGAGATTGCTTGGTCTGTCCAGCCAGGAAAGGTGGTTCCTCCTCTCGAACTTCAATATCGACATCCTCCTCCAGCTCCAGTTCGCCATCACCGCGAAGAGTCGCGTTGTAGTCTTCCTCCAGATCGGGGTAGTCAGATGCTTTGGCCACTCCAGACGCGATTAGCTGTCGGATCTCCCATCTTTCAGGAGAGGTCATTCGCTTCTTTTGTCGTCGTGGGGCTCCCAGGGTATCTCGAGGCGCTCCGCTAGGCTCTGCAAATCCATCTCTTGGACCTCCTCCCAGAGCTTCCATATTGGCACCTGTTGTCATACGAGCTTGTGGCTCAAAGTCCTGTCCAGTCTCCTGATCAACATCCTTCATTGACAATCCCACTCGGTCACGGCCATTCTGGTCCTTGTCGAGATTTGTGACCTTGACCCAAACTTCCTGTCCCTGCGACAAGATATCGGAAGGGTGGTTGACGCGCTGTCCAGCAGACATTCTGGACACGTGGACCAAACCATCAACTCTTCCCTTCACATTGTGCAAATTGACAAAGGCACCGAAGTCTTTCAGGCCTGTGACATGGCCTTGGTAGATCTTGTGAAGTTGCGGCGCATCGTCAATTTCAGGAGCTGGAGCGTTGCGGAATCGGTCGTCATCATCGTGTCGCCTGCGACCTCTTCGATCTTTGCGCGAATCTCGGTACCCATCGCGCCAATCCTCGTCGCCTCGATCTTGCGATCGTGATCTTGATCGGTATTTATCTCGCTTTCGTCGCTCTCGTGAACGGGATCTGTCTCTTCTCCTTCTCCTCGATTCTTTGTGCTCGTTCTCTGGGCTTCGACTTCGTTTTCTCGTGGGTTTCTCCTTCTTTGCCTTTGGCTCTAGGCCCTCCAGAAGCGCAAGGGTGTCGTCAATAGCATCGGCTCCATCGTCGCGCGCAGGTTCCTTGTCGGGCAGCGAAAGACCGCTAAAGACCTTTTCTTTCTCTTCAAGCGTTCTGGAGTGGTGTTCTTTCTGTTGCTCCTTTCCTTTGCCCTTGAACTTGGGATGTAGAGCAAGTACTAATCGATCTATACTCTCAACAAGACTGGGAGGCAATCCTGGTGTAGACGCCTCGAGGTTGTCGCGGAATTCGTCGAAACTATTGCATTGCGTACGTTGGGCAATCAAAAATTCGGCTACCGTCTTTTCGCCAACACCCAAATGGTTCTGCACTTCTGATGTCACCTTCGAAACAAGGGAAAGAAGCTCGAGGTTCAACAAATCATCCATCGCGAATTGTGTTGATGGCGCAAAAGGAATCCTTTCCACGACATTTCGATGCAGATAGCTAAGAGACCCACATACTATCTTATCATCACGTGCAAGCTAACTTTCTACTGCCGTAGGAATAACTTCAGTAAAGGCAAATTGACCAATCAGAATGCTGATCATGAATCAATTTCTATGAACAGGTTCTTATCGGGTAAATGCAAAAGAGTTATGATGGTAGCTGGGTGCGATTTTAAGGAATTGGAGAAACAGGGGCTCGAACCCTTTCCAAGGTCGAACTCAGCAGATAACCTGACCTAAAGTCCATGGGCTCAGCCTGTCCACAAACGTCGACAATAAGGCAATTTTCCTGTTACCCGCCTGCTGTTTTGAATGCCCTCGCCAGTGTCGAGTAATATAAGATAAACCCACAGTTTTTATGAGCGACAGTGTTGCAGATGTGTTTTGCATCATGCGTGTAAGAAGGTTCTTCGCTTCTGCCTGGCGCATATCTTGCTTAAGATCATCATGTAAGTGCAGTGACGTAGTGTAAAAGATACGATATCAGTCGAGATAAGAAGCGAGCTATTCACTGTCGCTAAACCACCCCTGAATCACGGTTAAGAGTAACAATATGGAAGCCTGGCGATAGCTTACAACAAATCCTTTGTTTATGTCGACTCAGTATTGTTGAGAGTCTCAGGCTGCCTCACAACCGTTGAATTCATTGCTTCAGTGATGACCCGACTGTGGCTGTCGGCGGGGTTCTAGACTGACATTTCTCCTTGTGACCAATCAAACACTCAAATTATCCTTGCCGCAGCACCTCTTACGCAAGCCCCTCCCCCAGGAACGCCACCTCCAGGTGACCTAACTTCTGTCGCAGAAGATCCCCCAGCAGCGTCATTGTCAGCCTGGTCACACGCCCTCTTTAACTTTACACTCACTCTTCCTAACTTCCTCAAATCAACACACAAAGACCCTTCAATTCAACTCTTGGACCAATTTGTGATTCTTTCACTTGATAAAACCTGATCGCTCACTATCGCGCAACAATGTGTTCCGCCGACTTCTTCCTCGCTTTCCTCGCCATTCTTTTCCCCCCACTGCCTGGTAAGTCTCCATCGCTTTGACCAACTCGCGCATCACTAACACTGCAATTCAGTATGGGTCAAGTGCGGTCTCTGCAGCGCAGACTCCCTCATTAACATCCTCCTCTGCTGTCTTGGCTATATCCCTGGCCTCATCCACGCTTGGTATCTCATCGCCAAGTACCCCGAGCCACCCTACGAGTACGAGTCTCTGCCCCAAGACCGCGAGGGCAACCGCGTCACATACGTCTACGTCCAGTGCCCACCAGGCCCTCATCAGCACGGCAACCAGAACCAGCAGCCTAAGCCTCAGCCTAAGCCTCACCATGGCAACGCCGGCAACGTGAACTACGGCACCACCCAGCAAGCTTCCAGCTCTTCTCGTCCCACGCCTCAACAGCAGGGTGTCACGAATAACGGCGAGGGCAGCTCTAACGATCAGGGTGTTCCTCCTTCTTACGCCGATGTTGTTGCAGGAGACCACAAGATTCAGTCCAAGGACTAGATGCCCGATCGAATGATCTAACGAAAAACACGGAAATAAGGGCTGTAGGCGGTTTCAAACCCGTCTCCATAGCCATCAAGACGACTTGATACAATTTTGCGCAGTGATTCTCAACAAGCGGGTCTAAGGACCTTGGGTGAGATGGCCGAGTTGGTTATGGCGCCAGGTTAAGGTTAACCTTAACACCAATTTCCTGGTGGAGCAATCCTCCTGGGTTCGAGTCCCAGTCTCATCAGATAATTTCATTTTTGCATCCTTCCACGATGTTATTTTTGCTGGTGGTGGACTCTAAACCCAAGAGGATTGGCTGGCTGGATTTGTATTATGGGTTGGTGTGCGGAGGCTGGTGTGCAGAATGATGGGTATTGGCGAACAGCCGTGCTCACACACGATGTTTATGATATCCTTCTTTGACGTTGCCTATTTAATATACAATCGGAGTTTCGCACATGGGTCGGTTTGGGTTTTCGCCTCTTTCTTATGATGAACGGCTCTCGGACTATAGGGTTAGTTAGATTTTATGACAGAAAACCTTTTTCACCAACAGAATCCGTCGCCGTTACCTTATGTGATATGAAGATGCAAAATGAAAAATTAATTCGAACTTCGTAGTCACAAAGCCGGCCTACAAGTCTACTTGATTCACTGTATAAATGCGTGTTGTCACAAATACAATTGACATGTGATTTGAACCTACCAAGACTGCTTGTGTGTATAACTCTGGGCTGTAGCCATCTATTTTACAAACCTTCAACTATAATTCAAGCCTAAGTGAACGCCAACCCATGGCTGCAAGAGCCTACAAGATTTTGAGGCACAAGTAACATTGTGCTGTTTGAGCATCAAAGAATAAAGTCATCAATTGCCATAAGACACCATGCGCCAAGCTGCTGAGCAGCCATGTTTCTACATTGTTTCCCTTTCGATCCTTAAGCACAAGGGTATATCGAGTATCCTGCCGTTTCTCTCTAAGCAAAATGCTTTCTTAAAAATTCCATCCTCAGGTTTGTCCATTTCATCTGATAGGAATCGTCGCTTTTGGTCATGATCATCAAAGGTGCCAATGTCCTTCTTTTCTCGCCACGCTATGACATCTCCTTAAAGATGCGCAAAAGACTCCTTACGCCGGTTAGGGCATTCTCGTCGGGACCTTGGCCGGGTGTCCATTCGGCGTGGGCAAAGTCGATGAGCTTGAGAGAGTAGATTTGGGGGAGGGAGGCTTCGAGGTCGGAGTCTTCGTCGAGCTCGTCTTCGTCGTCCAGAGCGATGCCGCTATCAACCCTCTTGGTCGTGCGAGCTGCTTGACCGATACCAGCCTCTGCGTCGATAAGTGCGTTGTTCTCCTCGATGGCACTTCGGAGAGCTTGGCCGTCGCCCTCGAAGCAGAAGAGTAGCGAAGAAGAATACATTCGGCTTTCGTGTTTCAAAAGAACCTCCTCAACTCTTTCGAGGTCCCGCACAAAGGCAGTGCAGACGGCCTTGCCAAGATCCTCATCTATACCCGCACTCTTGTTGAAGATGAACTTTCGGAACTCGTTGACAATGTTCTCCTCCTTCACTGTTGTTCGGCCGTAATCCTTGTCGTAGATCTTGTAGTTCTCCTCGTCCAATTCTGAAGCATCCTCCGACCCACGGTAAACTCGCATGCCTGCTATCCGGAACCCCAAGCTGCCGTGTGTTGTCTCGGCCGAGATCTTGTTGAAGCGCTGCTTCTTTTGTTCAGGTGCGTCGTCGGCCCACAGTCTAATACCCAGCTTTACGTCGAGGATATTGGGGCACTTGAAGCCGAAGGAGGCATTGTCCAGCACAACCGCCTTGTCGGTCTTGATCTTGTTGTCCTTGGCAGGAACCCAGGCTGCACCACCCTCCTTCTTTTGCTCCTTTTGTTGCTCTTTTTGGAATGTTTCGGTAGCATGGGCAACTTGTTCAGTAACTGATGCGACAATCTCTTCTTTTGAGGTCTTCAAGTCCCCGGCATGTGAGATGACTCCAGCAACGGCTTCGTCTATTGTTGCTTCCGTAGGGTCGGTAAGCAGGAGGGAGCCCATGAACAAGGGCATGATATCGGCGAATTCGGGGTATCTTTCATTGGCAGATTCGTAGAACTCGATCTCGGATTGGGTACATGGCTTAATGAACAGCTCGCCGTCAGGGGTACAGAGTGTGCCGGCACTGTAATCGACGGAATTAGCATTGTGTAGAGCGCCGCGGGGAACGAGGCATTGTGACGCAGATGCCAAGAAACAACGGTAGCGCAATTCAGGGAGCACAAAAGGTGCTCAATAAGAAGCGCGAATGCAAGGCGAAAAGGATAGAGTCACTTACTGGCCGGCGACGGCGTAGTTGTAATTGCGAAGCTCTTTGCGATCAGGCATTTGTTTAGATCCCATCATTGTTGATGGGACTTTGAACTGTGTAAGAAAGAAAGTGTGGCGGTGGGTTTGCGCGCGCCGGTCGTCGGTGTAACGGTAAGATTTGAACTTGAACGGGCAAGAAAGGATGGATCAATGCGGGGGAAAAGATGAATATCAACTTCCAGAAGCGACAGACGAAAGAGGATATAAGAAGTGTAACGGGGAACAGGGCGGTGAAGAGGAGTGTGGAGAGATGCGCAGTTGTTTGAAAAGAAATGGAATTCTGAATCGATGAAGCTGGAGAGCGATAGATTCGAGGGGCAGTGGCTCAGTCAGCTCAGCACAGGGCGAAGCGCTGGGAATGCTTAGTTTTGAGTGGAGAGAGCGCCAAATGAGTTTTCATCTGGGGAAAAAATATGAGACCAAGACCAAACAAAATGTTTTGCCGCTGACGTTGGTTGTTCTTATAATAGAGATAAGGAAGAAGAAAAGAACAAAAGAAGTTCCCTGACCAAGGCAGATGATGTAGTTATTCCAAGAATTCAGGGGTGCCAAAAGAAGCGAACGATTCAAGGAGCACCAAGAGAAAATGATCAGCGCAGGAGGACTCCAGTCTTGACTGTTTTGATCAAGGTGCGACACGTCAAGGCACAAGTCTAGGCTTTGTTCAGAGGGGTCGATTCCGTTTCGTCCACAGGCAATTTGGGAGTGAGTTGAATTGATTAACGGGAGGAGGATCCGAGTGGCAATTTTGTAGTATCCAAATTTGATCCTCAAAGATGCACTGATACTACTGAGTGCAGTGCAGTGTAGTGAGTATTGTGGCGGATGCAACAGCAACAGGACAAGCCGACGGTAACGTTAGATGAAGGATGGCGGTGCAAAACCAACAGACAATCTCGTTTCAACGGTTTTAATATAATATAGTTTTCAAGGGACTGTAGGGTTGTTATCCACTGGGTATATGCCTGGTGTTTATACAACTATCCGAACAACAGGCAGTTATCAACCAACAAATCTAGTCTAAGCACTTAATAAAAAAGAGGCCGATCGTGGCTGGGAGACTCTTCGGAAACTTCAGTGAATAGAAAGTCCTATCGACACAGCCCAGACTCTGTGAATACCTTACCTCGAGCGATGGCGAGACGAGGCCCGAAGCGCGATGCAAAGCCCCTGAACAAACCAAAGCCCCAAGCGCTGGGCGGCAATATCTGTAAGTCACTAGCCAAACAGCAGTCAGATTGAACCCTGACGGGCGGCACTCTGCCTCGCTGAGCCACAGCCAGCATATGGCCTATGGCCTGTCAGAGTGGTCTATCCAGGGTCCTCCCTGGCTACCAAGTGGGAGTTAGGCTGGGCATTCTTTTGAACTTCGGCCATTTCCAAGCTGGACCATGGGTCAAGTGTACGCCTAGTCTGTCTCACCCGGATACTATCCTTCTCGACTGGCTACACGTCGCAAAGACAGCAATCATCAGACCCAGCAGAGAGGACGAATATGCAAGGAACACAGAACATTCTGATCACGAATTTGTTCATGTGTTATTTTATCTAATTCGCTGGCGTTTCACATTCTGGCGATCATATTCTTACTATGCGATTTTGGTAAGTCAACGTAAGACCACAAGGGAATCTGATGGAGAATGACAAGAGATTCGTCATTTCGCTCACGACGCATGTAATCGATGCACTAAGAATCACAAGTCTGAGACACAGAAAGCAAACACGGAAAAGAAAACATGCCTACGTGCATCAGCTCATGGCTTAGATGCTATCAAATCCGAAGTGCAGATATCCGAATCACAGCATAAGCAATCAACATGAATATGTTCACAAACTTGTACGACCTCAAAGCCCAAAGTCTCACTCACTTTATCACACCCTCCGTATCGATTTTACCACTCAGCTTAGGCGAGCGACGCCAAATCTCCTCGTGACCTCTACCTCCATCAACTGACCTCCAACCACCCACGAATCAGATCGAGATTGCTGTGCCGTTTCGTGAAAATCCTTCTCTTACAGAAATGGAAATTCAGCTAGCTTCCGATAATAATTTGCACCCTTCTTGGTCGGGATGGGCCGGCCCGTATTCGCCGGCGTGGTTTATTGGTGCTTGCACTAACGAGAAGAGGCTATCACGAGAATCCGCCTTGGTTGGAGCCCAGCTAGTAGGCTGAGTATGTGCAAGATATCATTTCCCCGTATTTCGCGTTTCCTCGTAGATAGAATAGACCTTTGCCTTGAAGCCATTTCGCTACCTGTACAGATATCTTAAGTGCAGATTTGTTTGTGGCCAACGAGTGTGGCTTTTTGGGAGCCGTGGGACGTAGGTAGGCAATGCGCAGGACTGTGAGCGAGCCAATATAATTCCTACACCATTCTCAAGTCCAAAATCCAATGCTTGATAGTAGAAGGTGTTCTGGGTATTGTATCAATAGCTAAGCCCAGTATGTGATGGGTACTAAGGTAGTTGGCAAGCCTAGGTGAGGGTGCACTGCAAAGTATGTTTTATCTTGAGTTGGATTGCATTATGCTGGACCTCGACCACATGGACAATAGATTGTTTTCGAATACAATCACTAGAGAAATACCACAGATTGTCGCGAACATGCAGCTTAGGAGTAGCTTGCCGTTGATGTCTGGCCGTGCTTGAAACAAACACTGGCTGCCAGCAGCTGCCAGTTGCCGTTCCAAATTTCGAAGCAAGAGCTCGTCGCAAAATAAGAAAACGAACTTCTGTTTATTTCCCCGTCCACTCACTGCATAAATCTCTTGATAAAATGCTGATCTTCCGCTCCAAGAATTCTTCGTGCCAGTGAATCACCGAGTCTCGCTCTTTCCACTCCAGCAACCTTCATCGCGATTTCTTTCCTTCACACCATCAATCATCGCTACACCACGTGCTTGTCAAGATGGCCGATCCGACTAACGATGTCACTCCTCACTCCGATGATAAGGAGAACATGAAGGACGAAAAGGAAGAACAATACCTTCCGCCACCTACGCTACCTGCCTCGCTTCAAGGCGTCGCAAAGCAAGGCAAAGCGAAGAGCAGAAGCAAAGCACTCGCCAACCGTGGCCCTGGAGCGCTTCCCAAGAATCGAGGAACGGGTTTTGAAGGCATGCGCTCGGCTTCTATTTGTATAATGAATGTGTACTGACGAAGGCCTAGAGTTCTACGCTGATCCGCCCATGACCCCTAATGAGGCTAAGGAGGAAAAGGATGACATCTATGCTCCGTAAGTTGTGATATTCCCAGAGCCGATGAGACAATAGCTAATTTCTCCAGCGATGTTCCATTTGCAGAGTAAGATGAACCGTGCCCGGACAAAGATTCACTACTGACATCTTTAGGCGCATGCAAGCATGCATCCAGCGTTTCCGCTCCAGACGCCGTCTTCAAGGCACTCGAACCCTATACTTTGAGGAATACCTTTTCCTCGGAGGCGTCGACTGCCAACCCAACACCTTCGGTGGTCTTAGCCAGAAGGAACTCAAGGAACTCACCCCCGCTGAACGTCGGGACGCGACCGCGAAAGACATCATCTGGGCTAGTTCTGCCGCTGGGCAGCGGTACTACAACGGAGACAAGGAGGCTTGGTCAGTCGACTTTCCTGGCGTCGCTGCTGGTTTCTTCTCAGTCACTCTCGTTCAGCTTACTTCTTTCGAGTATGTGGGAATGATGGAGGGCATCAGCACTGTCGAGAACTTTCTCCGTTACGTCCTCATGCACAACGTTTGTCCCGAGTATGAGGATAATGTCAATGCTGCGATAGAAGTTTGCAAGACTGCTGCTAAGGGGTGGCCCATGATTCGAGAGCTCTGTGCTGGACTCCCCGGTCACTTCAACCTTGCTGCCGCTGAGCTTTTCTGTCCCGAAGCCATCACCGAAGAGTCGTGGTCGTTCTTGGACTTCAAGCGACCTGAGGAATTCGATCCTACTTCTGTCTTCTTCACGGCCTTCGCTCTCATGGATGAACCTGACTTGTTCGAAAAGTTGACTACTAAGAAGCCTACCATCACTCGAGAGTTCGAATGTACACTTGAGCTAGTTGAGAAGGTTCGTCCCAGCGACGACGTCGTCAAGCGAGTCAAGTCTCTGGTTATCGGCGACAAGGCAGCTCACCACACCCCTGTTGGCAAGGCCATCTTCAAACAGGGCGTCATCGAGGATGATTGGGAGAGACCTCCCACTACATGGCCGATTGAGGAGCCGACCATGACGCTTTTCTTTGATGATGCGCTTCTGGTGAACATGGTGCCAGGAATGAGAATTGAGGCAAGCATTTGTGAACTGGATGCGGGGTTGCGATTTGTCAAGGGTATTGAGAATATCGTCCCGTCGTTCTACGTCTATCTCCCTCAAGAGATGATGCGACACTACAAGGAGCCGAGAGAGAATGAACGACCTGCTCCATCGGTGGATGATGCTCAGAATGGGAGGGATGATAACGTAGCGAAGAAGGACGAAGAAGAAGAAAAGTGATCATAAAAAGGAACTAAAACATGCCAGATAGGGGAGTCGATGAAAAGGCTTAGGGTAGCTTAGATGACCTTGATTTAATCACAGATGGCTGACAAAATTACCTCTCCTTTTGTGGATTGAAACTGCTTGGTATTTATGTCAGAGCCAGCAACCTCGACCCCTGCTCCGAGCTTCTGGAAAGCTTCCACCGGCCCCACGTACCGTACCTCTCACCTACAATCGCGACGTCCTTCTCTTTCATACAAAAAGTCGATGTAGCGACCATGTCAATTCCAGGCTTGGGCCAGATTCCCACACAGGTAAATATCCAACCCGTCAATCCATCGTCAAACCGAACTTACTGACATTCTGAACAAAGCCCACCACAACTTCAACCACCCGCGTCGTCACCCTCCGACCCGCATGCGAATGGCGCTTCCAAACCTCCCTCGCCTCCCCCGTAGTCGTCAAGCTCCTCTCCGGCACAGCTGAAAAAGATGGCGTCGAACTAGGTCCTAAGAACGCCTACACCTTCGCGGGCGTCAAGTCGAAGATCCTCACCTGGCACGGTTGCGAGTTCGAAGTCGATGGACACTGCGACGTCGAGTCTGTGGCCGAATATGCGAACCCGACGGATAACCCTGCCAATGCGCACATGAACCTCCATGGACAGCTTAATGATATGCGACAGAAGGCGGAGCGAGAGGGCAAGGAGGGTCCGAGAGTGCTTATCGTTGGACCTGCGGATGTGGGAAAAACGACGGTCGCGCGGACGTTGGCGAGTTATGCGACGAGAATGGGATACCAACCTTTAGTGGTCAACACGAATCCGAGGGAAGGACTGCTCAGTTTGCCTGGTACGTTGAGTGCCAGTGTTCTCGCGACTATCATGGATCCTGAAGCTGTGGATGGCTGGGGAAGTACGCATACCAGCGGGCCGAGCAGTGTGCCCGTGAAGCTACCTCTGGTGTTCTACTACGGCAAGGCTTCACCTGACGAAGATCCGGATTTCTATCGCGAACTTACGAGTAAGCTTGCTGGAAGCGTGAGTGCCCGCTTGAGCGAGGACCCCGACGTCAAGAGCTCGGGTGTTATCATTGATGGCATGGGTCTTCCTGAGCAGAGCAAGGACGGATACGAGCTCGTAGCACACATCGTCGACGAATTTTCAGGTACGTGACCGTCAGGATGTCAGAATAGTTGCCCGCCGGAGCATAAGAGACGAAGTAATTTGGTCGTCTTATGCAAGCTTAGGCTACTTTATCTCAGTAGCCTAAGCCCAATCCTTCTGACATCAATTATGAACATCGTGAATGGGCAGAGGCTAACAGCAACAGTCAATGTCATCATCGTGGTTGGCTCCCCAGGCATCACCGCCGAGCTATCCAGAAAATTCAGCACCGAGCGAACAAGTCTCGGCGAACCCATTAGCGTCGTCCCCATTGACAAGTCCGACGGTGTAGTCGTCCGCGACGAAGCATTCCTCCAGCACGTTAGAGAAGCTGCCATCAAGGAATACTTCTTCGGTGATACCAAGCGAACCCTCAGCCCCCTGATCCAACAAGTCGACTTTGACAACGTTACAGTCTACCACACTCCCGACGGTAACAACCCCGTCCACCTCCTACAGAGCAAACTTACTGACTTTTCTAGAAAACCCTCAAAGTATTGCCAAGGAAGATCCCTCTACGCCAATGCAGCACTGGACGCTCGCTGTCATGCACGCTGCGCCTAAGGATGCGCCTGATGTTGTCCGAGCTGCGAGTGTGATGGGCTTTCTGTATGTTTCGGATGTGGATGAGGAGAGACGTAAGATCAAGTTGCTCGCCCCGGTTAGTGGACGGTTGGGTGATCAGCCGCTTGTGTGGGGGAAGTGGCCGGAGCCGTTCATCAATCTCCTCGGATAAGGGCTTGTTGCTTGGCGAGAAGTTGGTGGTTTTATAGAGTTGGGAGTGTTACTCTATTTGGTAGTTGCTCTAGTCAGTTGCAGCCATGTGTGGTGGTGGATTTACGTATTGCAGGTAGATAACCTGATTTTGTTGCATTGCTCTCACCCTGCTTTGTGATTCAAAGATGATATGCAACAGAGTGATGTTGGTTCCTCATAGTACTGTAAACTGTGTACTCCATACATGTAGTGTAGTGTCCGTCATCGTGCTATAGGCACAGGAAGAAGTGGAGGCCAAAGTGCTTGAATGCAGGTCAAGTATCCTGTATCATCATGTTACTGCCAGTGCTCTCGGTGTTCTCGCCGAGGAGACCTTGTCTCGTCCATAGAGTGCATGAGACTGAGCCTTTTCAGGGGCCAGTGCAATGAGAGAACATTCTCAACATCGTGGAGCGGCAGACGATGTCGCTTCGTCCATAGAACCATCTTTCTGGGCAATTATACAGAGTGTCATGGTAAAAGCCAAGATCCAAGTGATTCTGTGAAGGGACCACTCACATACTGGATGTGTCACTTGCGTATATGAGATTCTCATCGGTAGGACAACCACTGACACTGTATCTGTACCAGTCAATGTCATGTCCTCATCTCCCGCGAAAGTTAGTAATCGGCATCGCCTATCCCGAAAAGCCATCATGTCTCTTTGCAACACAAGACTCATGGGTGATCCCTAATTGTCCCGAAGTTCGTTGCTTTTCTTGTAGATATCTTACTCCATTTGTGATACCAAAACATGTGCTAATACCCCGAACCCCGCACGATTAACGGTAAATGGGACATCAGTATGAAGCCAAGAACATGAATGAGACGCCATACGGAGGAGTCTACTGGAGAAAGCAGATACTCGCGCCATGACAATCGGCCGATACTGCAGATACAGGGTTATTTTGAAGTCCACAGCGGAGATACGAGTTGTTGGCTCGGCGAGCGAGACGTATTGAAGGCCTGTCGAGCTTGTTGAGGAGCGTTGGATGTTCATATCCGGGGAAGCAAGACAGTCTAGACTCTGGAGACTGTTCGGATCCATTTTCTTCCCCGGACTTTACCCCGTTCAAATCGATTCACGATGCCAGGGTTGTCATTAACCTGAACCGCCATTGGCTGTCTAAAGTTGTTTAAATGACAGATCCCGTCCATACTCCGTTACGGCTACGGATAAGGTTGCATCTCCCGGTGCAGGACCGGTCCGGAGTTCAAAAGACAGCACCGAGATCCCCGGTTTTTTTCTCTTTCTAATCTTGCCAAGTTGCAATGACATTCACACAGTGAACAAGCTTTCCTTGTCCGTAGATCTGAAAAGAGCTGTCTCCACTCCAGCCACTGTAGTTCATTACGTGGCAGAGGAGTTACATTAAAAACTAACACTGATTCAGTGGTTATAGAAAAACAGGATGAGGATCTAGTCTAAGCCTGCACTAATTCTTTTGTCTCCATTGCCTCCTTTAAGTCCTTGTTCTTTTGCGGTTTGCCTTCGTGGCTGTGCGGTGCCCCGTCGGTTGAAGGTATCCGGGTCGGTGCTATGACGGTTGATTAGAGTCCATGAGGTCAGTGATGGTAATTGAGAGAGAAACAAGACATTGGTTCCAGGATTCCACAGTATGAAACCGTAAAGTCAATCAATGGTTGGACCGTTTCAAGCCCGGCGGTTTTGTAGGAAGATCCCTGGCTCTGCTGGCCACCCCAATGCTTAAGCTTAAATGTTAGCGTAAATTCTGGGCCAAGAGCCTCCAAAAACAGGGCCCATGGATAAAAGACCCGTAGCAACAAATAAGAAGCAAGGATGTGCAGACTCAAATAGGTCATCGAGGTACAAAACAAGCATATAGACAAACAGTGTACGATGCAAGTTTCCGCAAAAAGATTATCAGTACTGCAGTGACATTCATTACACACTGCCAAGGGACCAGGCCATTCTTGTCATAGCAGGTGATAGGGAACAGTCTTGGCCGAGGCGAAGCATAACCAATTGTGTTATGGACCGTATGTCGTTGTATGCCAAGCCCAAGCCATGCCAAGTTCAAACAAGCATTCTCTCATTAAGAGAAGGCGAGGTCAAAACGTGCTATATGATTGGTCATCGGCTAGCTAACGTCGTGTTGATTGCGATTAATGGTGAGTTATCGTCAGTCCATCAGTCCCTGCTGACGACAGACGCTAATGGACAGTAGCAGCAGAAAAGCTGGCACAGTAACTGCTTTGAAATGATAGAACCAGGTAAAAGTGATTGTGTTTGTCTGCTTTGGTACACAATCATGTGCTCTTGTCCAATCTAGTTGTCTTCATTTGTATTCCCCTGCATATGTCAAAGACAAACACTCCTATTCAAGTGCCACAAAGACAGATCACCTCCCGCGATAACAATTATCTCCGTCGGCTACTGACAGATGACGCGAGCAAAGATTACCTAGTCCGCACGGAATAGCAACAAGGGACAGTCCAAGGAAAAAGATAATGATCCGACCGACACGCGCCCTTGCAACCCCTCGTGACCTTGGCATGGTAAGCGTTGATTCGCCTGGCTGCCACGAGATACTGCATGCCAAGGAGCGGTACATGGGGGTACATGGTTGTTCTTTGTTGGTTTGGGTCGAGTTGTTGTCTCGCTCAAGTCCACAGCTTAACAGGACCAGTGAAGCTGTTTTGGCTCCACCAAACTCAATCTTGACGATCATCTTGGAGAGGTTGGCTAAAGCTTGTTTGAGACGACGACAAAGAAAATGTTGGATGCTCGATCGCTAAATTGATTATTGGAAGCAGAATACCTTCTAATTCTATGAATAATTGTGATTCACTGATCTAAATGAGATACAACTTGACACTCCCATAATGATAATCATGTCTCTTGATTGTACTTCTTAGTACCATTCAATGGCACAGTGTTAATTGAATGCGGGGCAACCCCACCAGTATCCCGTCCAGCTTCACTTTGACGATAGTGTACGTACTGCACCTTCCCTTCCCTGTCTCGATGTATCGCCTTGATTGGATCCATCCAACTCCCCCGAGCTTAGTGGACTTCAAGTTTGGGATAGGTGCGGACTCCCATCTTCGAAGGAAGGCAGAGCCTCTCTTCTCGAATCGTGCTGTTGCTCTTTCCGATATCTCTCCGGGTCCCTTCTACCACTCCTTCCCATTTACAGATAAAAGGTGCCACCCCTCGACTTCCTTCCATGACTTTTCCTTTCTTCTTTACCCAGAAATCGTGTTTCTCGCGATCTCTATCTCAGACCTCTTTTTATCTTACATCTTCAACTTTCTTTCAAGTTTACCCAGTTACCTTGTTCTGGCTGATTCTTACACCAGCCAATCCTTAAACCCTCCCCCCCAGCTTTCGCTTATACCAACACCCATTCGATGGGAGAAACCGAATCTAAATCCGCGAATGGTGCAGTTCACGCCACTACCACGTCGGACTCGTCGACCGTCGCTACCGGTCAGGACGACCAGCCTCCTATAGCGGAACCCCCCGACCTAGCTATAGAGAAGCCAATTCTTCCCCATACGCTCTCTGCTCATCGCGTCGCCCAAGACCTCAAGTCTGACGTTGACGATGGTTTGAGCAGCGAGGAGGCTGCCGCCCGACTTGCTCGGGATGGCCCTAATTCCATCAAAGGCGCCAAGGGGATTTCGCTCTACGAGATCTTCATCCAGCAGGTTGCCAATGCCTTGACTGTCGTCCTCATCGCCGTGACCGCTTTGTCCTTTGCTATTAAGGATTACATTGAGGGTGCCGTTGTGGCCGCCGTCATTGTTCTCAACATCGTTGTCGGGTATGTCTTTGCTGCGTCAAAAAGCTCAGCTAAATCAGCTCGAGCCGTCGCTTGCTGTTGCTACAACTCCCCACTTCGTTGTTGCACTTTGCTACACCTTTTCTGTCCCTCTTGTTCCTGCTGCCATATGGTGAAGCCTGTGATTTTGCCATGCGTAAGGCCTGAAGCCCCAAGCACTGAGGTCGAATCCTGTGCCATACCCTGAAGCTGACAGTCCGAATCTCATCTAGCCACCGTCAGTTCTCACAGTATGCTAATATCCATCTAGATTGATCCAGGATTACCGCGCTGAGCAGACTATTCAGTCACTCTACGCCCTGTCCACTCCCAAGTGTAAGGTCATCCGAGATGGCCAGAGTGAAACCGTCAAGGCCGAAACTCTCGTCAAGGGTGACATTGTCTCCCTTGCCACTGGCGATGTTGTTCCAGCCGATTTGCGTCTGGTTCAAGGTATCAACGTCTCTACCGACGAGGCACTTCTCACCGGTGAATCGATCGCCATCAGCAAGAAGCCTGATGTCATCTTTACCGACCCTGATATGCCCATGGGAGATCGTATCAACCTGGCCTACTCCGGAAGCTCCGTCACCCGTGGACGCGCTACCGGTATTGTAATCGCAACCGGTATGGAGACTGAGGTCGGTCAAATCGCCGAACTCCTGCGCAAGAACAAGAACGATGATACCCAGAGGAGCGGCTTTGGTCGCCTCGTTTGGAGATCCTACCAGTTCAGTCGCAGAATCCTTGGTCTCGAAGGCACCCCTCTTCAGGTCACTCTCAGCAAGTTTGCCCTGTTGCTTTTCGCCTTCGCCATTCTACTCGCCATTATCGTCTTTTCCGTCAGTCTCTGGGAGATCACCGATGAGGTCCTTCTCTACGGAATCTGCGTCGGTGTGGCTGTTATTCCCGAGTCTCTCCTTGCCGTCTTGACTGTCACCATGGCTGTTGCCACCAAGGCGATGGTTCGCGGTAATGTCATTGTCCGACAGATGCCTTCCCTTGAGGCCGTTGGTGGTGTCACCAACATCTGCTCCGACAAGACTGGTACTTTGACTCAAGGACGCATGATCACCCGAAAGGTCTGGCTCCGCGGCGATCTTGAAGGTACCGTAGAAGGTACCGCTAACCCCTATGACCCTTACAGTGGTACTGTCAAGTGGTCCGCCGATCTGGCTGGAAGTTATCTCAACACCTTCCTTAAGGTTCTCACACTCTGCAACAATGCCACAGTCAGTGATGGCAAGAAGGAGCCCGAGACCGATTCTAGCAGTATCATTACATCTGAGGATACTGAATGGAAGGCCATTGGTGAGCCAACCGAAATCGCTCTCAAGGTTTTCGCCATGAGATTCGGTCGCAGCACCTCTTCAGGTGATATCCTGGTGGCTGAGCATCCTTTCGATTCGTCCTGCAAGCTCATGAGTGTCGTTTACGGCAATGAGGTTGAGCAGACTCGAAACGTCTATACCAAGGGTGCCGTTGAGATCCTCCTTACTAAGCTCACCGAGACGGAAGAGTTCAAGAAGGAGATTCTTCTTAAGGCTGAGGAACTCGCTAGCCAAGGACTGCGAGTGCTTTGCATTGCAACCAAGCCTATGAACGGCGATGTTCAGGACTGCCATGATCGTGCCAAGGTCGAGAACGACCTCCAGTTCGTCGGTCTTGCTGGTCTCTACGACCCTCCCCGCCCTGAGACTGCTGGTGCCGTGGCCCAATGTCGCGCTGCCGGTGTTACTGTCCACATGGTTACTGGTGATCACATCAAGACCGCCACCGCCATCGCTTATGAAGTTGGTATCCTCAATAAGGACATTCGTCTCAAGTCCAATACCGTCATGGCGGCTGCCGACTTTGGCGCTCTCAGCGACGACCAGATTGATGCTCTCGATGAACTCCCTGTCGTTCTCGCTCGTTGTAGCCCGCTGACCAAGGTCCGCATGATTGAGGCTCTTCATCGCCGCAAGGCTTTCTGTATTATGACTGGTGACGGTGTCAACGATTCCCCAGCCCTCAAGCAGGCTGATGTCGGTATTGCCATGGGAGACCGTGGTAGCGATGTCGCCAAAGAGGCTGCTGACATGGTTTTGACTGATGACAACTTTGCCTCTATTGTTACCGGTATCCAGGAAGGTCGACGTCTTGCCGACAATATCCAAAAGGTATGCTTATACAACGTCCTCCTTTTTGACATGATTGCTAACTGGTGTAGTTCCTTCTCCATCTTCTCACCTCCAACTTGGCTCAGGTTGTCCTGTTGCTTATCGGTCTGGCTTTTAAGGATACCAACGGATACGCTGTCTTCCCTCTGTCTCCTCTGGAGATTCTTTGGGCAAACCTCGTGACCTCGTCGCCCTTGGCTTTGGGTCTCGGTTTAGAAGAGGCTTCTCCTGATATCCTTCGCCGACCTCCTCGCAGCTTGAGCCGGGGTGTTTTCACCTTTGACTTGGTCCGTGATCAGCTCGTGTATGGATTCTGCTCGGGTTCCCTTTGTTTGGCCGCTTTCATGATTGTCAACTACGCTGCCTCTGGCCAAGGTTACTATAACATGGTCCCTCACTGCAACGAGAGCGGAACTGAGGGATGTGACCTTGTGTACCGAGCCCGTGCCACGACCTTTTCCACCCTGGCCTTCTTGTTGCTGGTCACAGCCTGGGAGGTCAAGCATTTCCATCGCAGTCTGTTCAACATGGACGAGCGTGCCTCAGGCCCCTTCTCCGTGTTCCGAACTATCTACCACAACAAGTTCCTCTTCTGGTCTGTTGTTGCTGGCTTCGTCATGATCTTCCCCATTGTGTACATCCCTTACCTCAACACCGAAGTCTTCAAGCATAAGGGTCTTACTTGGGAGTGGGGTGTCGTCGCTGGCTGTGTTGTTGTCTACGTTGGTCTTATCGAGATCTGGAAGGCAATGAAGAGACGGTTCGGTTGGGGCATCGACACTCACCCCATCACCCAGGGTCGTGTCGAAGTCTAAGTTCTTGATGTGGGCGGTGCTGGTGGATATAAAAGTTGGCGTAGTAGCTGAGGCGTAGTTTGGTGAGCATCGGAGGACAGGTTTTGGGATATATGCACGGTTATCAGATTGGTATTATACTTATGCTATTATCCTCTAGTCAATATATTTCCTGTCGAAACAAAAACCCCGTATGCAACGCTGCTATTAAAATGTCTATCTTGTTGATTGAACCCTTTTCGTAAGAGCCCCGGAATCTCTACACAGTGATGAAGCTGTAAGGCCAGGGATACTCCAGTCGTAATGGTGCCGGCACCTGATTGGTCGTAGTGTTGTAGTCCGACACCTGCTCGTTCATCTTATTGATGTATTCTTGTCATGTCGTTTCGTACCGAGTATTTACTCATTCTTGGACTTCTTGATGGGGTTACCATCCTTGTCCGCAAGTCCCTTCTCCTTCATGACTCTAATGGACTCGTGGATGGGATCCAGCTCGGGCATGGGAGCTCGGTGGGAGTCCCAGTAGTTGTCGGCCCATGTGAAGTACTGACCATAGTTGCAGGTGAAGTACATGTGGTGAAGAGTGTGGTGGGCGGGGCTGTTGATAAACCTCTCGAGCCAGTGGCCGGTAATCATGTCGCCGTCGTGGATGAGGATGGTCCAGACCTGAACGCAGACGAAGAGGAACATGTAGAGGTGCTTCTGCATGGGGCAGATGTAGACGAAGACACTATTCTTGTTAATAACAGCTCCAATGGCTCAATTGAGGCGCGACTTACTGGTAAGGGAGCGATTGGACGTAGCCATCGACGGGGTGGAAAGCAATGGCAGCCCAGGGAGTAGGAACTGAGGACAGGTTAGCTCGGTCAATTGACAACGTGCAAGATATTGACTTACTAATCCACTTGTGGTGAGGCTTGTGAATGTACTTGTAAATGCTAGGGTGGTGCTCGAGACGGTGAATCCAGTAGATACCAAGATCATTAAAGACCATGTAAAGAACAGTAGAAATCGCCAACCACGACCAGCCGTACTCGTCGATATTCGTGTACAGCAGACTGTGACCGCGCACCTCTCCAAGGAAGAAAGGCAGGGTAAGAAGGTCGATAATAGGAATGGCGAAGAAACTAGACTGGACCTCCTGTCTGATCTGGTTCTTGAGGAATCGAGGGTGGTGTTCAAGACGGCGGTCAAAAACAAAGTAATATGAGATGGCGGCGGAGATAACGTAAATAAAAGCGGCGCCGAAGCCAGCAATCATGAGAATTGAAGCGCTTTGGCGGTAAATATCGTCGCGAGGCAGCGATGAGCCAAAGTTGAGAGAGTATTCATCGTCGAAGTTCTTGGAGGATGTCGCGAAGCCCGTTGAGTTGGCGCCGTATTGCAGCTGTGTTTGTTGGGGGAACAAGTATGCGTATCCGTGGTCGAAGACATACGGGTCGAGGATCTCTAGTATAGCGTCCATGGTTGCGATTGGCGATCAAAACAATCCGTGGAACAATGATGATGGAGAGAGAGAAAGGGAAGAAGAGAGAGAGAAAGAGAGATTGATAAGAAAGTCACCCCTGGGAAAGAAGAGATCAGAGATCAGGCCATTTGAGATTTTTTTTCTTGTATTAAGATGAGCTCCGCAGGAATCTTGCCGCCTTGCGCCGACAGTCGGTGTCTGTGTCTCTGCTTTCTGTCGCGGGGACCAAGCAAAAAATCCAATTAATTTGCGCCGCCCTGGATGCCGACGTCTACAGTGACCAGTCTCCACAACAAGGGTCCCACGGTGTGTTCGCTAAGCCGTTTGTGCCTGGATTTGCCCATCTTGATCTTATCGTGATTGGAGCGGGGGGTTGCACTTACAGATCCCTACCCCCCTTTTCGTACTTTAAAGTGGTGTCCAGTTCCCGTGTCTTCTGGAAAAGAGAAAACGAATACGAACTAGAGAACGGGTAGATCTCCATATTTTGAGACGATACAACCAATGACTCAACACCGTTTTTATTATTGCCATTTTCATGTTCGGATCTTGGGCTGCCGGATCATGCTATCTTCACTCTCGTGCATGCCTTTGCATTTATCCTCGAGGCCGATGACTCCATTCGTATATCCGATGTTTTTCTCATGCTCTGCGATCTTGTGCGCCCATTCTTCGTTGTCAATTGGCCAAGTACCCAAACTCTCGAAGCCGTACTTTTTATAAAGACCATAACCTTCCATTGATGAAGTGATGGTGGTTGGAAGATTCGCTGCGTCGGCTTTATCGAGGACAGTCTTTAGAAGAAGGCCACCAATACCTTTTCGTTGGTGGTCTGGGTGCACCATGATATGCATCACCTCTGCGCCGCTGTCAGACGAGATAACCAACAATGGAAAAGAATAGCAATTGACTTTCAGCCACAACTTACCAAAGTGATCTTTCCCCTCCAGAACTTTATCCTTGGCCGCATCTATCTCCTCACTGCGTTTATCAAACCATTGCCAAAAATCCTTCATGTGTTCTTTGATTGTCCAAACAGACGGCGGCTGAGGCTGAGGCTTGTCATTTGCATTGACGTTACCGCCGCCGCTCGCGTTCGAGTTCGGCTCCTTGTACCGAATAAACCCCACAACATCCCCCGCCTCTTCGGCGACCGAGAAGTGCTGCGCCGGGTTCTTAAGCCCGTTGCGCGTGGCGAGCGGGATGAGATCTCGGGGATGACGCTCGAAGAAGGCGGCGTAGAATTCGTTGTAGGCGCTGAGAGCTTGATAGTGGATGTTTGCGATGGCGTCGCTGTCTGCTGGGGTGGCGGGACGGACGGTTAGGGAAGACATGGTTAGACGAGTACCAGTATCTCGCTTGGATCGATCGGTAATTAGAACTACCCAAGAGTAATAGATGACGGCTTTTGGCTTGGCTTTTGTAGTTTTGCCACGGGTTTTGTATGATTCCTAATGAGGAAGTTGGTGTTTTTGGGATTGTTATCGTGCCGTGTGAGTCAGCCGGCGATAGATCTTAGGGACCTTTGGGAGGATTTATAAGGTGCTTATAGTTATACGATATTTATCTCGCGCACTTACGGAGTTGTTACTCGTATTGAGAAGTTCTTGGGTCTTTATTGAGTTAGACAGATCTTACTGTGGGCTTCTGTCGAAAGTCCCTCGATACATCTACTTGCTAGCACGTCAGTGACACCGTTTGTGTCAATTGAGAATGAAAGGCTCTTGCATGGGACTCGAGTTCGAGTCCATAATAGAGGTTAGCGCCCGTTGGAATTTGCGATTGTCATTGCCGCGTCCTGGTGTCACTGGTATTCAAGCCACATCAAATCCATAAGATGATAGCTGCTCACCATCAACAAGTTCTGCGCCAAAGTCTGAGAAATAGTCAAGGTAGTCTCGCAAAAGCTCTAAACCGAGTTGATACCATGCAAATAAAGTTGATCTAAAATTATGCTTCTTTTCTGTAGCTAGAGTCTTGATATCATCCCAACACCAGCGCGTGCAGACAGTACTAGGTCACGTGCGCTATGGTTGTGCTTGCAGAGAAGCTTGTACAAGCACTTTTCTCCCAAGATGAAGTTGTGCGAGCACAAGAGATTTGCGATTCAGCCTGGATCTGTCTCAGAAGATCAGTCTATGATCAATGTCTTCCCAATTCGCCCAGCTATTGCCGAATGTCCGCGACGAGGTCGGTGGGTACGGGTGAGATGAGCTATAGAGACTCTACAATAGATCTCGGGGGCCGTGAGGGCACCAGAAAAATCGGACAGTGAAACCGAAGAGACGGAATAAATTACTATACCTGCTTCCTCTATTTCGATGCTCTAAATCTTGTAGGACAGTGACAATGTTTCTACTACGTATCAGCTGCGAGGCTATCAGGCGCTAGCGAGGTAAAGGGGCCCAAGCTCCACTAGACGCGCACTGATTGGTTCAAGCTGATATGACATCGACAGCCTTGGGCTTGACTTCCTTAAACTCCATTCAACATTCAACATGACATCTTCACTTCATCAATAAATATTCACAATTAATCGATGATTTATCCGCCACTATTGCTTCTCACAGAAGTATCATTGGTTTATATTACAACATGATCGGCAGGTCTAGATCGGAAACACCACCAGCAAAATGTCGCCCTCAGCGCTTCTAAAGACGATTCATTCGTTGAAAGATTCCACCTTTGAAGCTTGCGCGGCCATCAGCGCGCACCTAAAGGCATCATCATCTACTTCCAAGACATCAGATACGGATTTCAACGCCACAAAGACTGATTTAGTCATCGCTTCAAAAATTGATATAAAAAACTTGGTTGTTGAACTGAGGCTTCTCGGAGGTGCACTTTACAGTCTCGAGTCTTTCATCACAGAATTGACAGCGGATGACACTTCTGGTGACAGTGCACTGGGCGTCACTCCAAGTGCCTCAGGCTCCAACTCCGGAAATGAAAATGAACCAGAATGGCCGTTGATTGATAGATGCGAGATAGTTGTCTCTGCTCTAAAGTCTTTTCATGCTCATGCCACATCAGATGGTGTCAAGGCGGCTAGGGCACTCCTCTCAGACGTCCGCTCCAAGCTTGCTTTCGTCCTTGGATCGTCAGATACCCTTGAGGATATTTCAGTTCAGTTCTCGATACTTACCACGGACGCGGTCCCGCAGCTTATGGTTCAGAAGAAGGATGATATCGGAGATGAGACCCCCGAACAGCATTACGACGATGACAAGCCGACTCCCGAAAATGTCTCCAATTGGCTCGATATCTTGAACTCATATGAAAATGATCGCGAACCAGCAGAGTACAACAGGGAAGCTGTATTATTACAGTCGCGTCGAATTACTGAGCCAAAGTATAGGGTCGCAGCTGCAAGATGGCCAGAGTATGCCCAAGAATACTGGCAGACCCTCAGGCCGCAAGTTTGCACACTGTTTCGGATAGAAAAGTCATACAACTTTGTGCAATGGGTCCTGGAATATGCCCGGGTGACGTATCCACGCACCTTGGGACCTCTGGCCCTTTCTCCAAGGCTTCTACTCGAACTAACAGATGCACTATGCGACGGGTCTATCTCTTCACTTCATATTGCTGCTGCCCTTGGCTTATCTAGTCTATGTCAAGACCTTCTCTTGATGGGCGCCGATGTCAATAAGTCCAGCCTTATCGGAACGCCGTTATTCTGCGCTCTCGTCGGCAGTAAAGTCCTTGTTACCCGTGCAGAACCCGAATCATGGACCACACTGCTTGCTGCTGGCGATTCAAAGTCGACGTGGTCATATATTGATCGGGTTTCAACTGCTATTCACCTTCTCAGCGCGGGTGCAGATCGCACCTACCGTTACACCTGGAAGAACGGGACCGAAGAGGCGTCACTGGCAGGCCTAGCATTTTGGAATGCCTTGCTGGGCAAGGACGAGGCTGTCTTCTACCAAGTCGTTCAAGGAGGGGATTTTCTGGATTCTTCATTTCGTCACTTCTTGAAGCGCGAGATCGTGACAAGGCGTGGTCTGCTTCATCGCGCAAGATTTGCGCGCCTGCTTACCTACGTCTACGACTTGACATTACTCGACATCGAAAATGACAGTACGGAGTACGTGGAAATACAAGATCTCGTGTCCAAGTTGATGAAGCACGCAAACGTCAAATTTGCTCCTACAACAGACAAGGGGAAGATCCGCACGCTAAGTGAAGCCAGCTTTGAAGAAGCCATTCGGACTGCTATACTGGATTTCAACGTGACGTTGTTGGAGCGGTTGATCAAAGATCCCAGGTTCGATCCCAATTTTCCATACAACAGTACCAGGGATGCCGGCACGATTCTTCACATGGCTACGGAGAGCGCGCAGCTCGATATCATGGATCTACTTATCAATGCCGGAGCCGACATTCGAGCTAGAGATTCTAGCGGTCGTACGCCTCTGATGGTCGTCGAGGAAGTCGGTCCCCTTGCGAGGCTGATCCACAAACATTCAGCTCCTACTTATGATACAGACAATGGTGGTCGCAATATCTGGCATCTTCTCGCTGCTACGAATGATGTTGATATGCTCAAATTTCTCTGGGAACATGACCCGCACAAGATACGCAACCTTGATACAGTGTGCAAGGACGAAGGACATACGCCGTTGAGAGCAGCATTTGCCTACGTAGAAACCTTGCCGGTGCTCCCTAAAGGCTCAAGGATGGTCCATCCTTTAGCAGCTAGGTTTCTGCTGGAAAAGCGCCAAGGGTCTTTGCAGGGAGAGGATCCCGAACAGCTGGCAAGTTGGGCTGTGCAATGGGGCGACTGTGCACTTCTTGAAAGGATATTCCAGCTCGCTCCAAGCACCAGCAGGGACAACGAAGCAATCCTCCGTGCGTTGAACATAGCGGCCTCTTCGAAACTTGTTTCGTTGGTTCTTGATAGGGGTAAACCCTCTCGGCCATTCCACGATGGTATGACGCCAGCAGAGACAGTCATTACGAACACCAAACTCTCGCGACAGCGGTTGGGATTTACCACCAGACCAAGTGCCCATCCATCTTGTTTCCCCAACATGACGCGCGATGCTTATATGCAGCTACTTACTCCTGAGGTTCTCAGCTCCCGAGACAATGACGGTCGAGGTCTCTGGGCACGCTTCTGTGATGACGTGCTTCCAATGGTCGAGAGCCCATCAGCTGATCAACCTACAAACATGTATTTCTTACATGGGTTTGTGCGTATGGCCATATCATGCTTACTTCAAAAGGGCGCTCTCTTGGACTATGAGAAGGAGACTGGCGAGTGGGCGATTGCACGAATCTGTAAGAAGGCACACGGTGCCGTCACCTGGACACCTTCAAAATTACCATTTATTGCCGCTGTTCTAGAAGCATCTTGGGATGAGAGTCAGGGGAACCCTGAAGAACCAAGTAAACTTGGCTCAGGCGAATTCTTTAAATCAAGAGACGCTGCAGTGCTTCTCGCAAGGACTGTGACTGCTCGAAAACCAGAGATTGTCAAGCTACTTGTTCAGAGTGGTATCAACGTGCACAAGCCGTGGGAGAGTTTTGGTGGCAGATCAGTTTTCGAAGACTTCCTGGCTGATGAGCCTATAGATGTCTCGATGATCAAACCGCTGCTCAGCAATACAAGACCACAAGACATTATCGAGAACCAACATTACACTTTCCGAGAGATATTGTGTATAGAAGACGAAAAGATCGCTACGGATATAGTCGATCAGCTCATTGATTGTGGAATGGATGTCAATAATCTTAAAGTCAACAGGTAAGTTTGACCTCCCAAACGGACCTCTCAATCCGACTCATGGGTTCCGGGCTTGCCATCCATGTGGATGTCAGAAGAAATATCCTCTAAGGCTTAGACTACTAAAATAAAGTAGCCTAACTACTAGTCTTAGCTAGCATAAAGTGACCAAATTATTTCGTCTCTTATGCCCTTAGGGGCCAATTCTTCTGACACCCTGAGGCCTCCTCATCAACTTTCGAAGCCGTACGCTAATCAATGGGTAGTCAACCGTCTTTTAGATCACCATGTCATGAATCGCCGGGACCATCAATGCTGGTCAAAGCACTTTGTCGTTCAAGAACTGATGTCGCACGTCTGCTTATCCGCCGCGGCGCAGATGCCAGTTTGGCGCCACCGGATCACATCAATGGCTTTATGTTGGCCGCCAAAATTGGCAATGTGATTGTGCTTGAGACTATCATCGAGAGAGCGCCTCCTAATTTCGATTGGCTCTATCGTTTCAGAGCTGTCGAATATGACGATGTCTACAACGCACTCCAGTTTGCTGCAGTCGGGGGTCATCGCGATGTTCTTATGGCGCTCTTGGAAGCTACGCCGTTGGCTAAAGAGGTCAATACTGTTAGTCCAGTACATGGTAAAGCCCCAGCGCATTTGGCTGCCAAAGCTGGATCTTTGGACTGCATCAAAGTCTTGACCAGGTTCGGTGCAAACTTGTTGCTCAAAGACTCATCGGGCAGGACTCCAGCCTTCTTGTCTATGCTGGGACGCAACCGAGAGATGGCCGAGTATATCAATGATCGTCAACCGGGTGCTACTGGTGGCCAGCATCTTGCTATTCCAGAGACCCGTCCTGGATCATCAGCATCGTTTGACACCTCGATGGGAGAAGCGTCTGATGACTCGGATGATGATGCGGAAAACAATCCAGATCAAGATTCAGATCCAGAAGCTCTGGGAGACATGGTGTCGCATGCGATTGACCATTACCAGCTTAAAGAGAGTGGCCTATTCCGACCATTTCTCGATCTCACCTCAAAGCAAGATCTAGAGTCTGCCATCATGCCTTGTGGAGATTGCACTCTCCTCAGTTATACAGCGTCCAGGTACCTCATGCGATCAATGATAGAGCTTCTGGACTTGGGCTTCAGAGGATTTGTGACCTGCTGTCTTGACCACTGGCCTAACGGCTACAACGCGTTACTCCAAGCTGCCGCGGACTTGCATTCACTCATGGCATTTGACATGTTTACGTCTCCTGAAAAAGCATACACTTTCTTTGAAAAGTGCTTAGACGCATATCTGGAAGAAGAGAGACTTTGGTTTCACTTGAAAGTGACCCCCCTACACGCTCTGTTCAACAACAAACAACTTGTTCCGGATGGAAGTGCGGAGCATCAGGCCAACGTTCTTCAAATTTTTATCAAGCATCTACAGGACAATGCTGGACGATACTGGTAATAACACCCTTGAAACTTTCCTCATGGTGTTGGGAGAATTGGTCATCAAGAGCCTAAGAGACGAAATAATTTGGCCGTCTGATGCTAGTTTGGACCAGCATCTCGGCAACTTTATTTGGCTCTCTAAGTCTTGGGGGACCAGTTCTTCTATTGCCTACCTGCCTTTGAAGGATATTGCTAACAACAACACAACAGGGCTTTGATGGAGAAACTTGGATTCGTGGAATTGTCCCACTTCAAAGATCACGGTGATGTTGAAACCAGAGTCTTACGCTCTGTCCTCAACATTCAGACTGAACTAATGCTCGATGATACTATAATTGGAGCCACTCCTTTGCATAGTCTGGTTCAATTTTACATCAAAAAGGACCCTGCGACGATCAACTACGAACAGGTTTGCAAGATGGCTAAGCTCCTCATCGACTGCGGAACAGATATCGATGCTCAAGATGATAATTCGAACACGGTCTTACATTTTGCTGCACAGTGGCGTCTTGTGCCTTTGGTTGACCTGCTTCTGGAAAGGGGCGCCAACCCATATCTTCTTGACGAGCATGGTTTATCCCCGTTGGCTGCGTCATTCGTGCATGGGACGCTTGATTCAACTCGTGTGTTTTTCAAACACGGCTTTGATCTTACAAGTGTTACTGTGTATGACTTTGAAGACCCCGAATATTTTGACCTTGATACAATGCACGTATTGCTGCAACATGGTCTGGACCCTCTTGTCCCTGATTCATATGGTAATATCACTCTCACAACCATGATCAGCCGGGTCAAGAATCGAGCTTATGCTCTGAACGGAGACTTTGACTTTTATCGACTTGCACAAGAGCAGCCTGGCTTCTTGGCAAAGAGTTACTACGGACTCTACAGTCCAGCCCCCGGGGTTTTCCCTTTGAAGGCTATAATCAAGCGTATCCCGAAGGAATACCGTGCCCGTGTTATCAACTACGAGCCAGAGCTCTTCAATCTTAACGTGGGCTTTTTGGCTATTCGTGAGGACCATGCTGAGGAGTTGGAGACGTTGATCGAAGCTGGATTTGACATCGAGTCCGATGGGCGGAAGGGGTCGGCACTGGTGTATGCCTGCAGTGTTGGGGCGTTTGAGTGTGTCAAGCTTCTTGTTCGAAGCGGTGCGAGGATATCATACCTCGGCGTGGGCACACGAGGCGAGCCTGTTGTCAGGTCTGCACTGAAAGAAGCAGAACGATTTCCCAAGCTGGTGCAGTGGCTCCTTATCGGTCGTCATGTTACGAAATGTCTCACAGAGAAGGAGCATAACGGACCGGATGTTGCTATCAAGCCATGGTCTGGTCCTCGCCAGGCGGCGTACAAGTGGACCGGTATCCAGCTGGAGTTTCCTCGCTTGAGATCGGAGAAGAATGAGAATTACTATCTGGAAAGAATTGCGGAGGTCAGAGAGGGCTTGCAGAGGGATATGCCATTTCCCTTGCCTGTCACTCTCGTGGAATAGAGGTATATGGCCTCGGTTACGCACATACTGCATTTCGAAGCAGAAGTCTAATAGCGAAAACAAACTGTACCTTATATCTTCACATACCTCTGAACATATGACCATGGAGGGGCGGGACGTGCATAGTCGGTGCTTGGAAAATGGATAGTTGGATGCATGGTTATTTGGATTTGGAAGAGCGTTGGGTTTGTACCGATAGTAGAATATTACAACGTTAATTAATTAAAAGTACCACGGCGGTTTATCTGTTGCTCTTATCCCTGACTCTGCAGAGCTTGTTCACTCCTGTATCTTTTGTCATCATCTCCTGTCTGTATATCGCCATCCATGCAAGTCTCATCACAATCCCACCAACACTTCACCACAATCCCAGCCACAAGCCCAAACAACTCTCTGCATGAACAATATCCGTACTACCGAACAAACAATACGAAACCGCGGTAAGCATCGGACAATTTCTCGGTCCCGACCAGCCAGTCACAAGTCTAGCCCTACACTTAAAAACCCAAACGCCATGAATGCGTCAGAATGGCTGGCGGGCGTTCCTTAGTAGAAACACCTGCTCAGGGCGTCTAGCATAGTGTTCATCTCTTAGACAACGGTGATTGACCCCTTTTTGTGTTCCTGGTGGACCGTTGTAGAATTGTTCTAGAGATCTCGGGGGTGTTGTCCCATTGTGTACGTTGGATGATGGCAGGAATGTTATTACGTCGCTGTTTGGACTTTTCCGTGCACGAGAAATAGATCATTGCTTGTTCCGAGGCTTGACATCACAGTTGAGATGAGATTGAAACAAGGAACATTGTTGAGCGTAAAAATGACATTGTGAATTATAGTCATGACTTCATTCTCTAGGCCGTTAAGTACATACAGGTATATATAAAAGATCAAACAAGCCGCCAATACAATATACAAAAAGACAATCCATCATATTAAACGCCCATATATCATCATCGTTTTTATTTCGCAAGATTTCGTTTATTAGACTGGTGAAACAATCATGACCACATACTTGACCTGACCCTCGGTATCTTTGAGGGGTGTCCAGTGGCTCATTAACTTGGCTGGCTTCTTGGGAGATGCGTCGCCGCTGTCGCTACTTATTGTCCTTGCTGTGTTGGCGCGGCGGGGAATGTGGTTTGCAAGAGTGAGGTCGAGTGAGACTGACTTTCCGTCGCGAACGACAAGGTCTCGAACTGTTGACTTGAACGCTTTCGTGACTGAAGGCAGTGTAGCTTGTTCAGTCATGATATCAAAGATATCCTTGCCCACAATGGCTTCAGCAGCCTGGCCAAGATCGAGTGCCTCAAGCATTTCCTTAGAATAGAAGGAAACGCACAGCTTTGGCGGGTACTTCATCTCCTGATCCAGTGGCATCGCGCCGAGAGATTTGGGATAAGATGGAACATGCTCGAGAATCATGTACCGAGCATAAGTTGACATAAGCATTTCAGGCTGATTGGAGAATCTCCTGATAACACTTCGGGTGCTCAAGGTCTTGTCGGAGGCCGTGGGTCCGGCTGATGACCGGGGTCTGTCAGAACTGCGACGGGGGCTCAGGGGTGGCGAGAGAGGTGGTGGAGGCGCTTTCTTAAACGACTTGAAGAAGCCTCCTTTCTTCGCCGCCTTGAAATGGTGGTCATTCTTGGCTTCATATGTGTCGTCGTGTTCGGGCTCATCGTGCAATGTATCGCCAGCCCATCGGGAGCTGCAGCGCTCAGTAGCCCTTTCCTCCTCGAGAGCGCCGTAAGACAAGATCTTGAGAACATCGTCGGTGCCGCGAATAGAAGACGAGACATCGATCTGGGCACCCATGAAGAACTTTGTCTTGCCAGTGCTGTCAAGCATCGGGCACAGGAATAGAAGATTCCAGAAAGGCGTTCCATCCTTTCGGAAGTTCAGGAGTAGTTCTGTACATTCGTCATTCCGCCAGATGGCTGACCGCATGTTAGCAATGCGATCCCTGTCAGTCTGTGGCCCCTGAAGGAATCGGCAATTGTGTGCTAAGACCTCGGTTCGCGAATATCCTGTCAATTCCTCGAATTCATCAGAGGCAAACATGATCGGGTTTCCGGATCTTGAAGGGTCGCTTAGACAGAAGGAACCCTTCAATCCTGGATAGGGGTTCAGTGGCGAGTCGCCTTCTGCATCCAGGGACAAAGCCAGACTGGTGCATTGTGATAACTGTTGCTTGACAAAGTCGGGAAATATTTCTCTAACGATGCGCTGCTCGATGTATGCCTTTGACTCGAGAAACATGTTTTCCAAACTTGGGATAAGAGATGTTGTGAGATGCTTGATGTTGGTGTTGAGAGCCTTGGACATTGGTGAGGGAAGGCCAAGTGGTGAGGTTGCTGTGATGGATGTGTAGGAGGTTGAGATTGTCGATAGTTGAATGACAACTTGTTCCAGAGATGCGATATAGTCGCGAATCTGTTATTTGGTTAGAATTGAAGAAAATATTATGGCTTCTTCCTATCTCACCTTCATAAGATAGTCGACATTCTGGCCGACGCCGCGATCGGCAGCAAACTTCCACAATTGTCCACTAGCAGCGTGGTCGGCCATGACCATATCAAACATTTCGCGACCGACAAGATCAGGAATAGGCAACTCGCCAGAGCTCTCCGACTCAGTATAGGCGATACTGGATCTTTGGCTTCTAGACGAAGATGCAACTGAGTCGATACTCCTCAACCTCTCGCCAGACCATTGCCCCACGCCATTGCTGTAGAGTCCAGCACGTGGTGTACCGTCAGGATGATAATCGGTATACTGTCGCAGAACATCTTCATTAGTGTGTAGTGTGAGTCCAGAGTTGCTGCGTAGTCGGTATGATGAGAATTTGGCGCTCTTGGGTCGGCTTGATCTGCTTCTGGGTGGTGGTGACTGGAGTCCTCCCAGTGAGTCGGAATGGTGGGAGAGTGAAGATGTGGTTGAACGGCGACGCTCAAAATCGACAAGAGAAGGCATTAGCGGTGGTTCGAAAGTCCGGTGAGCATTAAGAGTAGGCATTGTTTCAAATTATTGTGCCTCCGCGAAGGAGAAGACGAGTCTTGGGTGAGTTTGTCGTGGTAGTGGGAATGTGATGCGATGCGACACAAGCAGCCGCTGTGCGGTATTATGACGGGTGACAATGTCAGAGCGCTGCAATGGATCTAAATCGGAGAGTTCTCATGTGATAGAGAAATTGTTGTGAGTCGTTGTTATTGAGGGCGATAATTCGAAATCATTGAAGAATATGAGTGGTAGAATAAAAGAGATGCAGGATTGTAAATGGGGAGGCGCAAGTTGAAGTTGGGTATCAGATTGGACGGAAGACGAGAGAAGGAAGGAAGGAGGGACAGAAGAAAAGAATGGGTCTTCGAGTCGTCAGAAGAGGCAAGAGGTCACTGCAACCATAGAAGTACAGTACAGTACAGTAGTGTCAGTTTTCAGGTACGAACCAACTTTTGCTTTGGCGAGTCGCGGAACAAGGACCAGACCTTCCAGAGGAGTAGGAGCAGCCCACGATCGCTTAATACTACCTCGACGTGAGACCAGGACTGGGACTGACTCGACAGGCAGTTTAGTGGACCGACAGCTAAAGAACTAAGGTAAGCTTGCGGGGGCGGGCCAAGTCGGGTTCGTGCAACCTCTTGGCCGAAGCCTCCAGTGCTAAGTGCTCCACTAGAATGACAACTGGAGACCTGGGCTTCCATCCCGGCTTCTTTTTTAGTGGCTGCAGAAGATGCACACGGGACATTTTCTTTACTGCAGAGACCCAGTAAAACCAGCTGAGACTTGCAAGTTACTAAAGAAACCTATGGATCTTGCCGTAGCCAAACAACTGGGACTTGGACCAAAAAGACCCTCTCTTTTGTCTTGCCTCGTCTTGACCTGCCCTGTCTTGCCTATCCTGTGTTGACTTGACTCTTAGACCCTATCATGCTAATGCAAAAACTATCGAAGCTAACAGCGACAGCGACAGCCCAACGGATCGGTCCCGGGTCCAGAGCGTGCGGTGGCTGACAAGAGGCGCCGATCCGGTTGCGGGCAGTCTTCCCAAAAGACACAAGTGAGAACAAGGAAAAAAGGACACGGCGATCTACGATCCCGACAGGACGGGAGAAAGTTTCGTCATTACTCAACGTTTTTGCCTCTTTTTTTACTGACTTGGTAAATGGAATAATTCTAGGAAAACTTTAATTCCCGGAAGGCGCGGAGAGAAAAAGAGATTATGTTTTTATGCATTACATCGTGGGATAGATGGGAGACAATCTGAGCTGAAGAGTTGGAGGGATCGGCAAGGATCAGGGTACATACCAAGACCCAAGACAAGACCTAGAGACACGCAGCATGTGGTCGGGTTGCCGCTAAAGAAAAAGAAGGTGGAGAGTGTCTTGGGGCCTGTCCAGTCAATTCATCTGAAACATTAGAGACCCTTGGTCTCATTTTGGATGTCGACTTCAATTTAAATGTGATTAAAGATGACATACGTAATTATTACCCTCGATCTCTTTTGGCAGGTCAACAGTTTCTAGTCAAGATAAGGTTGAGATTGAAATCCATTGACATTCAATGTGCCGTCTTGTCTTTTACAAATGGCTGAGAGTGACAAAGAAAACTCCCCCGCCACAGCCTCTTACTTCCCGTCCCCCCGATCGACGCATCCTTGTGACAATCATAGAGAGCAAAAATAGACGACAGGTATGCGATAGCATCATCATTTTGGGAATAACAAATTATATGTCCACGACAAGTTCTCATCGCCAAATGCGTCAATAGCATCGGCCCGTCAACAAGATGCAGTAGACTACATTACGGATACAGGGACGAAGGAGTTAATTAGTGCGGACCCTTGTCTCAGGCCCCGTAGGATTCTGTGTGCGTGATCCTTGTCGACCATCTCCGGCAGTTTGGGTCCCTTTTCTTTGCTTTTTCCTCCAATCTTTTTGTCTGAACTTAAACATGCACTGGGATTTTAAATGCCCATTTAATTATTTGCATTATGCTAATAATCACTGCAATCCATACCTACATACAGCTAATTGATAGCACATGCCATGTTACCTCGTATCTGGATCCCCTGTCCATTCTTTCTTCTGTTGGTTGCATTCGCGTATCGAATAAAAGAACTTATCTGGTGATCTTATTGTTGGCTGTTGCTTTTTGTTTGCTCGGACGGCCAAGGTGCTATGTATCAGGTCTTGTATCAGTCGACTACTGCACTGCTTTTTCTTGATTTAATTGAATCAACAAGTCTTGGCTTTTCCCACTCGCACAGACATCCATTCGATTAGGTAGGCTCCAGGGCTGTTAGGATATCGTGGAGGGTCCATCAGCACGTGCTAGAGCGAGCCTCACCTCACACTCCATCCATCACATGCTGTTATCCATTGTTATTGTTCCATCTATTCATTCATGCATACCTAATAGCCTTTCTCTGTGTAGCCTTACATTACTAAATATGTACCTGTTGTACCTGCAATGCCACGACTAATCCTTCCCACCATCACGATTCAGCTCCACGTTGCTGCACCTGTTGAGTCTTTTTCTGATGAAGCACCTGCATGAGTCGAGACGATCTGACTTTTTCCTTCCTCCCCGGGTTTAAATCCTTCGAGTGCTCTGCTCATCGTGAAACGCGCCGGTGATTTGTTCCGCGCACGCTAGAACGTTGGCCGATGCTATCTGTTGGTTGCGTCAATTTTTGGTGGGTTTGTTGGTTGACACTGCATTATTGTTTCTCAGCTGTCTTGGTTGTTTCGTGTTTGGCAACGGTTGTGGGTGGACGTGTATAGGGTAGTCTGGACACCACGTGAAATTGACTACATTCGTTTGTTGCTGTCATGATATGATGGCATATGAGGAATAATAATAAGTTTGATCTAGATATTGAACTTCAATAAACCTGTCAATCTAGCAGTTGGCCACAGCGTGGAATACGAACAGAATATATGAGTATCTAGCCACTAAAAGGTGGTCTAATCGTTCGAGTACGACGGTGACCGTGGTCATCGGGACCTTGTTCTGTCCTGCTTTGTAGTGTAAACCAGCAACAGAATATGGACCTAGCCCTGGGAAAGTTTATCCATGAAAACAAGAACAAAGTACTGACAACAAGCTTGATCTATTGTCACTTGTGTCTTATCGTATCCAATCCATCAGTGATGGTGATCACTGTCACCACAGTCCGTTCAATAGTGATGGTGATCACTATCACCAAAGTCCGCAACGGTGACGATGATCACCATCACCGGGATTGTATTCTGTCTTACTTAGCAGGCAATTGTAATATTAACTATTGAGTACATGTCTAGCTACCGGAAGATGTAGTGTATCAATAAGCATCGGGTAGTAGAAAAGAGTTCGTTATCGTAAGTCTGCAGGGGGGTTGCTATCCGAATCGCATAAGTCTTGACAGTGACAGACAGTATTACGCCCCGTCAGAGTGTTAGAAGAATTAGCCGTGGGAAACATAAGAGACGAAAGACTTTGGTCGCCTTAGGCCCGTTTAGACCAGGGTTTAGGCTACCTTATTTTTGACACCCTAAACCTTAGACGACATTTTATCTGTTATCCACCTGCCCCTCGTGGAGGATATAGTTCGGACTCTCCATGAAAATCGAAGAATTGAAGATGAAAAGATCTAGTGAAGAAAAGGGGAAAGACCAAGGAGGAAGACCTATGCCTACTATAGAGTCTTGACAGGTTGTTGAAGATATGTTCAAGGGGTCAATAGATCTCAAGTTCCTCAATGAGCTGTTCATCTTAAACATCTTGAGTTATCCTAACGGGCTATAACAGCTGTCCGCTAGACTGAATTGAATGGACACCGGGTGATAGTACATAACCACCATTACTCTTGAGTGACAGCTATCATTCTTGGTGACGGGCATCACTACTCGGTGACGGCCATCACTACTCAGT